ACCACATACACAAACAGTACACTGAAATTAAATGCAACCAATTGAAGAGGTGACAAATCGCTCCATTATTATATTTTCACATGTAATGTCATTGTCTCCGTTGGAGTGTGAGTTTATTTGTCGATAAAAACTATAATCAACGACAAACATACTTGAAACCGGCACCCATCGTTCCAAATACGCCAATGACCCACATAAATCATAACTAATAAATTCATCAACGTAAAAAACAATCATAAAGAGATGCCGACGTCAAGCTGTTGAAAATGCGCTTCCTATCGACTATTAATCGAAATATTGCATATGCACGAAAGTTTAAAATAAGCGTATTTATTAAGGGCGGCTAATAGATCTCAATCTATAGTAGAAATTAACAGTTATTTATAGCGCGCGGTTATTAATCAATTAAGTATTCAATGAGTGTTGCTAGTTTCATGTGTATTGTGATATATGGCAATATCTTGTGCAGGCACAAAATGACTCTTCCGGCAATTAATCTAATAATAATTCAGCTACACTTTTTGATGAGTCACATTTTTATTTGCAGCTCATTATTTAAATCTAAAAGATAACGAACTTCAGGCAGATCCAGCGCTGACAAAACATGAACCAGTAAAAACGCAAATAAATATGCTGCACTAATTTATTTTTAGTGACTTTTTTGTTGAGACTAGCGACGAAATGACCTACACATTAATTTGATTAATAACGACTGCCGTAAAATTACAAAGCAAATGTTTTTCTCCGCGCATATCGAAAATACGAAAGAAAATTCGCAAATATAGTCGTATACTTGCGTAACGACCGCATAAAACCAAACAACAATTCGATTTGCTGGATTTGTTTCCTTATTTGTGCATGTGCTCTTGATATTGGCACTGAGAATAAAGAATGTAGGGCTTATGCAGATACTCGTTGGAAAATATATTATCAACGCTGAGAAAAATAAGTCCTAGCATAAAGTTTCAAGGATAAGGACAAACATTTGCAACAACAACTTCTTCGGGTGTGATAGATTCTAAGCTCAAAATAACACTAAACAGAAGTTGCAGCAACTAACCAACATAAACAGCTGTTTCAAACTTTTTGGAATTATCGTACAAATAATTACATTATCAAATTACACAGACCCAAATACGAAAATTATCGAATACGAGAAAAAAGAAACTAAATTATGCATTTGGTGTTATAGACTTCTGTCCCGAATATTGTACTTGTACTTCAACCTAGAAGTGTTTAATTATTAAAAGCCGTTCGTTGTAATAATCAATGATTACTAAATTATTTATCGGGTCATACGTTCCTACCAAGTAGATATCGACCAATTTATCTATTTCGAGTTTTGGGAAGTACTCAAAATTCCAGTTTTGGCTTAAATTGACATTGTAATTTCATATATTTTTGATATATGATAAAAGTATCAACAAGTTATATGTTGACAATTATCAAATAATTTAAATTTCATCTGTTGTGCGATGCTACTCAAACCTAACGTAAGCTATTCCCTATTTAAACATCGTTTTAAAATGTTCAGTTCTTGTCTTTTTATTGACTTTTTAATGGAAAGTGGAGTTTGCAGTCCAAGAAATAAGTACAATAACTCTTTTAGTACGGTAGGCCCTCACAAGAGAAAAACACAATTAAATCCCAGGTAGTGTGGCAGGTATTCAACTGACCAGATCTTACTAGGTTCGTGTGCTTGACCAGAGCTGTTGCACCGCAACTGTTTACGAAACCAATTTTACAACTAACCATTTTAAGAGAAACGCTACACTTACAGTAGCCGCTAAATTCGGTTTATATTTGCAATATTCAAAAAATAAAACAACTTTTCGCTGCGAACATTCACACAAACCCGATGAGTAATTAGGACAATTCCATGATTATAAAGCGCTTCGACAGAGATATAAAAGCAGAGCGATTTGTCACATTTGTACACAGAACGGCACAGCACACGCTTATTAAGCACATTAAACATTCACATTTCTGTTAGTGTCTTTAATTGTTATATACTCGTTGTGAGCTTAACATTCGATCACTCGCGTAAATTATCCTTTTCGCGCAGCAAATAAACAGAAACTATGGGTGTTTTCTGCTTCACTCTATTATTAAACACTGGTCGGCTGGCACACGTTCAGCGTGCGCGACGCGAGGCGTACAAGAGCGGAGTCCCGTTTTTGCGTCTATGCCATTCCCGTACAGCACCACGTTCTATCCTCCTATTCCACCGCTGCTCGCGAACTAACCTAAGCAACAGCCGTAACGTGCGTACGGTTGCCACTAAATGCGCTTCATGCCTTTCATTCTATGCGGCGGCGTCGTGCAGAGGTGTGGTGTGGTTTGGTTGTGTTGGCGCGTTAGGCCCCGATTAAGTGGTGCGGATGTCTGTCGTGTACGAGTGTGCGACGGCAAACACACCGGCGGGTGCCGGATTCTCTTCTTGTGGCACCGCCGAGAGCTGAGAGATTGCAAAAGTAACAGAATTCGACAGAGACTCGCAGCTTGCATGAGGGGCAGTACTAAACTGGTCCGCTGTAGCGCGCACCCCTCTGTTGGCCAAACTACCCACCGTGGTCGAGGGTATATTCGTCGCGATACAGTTGCGTTTTCGTACCGAACTTACACGAAAATAGTTCCTTCTGGCAAGCAATACGCAGAATATCCAAATACTCTTACGCCCCATCAAAACATTGTGCATCAAAAAATTGAAAAATCTTTTCATAATTTTTCTCCTAATTAAATCCATTTGTTTTGGTTACACCACATTTTCTCTAATTTTAACACGCACCTTTTTTTCGCATTGACATATATGAATGAATTATTTTACTAACTTGAAAAAAGGTGCCTCATAGGCGCAACGTATTTAACTCGAATCATATGATTCACGTAGCAGATAAAAAGCAATTGTATAGAAATATTAAAGTACTTTAGTCACGGGGTTGAGTTTGTGCCAGTGTAATTGCCTAAAATGCAACACAAGGCTCGGCGTGCGGTACGGCATTAATAACCTTTCATTTCCCTTTTGATTTAAAATACATAAACCTAAACGTGAAAATAGTGTGGAAGTAGAAAGAATAGCTTAAGCGTCACGTCGCTAAACGTTGTGCCATTTAGCCCACTTTATACTTAATATACTATTATCTTTCTATTATCTTCGTTGGTAAAAATCTTATAGGTATTTTATACATACAAATGTTCTGATAAAGTTGCATTTATCCATTAGAGATCATACAACTTGTTTCCGATTGCTCCGAAATTTATTGACTAACTAAAAATCATATTCAAGTACTGACTAAAAATTAAGTACTTGAACGATGCTTTTAAAGTTGTGCCAGTTTTCTAAATCGCATTACTTTTCGAAGAAATTTATGTACCCAGCAACTAATCATCGCATTATTCCCAAAAATTAAAACATTTTGGCAACAAACTAGACAGCTTCAAGTAATTTCCTGATTTATTAGACTAGCAAAATAACAAATGTGAATTTATTAGTAGATTTGATAAATCGTCTTCTCAAGAATGTTTATTTGCCCTCAAATATAATTAAGAGTGAATTACTCGAATGTACTTCAAATTACCAGCAATGCATTACCACCAAAAGTTGTGCACGTTTATAATATGCTCAACACTTAGATGTGTAGCAAAATGTATTGGTGCATTTAAATATCCTTGTTTGTTTTGAAATTTGTGTAACCTATTAACTTCTGACATTGTCTTGCTTAGACCGGCTAAAATTAGCCGGCGGATGCAATGCGAAGTTCATAATAAAAATATACAAATTGGGTGCTTCCGGTCGGCGGTGTAACAACCGACTGGCCGCCCAACTAATTAACGCAACAATTCAATCGAGTCGAAAAGGCGCGCGCCTTTCAATTTACACTAACACCATTTGCGCACATTCCACGCGCCGCAATATTCCGTTAAAGACACGAGCGACGCGTAAATCACTTGCGGCACGATTCATGTGATTTTCGACCGAGACTTTGCCTCAACGCTAGCGCAGTGCGCCGTAGGCGAAAAAACTAATTTTAAAAGAAAACCAGAAACGCTCGTAAAAACTTAGCGTTGTTGAAGTAATTGCTAAGAATAACGAAATTTTAATTTGCCGCGGGTCACGGTGCACCTGCCCTCATGACACATGTTAATTGGTTAATAGCGTGGCGCAATTATTGAGCATTTGTTCCATTTTTATTTATGGTCCACGTGAAAAATAAATGCGCAAATTCAGTTATCGCACAAAATGTGGATACCCGGAGACATTGACAAGCGTGACCGTGAACCTTTTTCTTCTTCTATAAATAAATTGTTAATCACAGAGCGCAAAATCGTTTTTTCGTTCGATTCTAGCTTCATCCGTTCCATCCGCAATCATATAGAACATATGCCCGACGTCGAATCAAGTCAGCAAACAGATGTAACGAAACAAAAACTAACGTAAGACACAAACGATGGCAACTCGTCGTGGTTTTATTTACACTAATACGACTTCAAATCAACAGTTCTAACATATCTACCATAATCTAACAAATTTTTGCCAAATCGTCGTGTGTGCGTATGAAAATCAAATTTTGATTCATACATTTCGGGACACGTATTTTTGTGCATTTGTGTAAAAGGTTTTATGTCGTCATAGAATCTCTACCCCTTGAAACAATCCGTACATTAACAAATTTTCGAAATTAAAAAAAAAGGAGACCTGGATATCCCCTTAACAAGACCTCATATATAAAATACAACAAAAAATGCAAAACGAGTGGCGTTTAATCACTGGAGGGGCCCTAAACTCACGCACCCTTGATCAATTAATGCTTGAAATCTCCGTGAATATAAAGAATAAGGCAATTGTTACACATATTTCATAATAGGATTATGAATGATTACAACACTTTCGCTACTCTGGTACGTTGAAATTATTCACCTATGTTTGATATTCGTCATTTCTATGATCCCAAACCTTGTAATTATTATATTATATAGTAGATTGAAACAACAGTACTCACCATTATCAAGATCGAAGCCGTTGTCTTTTTCTTCAGCAAAGCGTCGTTCTTTCTCAGCTAAAAATATACAAATATCAGTACATGTAAATTTATCTTTGTTTATTTACTTACTTTGAATGAAATTTGCACTTTGTTTCCTCTTCTGATCCTTCTCATTGCGAATCTTGTCCATTATTTTGGTTTTCATGCCTTTTCCGGGATGTTTGCCGGGACAAAGATCAGTGTAATGACTAATGCAATTCCTATGCAGATTGATGTGGCAAGCTGTAAAAACAAACAAAACAAATAAACCAACGATAAAACCAATGAATTTAAAATGACCAAACATAAATCTGCCTAGCAACAACATTATCTTTATCATTGTTATGATTTTTAAATGTATAAACACCAAATAAGCTGAAGTCAATATAAAACATCAATCAAATAAATATAAATATAACTTACCTGAACAGATGTATCCTTGTGGTGCAATGCCGTAAATAATTTGAGTACAGTTATTGCACCTTATCACAGTATAATATTGTTTCGCATCGTACTGATGGCCATAGTAGTTCAACTGCAAAACAGAGCGGAGAACATTATATTTACATGTCAACGTTGTCTTCTAGATCATTGTGATAAGTCTAAGGCCACGACCACAAACAAACTGACAGCGCTACACATGTTTCGTACAGTCTTGAATCAAAGATCAGCAGTGCCTCTCCCACCACCATGAATAAAGACATTTCGATACAATCGAAACGAACAAGCAATAAACATTGGCCATTAGCAACGTGCGATAAGCAGAATGTTTGCAAATCGAAAAACATATTAAGCCCAATGATGATTCATCATTGACAGTCACGCGTATTTTTAAACATATATAAATACACATACCTTTCGCGAAGATCGTCCCATTATTTTTGTGCGCAAAGACTTCTCCTTGCTGACGAAAGACTGCCAACGGTCCAATTGTACATCGCTGGGCAGGCGTACGCCAAAAACGCGCGTTACGACGGTTATGGTTGCCGCAATGGTATAGTATTTCTTTGGATCGTTAATAATGATCGTCTCGCTGTCCTCGTTCATATTGAGTCGTTCCAGGAGCACGCTTTCATAGTGCTTGATATCTTTGCCACCCGTCTTGTCCGCGACAATTTCAGACAGCACAGCATCTTTGGGCCCGTAAATAGTGCCCAGACCGGCGATGCGCTTCTGTTGAAATTCATTCAATTGTTTGGTCAACTCCTCTTTGGCTTTGGTACGCGGCTTCCAGAAGATGCGGCGTAGCATTTCCTCGCCAGTGGTTTCGCCCTGCAGTGCACTATCAATTTCCCAAACAATTGGTTCATCCACGTTTGGAATACGCAGTGGCTGGAATATAATCATTTATTTACGTAAGAGTGCTTAAACTTCGCTAGTTACTTACAGCGCCAGGTATGAGGAAGCACGAATGTATTTCATAGGCCCACTTGCGCATTTCTTTGGCATTACTACCCTCCTTGTATAGGTCCGTTATCAAATAAAATAATAAACTAAATGGATCGCAGTTCGATAGAACGTAATTTACAAATACAGCTAAGTAAGGCATGTTCTCTTTGTTCCATAATTGAGATATAGACTTAAATGGTCCGTGGTCTGTGAATTGACTCTGCAAACATAATAAACATAAAAATAAGACTGGAAATTTTTCTGAAGTATAAATACAAATACCAAATCTGATTCGGATATTTCATCATCCTCCATGCTAATGATGGATTGCTGAGAACTAGGTGGAGTTGCTGCATGGATTAGTGAATTGTTTAAAAACTTGCGCCCTCCGACGTTGAATGCTGCTCCTCGCAGCGGCGAAACATCTGGCGATAATATAACATCCATAGGAATCTAAAAAATATATTAGTTAGTCATATTAGTATTTGATATATAATGTTTCCGTTCAACTTACATCTTCAAAACTACCATCCCCATCATCTGTATTCGCCGAATTCCTATTGCTCATGGACTTTCGCTCCTGTAACGGACTGGGATACGGTGGTGGTGGTGTTCCCGGTGGAGTAGCGTTCCGATCGTACCCATCCGTACGACTTAAATCAGTCATACTTTCGGAAGCAATCAGTCGCTTTGAAGCTTCCGAAGAACTCACGTTAATCAACGACTCCGGACTGGATTTTGTTCGTTGATGTGTATGGTTCGGTACCTTAAAATATAGCGACAAAGTTAACGAACGCATTCAACCTACTCCAGAACTAATAAATGTTCATAAAGCAAGCAACACACTCGTAAATTAAAATTAGAAGTAGATATGTATTTAAATTCACACAACACCACAAACAAAAAATGAAAGCATTTGGCGATATGATTAAGAACGACATGAATTGTCTGTTATTTATAAAAGTGGCGGTTAGTCAATAAAAAAGTCCGTGCCTTGTCGTGTATCTTCATTAAGTAGTGAGTAATGAAACTGACTATTGTCGGTACAGACAAAACGCATCGCTGCGTTGTAGGTAGATATGTTTTGTTTGTAAGTCGCAGATGATTGTTCTACTAAAAGCGACCGTTGCTTCGATGAATGCAGCTAGCTACCATAGAGCGATTATACTCATGATAAAGAAGCCAAATTAAACGTATGGCGAATAGAATTTACATGAGTATAAATACTGTTGAAAAAAATAACAGAACTATCCAACATGTCCCACTTATCCCACGTTTTTCATCAATTATGAACTGCTGAATGAAAGATAAAACAAAATCAAATTGAATCCAAAAATAATCCAAACAAAAAGAATTTGCCATAGCACCCCAAGCTAATGATTATGACATAAAAATGAAAATTCCAAAAAATCAACAGTTCAACATCTCCAAATGTGGTTTTGAGCAAGACACGCCGCATGACAGTGGAAAAATCAATGAAGAGGAAAGAAAAGAGAAAATGCTGTGGATTACTTACACAATTATTAACTAACGTCGCACAAGTCGCCACTAATGGATACGACAATTGTTTGTTTATAGAATTAGCCCCATCTGGTTCATATCCGGGATTTAAGGGGACTCGAGGAGGCAGCGGCGGTGGCTGGCCCCCGCCCGCGTACATTTTGTTATCAACAATCATGCCGCCGCCGCACGACAACGACTTTTTGCAAGTTTTGCCCTTTCTACTTCCTAAACTAGAACACCGATCCCTTCCTTCGTTGGTGGCGGGGGCGGCAGACGCCAGCCCGGCCAAGTTCTCGTGTTCGCTCCGACTCTGCGTAAACATAGGTTTAGATATGTGCTGCTTTGATTGCTTATTACTAGTAAGGCACTGATTTAGGCAGCCGTCGTCATAGTTGCCGTTTTCCTCCCGCAAAGGCACCTCCCCATTAACATACTGTGCGCTTGGGTTATTTTGCGTGTCGGTTATTAACGTGCGATTGTTACGTTTGGGGAGCGGTGGCGGGATATCGTCAGTACTGACAGTGGTTAGATCGGCAAACAGGTCGACACAGCCGCCGCCGTTGCCGTTGCGATTTTGGAGGAGTTGTTTGGGGGGTGGTGTGCTCGGCAAGGGTGGCGGGTTATCTGTCTTGTCTCTAGCGACAGTCTGTAAGAGAGAGTAGACAGTGTAAGCACAAGTGTTAGTTTCTCAGACGAATTATTTACAGCGAATGAGCCGCGGATGCGTGTCAACGACGCACACAACATACACACACCATCCATCAACATGCAATTCGCAAGAATAATCCTCGCGCGCAGCGTCGAGGAAATCGAATGTGCGCGTCGTTCAAGTCGCATCGAAATGGCTGGACAGTAATAGGTACTGATGACAAAATGACTTTTGAGGTCGAGCAAAGCACCATTCACCAGTACACCCGAAGGATACCTCATCGACGCGCGCCAACGTGTCGACTGCAATTTCCACTCACCTCTTGGAGCGCCTTGTGGTTATGGAGCATGCCGTATAGCTTCAGAAGATTCTTCTCCGCCTTGGCCAACTCGATGTTCTTCTTGATATCATTGTGCGTTACAATTTGACCACGCAGTGAATCCACGTAGCGTTGCTCCTTTTCGATCATCAGTTTGTAATGTTGTTCCTTTTCCACTTGTAATTGCACTTGGGTTTCATTCTGAAATAATAGCATGTTAATATGCAAATTTAACCATATACATAAAATAGAAACAACGTACATCTACTGGTTGAGGTCCGGTTATCCTAGACTGACTATTCTGTGAACAAGGTCGACCGTGGACACCGGGAGATCCCATGGTCTTGTTGTTGGTTTTGTGCTGAACTTTGAGAATCACTTGGGTTGATGCTGAAATAATAATTAATACGTCTGTTAATCCCAGAAATAGACTAAAATATTTTCTGAAGTAACCGCAAATGAGTTAAATAAATACACAATAATGATAACGCAAGGTAATCGCTAAATCATATAATCACACCTAAATGTATTCGAGCAACTATTTGTTCTTTAATAATACAAATTCCAGCAAATGCGAATATTCTCGGAATACGAATAAATGAATGAATGAACCGAATCGCGATTCTAAATTTAAACATTCATCCCACCACAGTCGTATGCACTTTCTGTAAATGTCAATATGTATAAGCATATCATAAAATCGCTAGCATTAATCAACATCGTAAATATTGCAATAATTTCTAATGCATTAATCATAAAACGGCTATTGTTTGTATCAGGTGACGATCACAAATCATTCGATTCAATCGTTTAAATTGGCTGTCGTATATGTGAAATGGCAAACAGGCACTGATTATTTAAAAGTACACCAAATGTTTGAATGTTTTGTTCAATGCATGCAAAGCAGATATTTTCCGGAAAGATTGCGCAATTCATGAATTACCTCATGTAATATACCAACTGAATTCATGTTCTAGGAGTCGTAATTCAACAAAGCACCCACTTGACCAATGAGTCACAACAATTTATTCCAAAGTGTAGAACAGGTTTTAACAATTTATTTACGAATCAAAAATATTTTGGGAAACAAATTTGATAAATTCCATTCGCATATATCCATCATCAGACGCCGACGTGCACACAAATGTTTATTTTGGAAATTGCTTTAGCTTTTTAAGCCATCACGTCGCAAACCGATTTGTCACTATCACACATACTTGCAACAAATACTGAATGAAATAGAATTCCCCAAAGCAAAAACAGAAGTGCTGTAGCCGATAATGAATGACCTGTCACCGCATTAGTAAAACTGCAAATAAAAATTATGCTACCATTGCGACATCGGCGCGCACTCGACTAGAACAAATATTTGCCAAGAAAAGAAATCGCGAGCGAGTGATACCCAAATCCCACACATCATTTTTTCAAGTCGCGCAACATGAGGCAATGTGACATACGTACGCATGACCTTATTTCATTGGTTGTTATTATTAATAGTTGTTACAAGTTGTTAATAACTATAAAGTATGGCAAAACTGCAAACAAGAATAAATGTCTGTGTGTGTGTGAAATTCGCCCACCTTAGCAATTAACTCTAATTGTCAGATCTCGGTGTTTAATGACTTCATTTTTTAAAAGTAGAACTCAATTTTATATTCTGTGTAAATCTTTATTTTTTATTGTTGTTTACACTAATTAAACAACGTTAAAATAGTTTGAATAAAATTAGAATAAGCAGCCTACACGCCTCAGTCGATTATGTGGTCTCATTTTAATATATATTGTGCGCATAAATCTATTCGCCACAGAATACCACACATGCGTGTAAATATATGACGCGGTCTGAGAAAAGCATTTTCTGTGGTTTCAACCACAAACAAAATTTCATTTGCATTGATTATCATTAATTAAAAACGTAACGGATTCGACACTTACGAATTGGCAATGAATGTGATCAGTAAATGTTTTTAAATAAGAATAACTTTCAAATCAAATCCAAATTGTTACTGATTCCAAGTCAGAAATAATAAAACACAGTGCATCGGTGTTAAATAAATTGAATCGTACCGTATTCCTTGTGAAAAGAGGACGTACGTATTGACCGATAATACAAAGTGTAAACATTATAGGAATTCTGCGTAATACTAATTTGTACTTGGCCTGACATGTGTACTAGATGTGTAAAAAAATTTTCATTATAGAAAGGAAGTTATGGATTATTATAGTATTTGCAACTTACTAATGTCAACAAGACGTTGTGCTGTATCAATATTTATTGAATATATCAGTTGAAGAAACTTAAATATAAATAATAAAATCGAGAAAAAGCATTTCGACGATGTCTATACTGTATACATAACTGATAACTAACTAATGCTAACACAATGATAAGAGAAAGTGCCAAACACATTTCGCCGTGTAATACGATTATTTTCGGCTACAGCAGAACGTGTTGTTAAAAACATCCGCTTTCTATGTGCCATAGCAATTAATTAAAATATGAAAATGAATTCTACGTTAGTCGGAATTACAATATCTAAGATTGTTTTGATATTAAATTATTAATACGGATTTAAGCGAAGTTGATACGTTTCAGTTCACATAGTTATACAGCAAAGTAATCCAAATTGAAAAACTCTAACTAAAAATTAAGACTTTGTCCTACTAAAAAAAGAACGAAAACAAAAACTGTTCCATACATCATAGTAGAAAAACAGATGCACCCATCGTAATAAAAGTTAAGTTAAGATACGACTGTACAACAGTCGGGCCAAAAAATATTAAAAAATTTAATATTAAAACTTAAGTGCTTCCTAAATCAATAATAAATTAATGAGAAGTGCATATGATTTAACACAGATCCATCATCAAGTTCCAAACCCAAAGTAGCAGTATGATTGGCTTTGAAATGTATGAGTGTAAATTATTCGATCATAAGTTTAAACTTTAAACTCTAATAAAATTGTTATTGCACAAAATTTAAAAGCCACTTCATTATACACATTCGATCATCATCGCGCCATACTAGCAATTTTATATCTTCAAATAAGAGACCTGCGTCACAAAGTCTGTGGCGCAAAATTTTTGTTATGTATTTCGAAATGAATTCAGAATTGGGATTTTAGGTTAAATCTTGAATACTGAATAAGGGAGAGTGTAGTAAAACGACAAAGTATCTACATGATGAAGACAAAGTTTAAATGCCAAGCACAACAATAATTAACAATTTCGCACTGGAAACTGACCAAAAAAATATAAACCAGAAGAATCCCGATTACAATCAGTTAAACTTCATAAACAGAAGACCTATTTATCACCCTTTGTATTGGAGGGCAACTAAGCAATATAATGAAGTTGAGTTTAACTTCAATTTCACCAGCATTAATGTAACTCGATTGACGTAAAATAAAGGGATAACCCTTAAGGGATTCACAGAACTTGTAACACACTGCGACTTGTTTCACTACATTGTGGCATGAATATAATATAATATTCATCTTCCTGACGATGCAATTATATATCAATATTATTGATAGATTATAAATTATTGCAATTATTACCATGTCATTAACAATTTAGCTATGCAACTGAGGTAGGTGTATAGTCGCAGTGCCCAATAACAAGTTATTTAGTAAATGTTTTTAGTAAATCTAATAGCACACTTTGCATCACTTGAGTCTTGAAACTTAATTATCCAAAGAATACATATTATTCAGTAGCCGGAGGTGAAGAATAGTATACGGTTTGCATGAAATGACCGATTTATAGCGATAAGGTATTTCACACACACAAGTCATACCAAAAACAAAATTAATTTCACGTTAACGTCGAAAGGAAAATGACTCTATCTACTACCACGATATAGATGAAAATAGGAATGTAACGAAAACTAAAAGTTAAACGCTCCTTGCATCGACATCCAGCTTTAATTAGCTATATTTATAGCTACGTATCAATAACGAAGAGCAAGTTTGTTTACATTCAGTCCGATTTGCGCAAAATGCCAAGTGCCCGGTCGCGAAAGCGAACGGATTGCGCAAAGATGCGCGCAATAAACTATGTCCGCAGCGAGTGCTACCGGCCGACGTGAACATTTAACTACAATATAATTAAATAAATATACGCTCAGCTGCCTTTCGCGCCAGCCTATAACAGAAATAACGTCGGCGTTGCGCATTTCCTACTTACATCCGATACGTACAATCAATTAAGCCCATTCGTAATCAACATTTGTTTACATTATTGCGAACGAAACGTAATTATGCAAACTAAACACAGCTCATCCATGCACTGCAAAGCAGGCCTAAGTCAATACCATCGCTCGTAATTGATTTCTTTGTAATGTGTTATTAATTTAATCGAACTATTTGTTGCTCCATTAAGCTGTTTACGAACGAGTGCGTAACGCGCAATGATTCACATTGTGTTCCGCCGACCCGCATCTAACGACGAGTTTGTACACTAATTCATACATTAAACTGAAGAACTTAAACACATTTTGGTTTATAAGGGCCGAAGGGGATAAGCGCAAATTGTTTAAATTTTAAAACAATACCGTCACATTAATATAATGTAGTATAAAAAATATTCATGAAACATTTGTGCAGATTTGGTAAACATAGCACTGAATTATTCATGATGGTATTACTCATAAATTGCTTGAATAAAAAGTAGTTGTGAGATTTTGTGCTAACCGACCAACCCCAATAATAAATTCAGTAACCGACGGGCTATAAACCCATAGCAACTGGAGCGAATAATAAGCGCGTGGCGTTGTTTGTTTGTTCGGTTATCCGATATCGTACGCCCCGGAACCCGGTGTTCTATACATACCAACTATATTTGCACCCCACGGCGGGTGCGTGACGCCAACAATTGAATTAATTCTGATAGAATTATTTATTGCCAAGTGAATTCACTTTTCCGCTAGTTTCTCATAGAAGGCTGCAATCTCATTACGCAAAACAACAATATTCATGTTGTAAGCTGGGGTCACGTTTTAAAAAAGACTGCTTATCTAGGGTTTACAATTAGTTCAGCGAGGGAAAATATTTTATTTACTTTCTTGCTATGAGCAAAAGTTAAAAATTAAATTTTTATAAATTCAATTAATTTCCCAAATCTGAATTACGAATTTTAGTTTAGTTTATCTTATTTGAACCGAGAGTGATAAATTTACCTAAATCTAAATTTTCCTTATTATACTATATTTATTTAAGAAGGGGTCTTGCCCTAAGCGCTCGCGCACGTCCGTCAATGTTAACCATAACGAACCAAAACTATAAACACAATAAAACGTTTCTATGGATCGATAAGTACGAGCACGGCGCACGGCCTGCCGTCGACGAGTTGAAAGACCCATCAATGGTAATTGAAATGGGAATAGGAAATGAACGCCCCACGAAAAGCTCACGATCGTAATCCGGAGCGTGTGCGTGCGTACGTGCACATGCATCGGGTCTATTCGCACACTCCATTGACTATTCGACTATTTCTTTGGTAGCGCCAAAGAGGTGAGACTTGATTACTGAATATAGGTCAACCGGCGCGGCGTTCCTCATTTTTCAACTTCCTTTGTACAAATTATATTGTTTGGGCGTAGTGCAAAAAAGGTTAAACACCATAGACGCCTTAAAACAATAATAAAATTTTATAGGTTTGCAACGAAATTCAACCATTTAACGAGTGTTTGTAAAAAAAAAAGAAACGCTAATTGAATTTCACCAAAATTAGCACTTCACTTGAACGCGTTCAGCCATTCACTAGAATTTTACTTAAAGTGCGTAAACATTTTGGGCGCTAAAGACGACTGATGTTTCCGATTTAATTTGATATTTGTTTGCACTTAATCCACTCTTCTATACCATTTGGCACAATTTGAACAATTGAATTGAAATTTAATGCTTTGGTATTTCGATGTTTCTAGCCATTAACGGATTTTTGTTCAATGAAGGGCGAATTTAACAAAGCCATATGTTTCAATCACGAAATTCACACCATTACTTCAATTAATCTAGTAGGAGTGTATTCAACTGCATGGAGAACAATATAACGACAAAGTCTGACCGCTGTACAATGTATACAAAACTATTTTGCTGTTCATTCAATCCAACTACTTATGCATAGGCAGCTGCTACTATTACAAATACCCACAAACGCCATATGTGCAATAAAGCAGCCAATCCATAACATCAGCGCAGTTCAGTCGGAAACGGACGAAAATGCAAAATACAAACGCGCAATTATTCAAGTAAATTCTCTGCAGCCAGAAAATTCGCTCACCTCAAGAGCTCGCAGCGAACAGAGCGCGATGCACAAATGCAAACTATTAATATTTGGCCTTCAGCTGGGTTGTAAAGTTCTCATAAGTCTAGACATAACTTAAGTAACCCTAAATATCAACGTATCAAACGAAGAACGCATAAAAACGCATGTGCAATCAAGAGATAATTACTCATTCGTATGTATCTGTTAACAGGAGGCCGGCGCATTGGAATTTCGCTGATTAACCGAGCGGTATAACACTTATGAATGTGCAATGCATACGAAAATACATCGAAAGACCCGCGAATGCCCGCAATGCGAAGCTAGAATTTCCTTCCAATGAGCCGACGCACGACGATTTCTATAAAAAGATCCAAGAAGTGTAGAATGCAGCTAATGCTATAAACAAATCGCACACCTTCTTTATGTAGTCGTAGATTATGATAAATAATGTTAAATATATGCACGAATCAAACTATATTTATATTTTGAAATATCTTAGGTGGCACTTACACAGCCGAAGCATTCGTAAAAACGTGTATCCATAAACACCAACTTTTCGGAAACCGACGATCCGGAAAAAACAAACTGGCTGCCGAACTTGCAGCAAAGACACACACGCACTAAACAAAAACAGTAAACATCTGCCGAATTGGCACACGACACCCGAATGCTACGTGTATGTTCGGTGCTTCCCGACAAGCGATGGGCTTGTTCGACGCTGACTGAACACGTCCGCCCGGAACGACGACGCCGCGCGACCACGACGCATTAGCGCAGTATACGAGTATGTCACATGTGTGAGCTTCACCAGTGAATCGGGATCGCGTCCAAGTCGTAGCACATCAAGCAGTGGATGAGTACAAATACAATGCGAACGTATCTCCACCCACTATGATTTAGGAGTTTTGAAAAAAAAAAAAGGGCCACGCATGCGAAACCTGGAGCTTGTATTTGCCTGACGCACACACACCTTCATGCTCCAACGGATGGATATTTACATCCTGTCGACGAGAACTGAACGTGGAGAGAGTAAAAGAAGAGATTTCATTGCGAGTTGAAAGCGTAACGAACGTTTAAACGTTTTCTCAGTAATCAGTTCACTCTTAGCTACGGCTGGCTTATGGTTTGGTTCAATCCCGACGGGCAGGGCTCACAAGGGGCTGCCACCAACAGCAGCAGCTGATATTTATTTTATTCGTGTAATTATTTACTTCCTGTCTGATTGCGCTCGTCTGCTTGGTGCACTTTGTCTGAGAGTTGCGAGCCTAATGGCGCACGGTGCTCGTAATGAAAGAGCGTGAATGCAATGCCAGTTATTAACACTATTTTGTTGTCACAAACCAAATTTGATATAACAAGTTTTAATTCAGAGTAACAATGTTGTGGCTCACCATAGATTGCAACACATTTTTGACACTACCATGTGTGATCGTCGAGGAACTATAGAAGGTGTTAAAACAAGATTGCAACAATCCCACTGCCGTATTCAGTAATCTGGTGAGATTGGTTTCGGATTTTAATGAACAAAAAACAATTTGAGGTAAATTTTCCAGATCCAAAAAACAAAGTAATATAAAGTAGTACAACTGCTGGTTTGCAAGCACGATCAAATTGATACGATTGTGGCAGTGCTGCCCTGATTGTAATTTTTTTTCTCACCTAGTTTAATCACTCGCTAGAGCTCACTAGCAGAACAAAAAGTTCATTATGATAAGAATAAAGTAGACAAAAGAGAAATATTTAAGTACCTAACGTGGTAAAGATATACTTGTAATATTCCGAAGCTACATAGAAAGTCACTTATGCAATTCATTAAATATGAACATCAAAAATAAACAGCATTCTCAATTAGCTGTTAGGATTAAAATACCTTGCCAAAATGTCATAGTGCAATGTAACTATAACTTTTTAGAATTTAACCGCATGAAAATATTATCCGTGTGACATTTCAAATCGATTTTTCGCTGCCTGTAAAATATGCTAAACAAACTTACATTTTATTAGCGCGACGACTTCCGTGTGTGTAGATGATAAAACGTTCTCCCCGTTGACCTAAAAAAGAAATGCATACGATCGTAACTAAGATACATGATAATAGAGATTAAAATGTGCAGTACAAGGAAAGCGTAGGAGAAAAAAGTTGTAAATCTTCGCAGAAATGATATTCTTTCCGCTGAAGAGTTTGTTCATGCGCTCGTCATCGTGCACGCGAAAAAGTGATTGGGATGGCAGAGTACAAAAATTAGTTAGAAAGCACACGAAATTCGAGTATCTTTTGCTTACCTCCACTATCCGATCACCGGCAAATAAGCCTGCCTTTTCCGCTGCGCCTCCTGAAATAATACGAAATAAATGTAGGTTTATTGATTCGCATTATCTATTATTACACTCATAATATGATGAAGATGTGATAGAATGGTACAATTGTATTTTATGCCCTCAAGTCACGATCGTTATCGGGTATCACGTGGGCGATAAATCAGCAAACAGTCCATATGAGACTGTGAATTCTGTGTTAGAAAAGCTAGAACAAATATTATTCTGGAATTTGTCATATTGTTACATGGCGCACAATAATTGAGAGATTGTGTAACGCATGGGAGTGTATTTGGACGGGGAAGACAAATCGGCAATAAACTGACGCAAATCGTGCGAGCCGTGAGCACGAATTTTGTACTGGTTTCTATTCGAAGTACCTACATGACGATTGCAACGACCACATCCTTTTACATTTACCAGTAAGCATCGGAGACTAAATTGAATCTAAATTAAATAGCATTTAATATTATCATTTAATATTTTGATTAACAGATTTATATCACACCCAGGTAAATAAAAAACAATAAAAACATGTTGTGTTTTCCAAAAATATCCATAATAAACTCAGTAAACTTACTTAGGGTTACTAGGGTACTTTTATAACAGAAAATTTGTCAAATTCCATTCGTCACCAATATTCCAACATATTATATCACGTGGGAATTACCAATTGTAAACCTTTACACCATTTATTTTACTACTGTAAGAAGGTATCCGCAAGTTTATTGAATAGTGATGGACCCAATTGACATAAAACTCTACTCATCGCAAATCTACATGATACAGATATCTATCTATCTACCTACCGGCTTTCACACTTTGCACAAAGACCGGATTATCACCGGACACCTTCATGCCGTACCCGTTGTCATCGCGATTGACTATCACTGAGACCGTCTGATAAGGTCCATTCATGGAAGGCGAGTTCGGCGAGTCCGGTAAGGACGTTGGCCGTCCCGGGCCGCTGATGATGTACGGTGTTCCTCCGCCTGATATTCGACGAACTGATGGGTTTGAATGTGTGCTTCTTCTGAAAATAAATATTCAACTATTAACGTTGCGTTATAGACTCGCTTAAGATCAAGTCTTGTTAACATCCATAATAATTCATCTCAGATTTGTAGTTATTTTAAACTTGGCAATGAATGCTTATAACGCAAATTGAACTAAAATTACCGCATACAAACATGTGATGAATAATATTGGCTTGCCCTTTGGAATATCAAAGCAAATTGTCGCAAAATAACTTATTTCAACGATAATAAAATAAAGCAATAAACAGGGGTATTCGTCAACTGGTGAAATTAAATTTGGCAACATTTTTGATTACTCAGAAGCTAAAAACCCCAATTTTAAGCAGAAATTATGGAATATTGTAAAAATACAAAAAATTATTATTTTAAGTATTATTTTAAAACACTGACAAATACAAATGATGAAATAATCGCGGTTTATAATCGACAAAATGACAGTGAGTTCTGCATAAATTTTACAATTTTCCGAAGAACACATTTGCGAAATTAAACTTAAACAATTTGGAATAATAAACATCCAATAGAAGAATTTAATTTATATTTTATTTACATTTATATTTATAGCAATTATATATTTAAATGAGTCATAAGTCATCAGTTTTACAAGTTGAACAAGTAAAGCCGTAGCAAAACAATATTAATATGCAATTGCAAAATTTTGAAGCACAAGTGCATACCAAGCACTTTTTAGCTTTCTATTATTAATATTTAACATTCATTCATTTCTTGAACCATAAAATAGCGACATGTTATGAAATGACATTTGGTAAACAAACGCGACCTTTAACATTATATTAACCTAAAAATTCACTTCCAACAAGGCCAAAAGAGTTTATGTTATTCTAAATATAAGAAGCTTCTAGATACAAGAGAGGTGCGTTTCATCAACAATTCAAACAAAATTCCAATATTATTTTCCCTTATTTTGCAAGTAAACCAGAAATTACCAAAGTGTGCGCGTGACGCCTTGATATGCTATCAAAAATATACAAATATACCGATATGCAATCGTGCCTATTTAGATATCTAGTATCATTGTACACTAATTGGGTACAACGATGCAGGTAAGGCACAGCAAGGAAACATACTACTAACCCTATACGAGTATTAAAAAAAGCCGGCGACTGAACTTCCAGTACCTATGGAAATGCTACTTTTTAATAGTGTAAATATCAGAATACTTTTTAACTTTTGCTGTAAGTGGCGAATGCAATTTTCGAATTAGTGAATGAACGTAGTAATACTTTAGCACCTATTACAATTAGCTAATGCGTCGCTGGAGAAACAGTTGAACAAAGGGCCGTACAAACATTACGTGTATTTTGCAGTTTCATATACACTTCATATCTTATCGTAAAGAAAGTTTGTCTTATTTAAAATAATACTGATAAGCAAATTGAAAAATAGTGGCGACGTATTCTGGATAAGTTGCAACTACAAACACGCAAGTCATAATAAAATTGTGTTATTTCTTCGTACCTGACCAAATATTTATATTTAGATTTTCTCAGCGATATTAGCGACTGACATTTACTCCTCATGACTTTTTTAACACTGTAACACGTTAGAGATTTATAGGATCAGAACATTAGCACATTTGCGGTGACAGCTACGCGAGTTGACTCAACGGAGCGTATATTTACTCGCGTGGTATTTACAAAGCTGATCGTATTCCGCAACGTACATATAAAACAATCCTAGGATGTCGTCAGATTTATTTAAATCCAATATTCATCGATATGCGCGGCTTATTTCTCTAAAATACATGTGTTATTGCCGCGTTCGGCACTACACACACTTGTAAACAACAGCTAAATAACCAATGACATCATCATGCCATCGCGCGATCTGCCTGAGTACTACATTACATTTGGGAATTGCGCAAACTCGATATGAATTTCCTTCAAAACACAATAAACAGCTGGCGGTGTTTACACACTGACTTCACCGAATGAGGTGTCGAACGCATTTGGCATTCGAGTGCGGTTAATGTTCAGCGCGCGCGCTTCAAAAATGATTAACGAATAATAATAACAATACTGCGGCGATAAGTCAACTACATATTTTCAAGATGACATAAATTTTATAGGTGTTTTTATATGGCGAGAAATTCGGCGATGAAGTTATAAATATTAAGCTACAAATTCCCGAGATCTCGCTTTATTTTAACTTTCATTCAAAAGTAATTAAATGAGGTAACTGTGTGAAACTTTCTAGATTTTTTTTAGAAAATTAATTCATTAGTCAGAATCAGATATAGTAAATTTATGCATTTTTAAATATAATGAAAAAATATTTCTGCAACTGTTGTAGGAAAATGACTGTGATATCTTAATAATAGTATATCCGTTGGTTAAAATAAAAAGCGACCAACAAGCAATCTTTTCGAATCTATGACATTGAACCGGAAGTAACGCCAAAGCTGTCCCAACAACCTCCTAGCGGCTGACTAATTTCTCTTTGCAATACGCACACAACACAAATAGAAAAATCGGTTGGTGCTGCGTAGAGCGCATGGATTTCTTTCAAATTCGACTCACTAGAAAAAGACGGACGTCTACTTATCGAGCGAAATGAACAAAAACCGCAAGCGGACGGAACGCAATGGCCTTGACATCAAAACACAACCGCCTGCTTATCGAAACTATTAGCAATTATTATAAGGCTTACACCATATCCACGCGCACTACTGCCGCGTGTAATGTTATAGCGCCGAAACATTTGTTCATAATTAATTCCAATGAGTTATTATATGATTAATTACTGCTGCATTTAGATTAATCGCTGCACACTTCCACGTCAGGCACGTTTAAGGCAGATTTTCAGAATAAATCGAGACGCGCTACTTGAGCAGCATGGCTATGTAATTTTGAAGAATGTTCAATTCAACAATGCGTGAATCTTCCAGGCATGCGGCTCTCAAATTTATATACCTATAAGCTAAAAATAAATGCTCATCATGGACTTGAATGTATTTTTCACGACATTGATATTGGAAGTGTGTAAATTGTAATTTCTTTGAAAAATTAAAACAAACCGACGCCAGTAATAAATATTATGGTTGTTAGAAAGGAGCACGGGATTGTTGATATTGTACGCAAACACGAGCGGTAATTGCACGGAAAATAGAAATTTGTCTTAATTAGAGCGTTCAATTCTTCATCGGCGGCAGAAAAATGTAATGAATTGTTGTATATATGACTTAAAACTCTAAGAATTAAATAGGTTGAGGATGATTGGCACAGTGTCATAACAAAATTATCTCAAAATTTTGAAATTTGTTATTGAAACCTAAATTAAGTGCCTTATTGAAATACTTTCATTTTTCTATTAAAAATATACCTTTCTGAATTTCCTCTGATATGTATTCAGATATACGAAAGTTTTCGCCTACTGAAATAACACCTTCTCTTAGAACCCTACTGTTATGGACAGGGGTTGACTTTGAACTACATGCTAAGTTATTACAATTTTTATTTTTCTGCAATTATTGCTTGGTAAGTATCTATTTTAAAGAACAAACTCCCATAAATAAAAGTATCAAATTGAATTATAACTAACGTGGCAGTGCTAAGAGAGGCGAAGCTGTGGATAACAATAAATCAGATTGCCAATAAATATTATATTTGCAAATATTGCCAATACTGTCTTTTCATCCGCTTAATCATTTTTACACTTCCTAATCTCATTTAACAAAATAATTGCAAACGGTAAATGAAAATGAGCTCCACAAAGGCCTTGAATCTCATCTCAACAAGACACAATGGAAATCACAAACGCCCACTGATAATTTTCCATAGAGGAACGGTAAAATGAACCATAACATAAGGCATCTCAACATTCCTATTTAAAAAAGCACATACGCGAATAACCAGCGCTGCATGGCAGCCATAAATATTTGCTCACGCCGTTGTTGCACGGCAGCACGTAACTGGCCGTGTAAAGTTGAATTGTTTGCTTTGATGGCAAGAATCTAAACAACGAACGCAAACGGTTGTTATATTGTTGCTTACGCATTGTGCAATTGTGCCCGCAACGCGGTGCGCCCGTCGTCATTGTGCGCACAATGCACGTTTTTACATTAGTTTTATGCATTTCGAGTACGAATGCCACTCGTCGCACATCTACGTTGAGCTTGGAGTCCTAGTTGCCTGAGTCAAATGACTACAACCCACGTAGCAGACGAATTTTAAGCATGACTAACCTATATTTATCATGCGTGCATGCACATGCAATAACGTTACGTGGATTCATTGACATCGTAATAATTGTGCATATCATATGTGCCTAACAATCACCGAATGAGTGCGAGCACGTTTGGATCAGATGGTAATCCCAGCCGACTGCGCATGGCTGTTTGCGCAGCACTTGTACGTATAAACAAGAAATCTAAATATACATCGGTGTGTTCTCTGCTGTCGTTAGATTAAGTCACGATGGAGTTTAGCTGAACATCAGAAATATCTTGAATGAATGTGCACATTCACATTGTTAGTCACTTTTAAGGAACAACAAAATGCTTGACAACCATGTAGTACATGCACAAGTTGATATCTTCATATCTATCACAACAATAATTAACTGGAACTAGTTAAGAAGTGTCTAATTCGCAGCAATCAATACAAATCTAATATCACCACTAGTACCAGGCATAAATATTGCAGCTATATCAATAGTGGTTATTTGAAATACCACTTCAAATTTTGAATTTACATGGTGCTTGAAGTCAAGAGTCTCTGGCGCATCAAATTGGTTGAGTTGTCTCTTTAAACACAAACTTTATAACTGACGTTAAAAGGAAAAAGCACTCCGATATTTGGTTATTATTATGAATTTAACAGTGTATCATGTTGAAATAAAAACCCTCACAAGAGACATTATTGGACAGTACTTGCTAAAACCATTGCAAATCAATTGCAATATTTTCATGTTTAGATAATTCTTCGAGTTATAAAGAAATGCCGTATTATCAATGTTACTACACGATATCCCACCGTAATATTATTACACTCAAAAGTAAAACTTTTAGGAACACAAGGTGTTTTTTAAGAGCATGTTTCTTTTATCTATATTCAAGGAATAATAAATATGTACCTAGACATGTACCTTGTCATTGCTAAATATAATAAAATTAACAATTTTTTTAACAGCTTTTAAAAATGTGTTCACCAGTTTGTGTTTATGCGTCAATCTAAATTAATCACGTCCTCAATATTAGTAAAACATATTTCAAGCATTCCAAAAAAATGACTAATGCATCCATCCTCGCTTAATTCACAAATCCGAGTAAAGTTGTTAATTTAGACACGATTATAATGAAATATTTACAATAGCGCATTCCAGAAGTTTCTACCAATTAATAATCCAATGCCAGCGAAATGTGCCAAATTATTGTAATCCCAAACTTATCTTAAATCTTTCGAAATTTTAATAATAAAACTATTAATTAACGTAATATGCTAATGTGTCCTAGACTTTAAAATCGACTCTAAAATTCGATCTTGCTTTCATCTAGTCTATGCAAGAACCAATCAATGCCCGCGCGTGCAAACGCGATCGCTATTAAAATAAACGAATCTATAAATGTGGAAAATCGTTGGGCGACTACAACGAGAAAATGCAACCACCACCGCCGCGAGAACAAATGAAAAGACCACAAGAGGAGGCTTTATACGAACTAATCAAAGACAAACCGGTTTTGTTTATGCGCTTTCGATGCCTAGCTGGTGCACGCCAGAGGAAAAAAACTACTCCGAGAAAAACACACACAACACACCAGTTAGTTATGACATAAATGCGTTTTGAAGCGCTTTCCGAATGCGCTGAGAGAACTGACTAGATGACAAAATAGTAAAAATCGTCCATTAGTTGCCGCATGATGCTCAGTGAGCTTCATAATACAATGCACTTGCTACTTGCTCGGCGTTCACCCGTCCAACTCGACCACACATTTACACGCTTCGAAAATGTACCTGTTGTTTGACTCTTGCTGCAGCGTCGAGTTGATATCCATGATGATGTTTATATTAACTCCAATATCCGTGTGCACTTGCTTCTTGTCGTATACGACAGATTATTATAACACAATTCACTTGATGCACTTAGTGTAAAGTTGTATGAAAATCACTCACGATGCACGACATTCTGCGAGCTTATTTACAAAAGTGCGATATTCGAAATGGAACGGTCGTGCGGCGGTAGTGGTGATGTTGTAGGCACTGATCGGACGCATTACAAACTACTATTCGCTAGGCGCTAGAAAAATATCTCGTTTTTGTTTTTAATTCCTGGCGCATTTACCGTTTCGGAGGAGAATGTACGACACACGCGTTCGGTGTTGAAACAAAACATTAACGCGACACACGTACGCACTCGTCGCCGCAAGGAGCTCTAACAACATTCGAGACGTTCCGAAGTCGCACTGCCGGCGCTGTGCGTTAATCACAAAAACCGTGCTGCCTCGCACTGCCGTCTTGCCGCCGCATCGGAGACGCGTCAATTGTTTAATTTAAAAACAACAACAACCAAGCCCGATTGTTATGGAACGTAATCAAATAATGACCAACAAGTGTCAGCCATATTGAAACTCTTATCGACAGCTCGCACACTATTCCTTCTCGCTTGAACTAAACATAACACTGGGTATACTCGCGTAAGAAAGACGAAAACCCGTCGAGCGCCATCTAGAACATGCAGCAGCAGAACGCATGCGCATAAAAGATACACCTATTACATAGGGTGTTGAAAAAAGTAAATACGCGTTAGTAAAACATGAAAAGAACATTTAAGCGCTATCAGATGAACACAGGATCACTAATAAGACTTTCAAATACGAGTAATTCTGAACCATTATTGGATTAGTAGTATATGTAGGTTTTGTATGTAAAAACAATTATTTTAATCAAATTCAAGAAAGCATTAGGTTTTAATTAGATAAGAGATATAATTGTGACTTTAGTTGATCAGCAAACACACCTAATGTACTTATTAATTATGCAACGTGAGAAACATTCTCTAACAACATATAGTGTAATTTTGTGCATTTGCAGAATTATAAGATATGATTCCATGGCACAAATGCAGACATTTTAAGAAATAAAATATTAATACCATGGATTACGCATTCTCTAATAAATATAAACTTTTAATATAGGCAATACATTATTACATACTCTATAAATCTAGTACTCCATGGTATTAATAACAGAAATAACAAATTTGGTAAATTCCTGTCTGAACTTTTGTGAATTGGCTTCAAGATTCACATTTATCTGAGATATTTTCGTGAACATTGATGCTACAAACAAATTTATTAGATTAAAAGCTAGATATATATTTAAACATTAAAATCTTACGCAATTTCGTAGTGTTACTTTCTGGATTTGTTAAAGAACAAACCAAACAAGCACGCAAACTGAAGTTTTGCTGAGTTATGAAGTAATTGTACATGTAGTCCATTCCTTTGACTCCATTTTCATCAGCACCTGAAGAAACAAATACAATTCCGTCCGCATATTTACGAAGAATTGGCCAGTATGCTGATGTACTAGAAATAAAGAATGTAAAACAGATAAAATTCTCATTTGAATCAATTTTTGCTTCAATGTCTTTAGAAACAATTGATTATATATGAATCCAGGCACATACCTTTCTTTTCCACTAGTATCCCATAATTGAACATCAATATTAGCCTTTTGATTATTAACATCAATATCACTCAAATCATATTCTAGTATTCTTAAAGAATCAGTTGCACGAACATCTTCAGGCAGCTCAAGACTCATATCCGCAAGAAAATTTGCAATTTTAGACTTGCCAACCTAATGTAAAAAGGAGTATTTATTGTTACTACTATTTTATCCTATTAGCTAAGAATTTTTAAGTTTAGGAATAAAGAAATGCTTACATTGCAAGGTCCAATAAACAAAATTCTCACTTTGAATTGCCCAGTCTTTACTTTAGACATTTTCAGATATTATTTGATAAAATATGTACTGATATTACACTTTATGTTATATTTGAATTACCATGACAACAGTGAATACAAACACAAGCAAGTCAATCATCATCTTCATCCTCTGTGTCATCTTCCTCATCCATATTTGTGGTTGGAACTCTCCTAGATTTTGCCGATTCTCCCAAGTCTAGTTGAATTGCGTTGATTACCCCAAAATTATCTACAGATTTACTATTAACTGGTTCATTCCTTAACTGTATTGGGGCATCTTTTTGATTTGTATCATTTTTTGCCAAAGTAGTTAGTTGTAGAAATAATAAATCATTAGATATAAGGGCATTGTTTAATTGTTCTAGATTTTGTTGTATTTGCTGTTTTATGCTGGTCAGTTGTTGAACCTGAATCGTGTTTTTGTATAATTCTTGCTTACTTTTCATTGTTAAATAATATATTAATACGAAAAATGCAATTCAAACATGAGTTAGACACACAAAATGTAAGGTTAGACTACAGTTAACTAAATGATTTAAATGCGGACAAGAAAATTCAAAATTTTGTATGGTAAAGCATGGCATGCCACAAGGCCTGCTCTTTGCATCTGCATTAATTTTTATTAGACTCCTAGAGTTTAAATTTTAATTTTTGGCAATTAATATCTTAAAAAGCCAAATGCTCAATATTTCTTAGAATGCCGCATTAGATTATTTAATGTCTTTTTGTAGCATTGAATAGCTGTACTAAAACAAGGTAAACTTGTATGAAAAAAATAGCCACCCTTTGTACCATCTCGTGTGCTCACATTTTATACTATTAGTATCGTGCACTATTTGTTTGTATGCAATTGCGCCCGTTACCAAGCAAAATGTTTGTATTTATTACGCGTCAACAATAAACCTTCTCCATCGTGGTATAAGCTTTTTCGGTGGGTCCTGAGAGAACTTCAATGGCTGAAGTGTATATTATTGGCGAAATAACTAGCGCTAAAGATTTTCCGATTCAAAGCCTCTTTTGCAAGTGGAACTTACATTGCGGTAGGTATATGACACAATCAATTAATTCAAATTACGTAATATAACAAAAATCAACTTAAATCAGGATCAAACTGGAAGCTGATATCAGGAAAAGCGGAGGGTCAAACGCAGGTGACAAGCTCTTTGTTTGAAAACACCTGCCGTTGGACATTTCCGATCGACGTGCATTTAGTCACCACTGGATTGCAAGGTTGGCCGAAGATCTACATTCAAGTTTATCACTTGGACTGGCTTGGGAGGTGTCACCTATTCGGCTACGGCTTCGTTACCATTCCAACCACCACAGGAAGTCACATTTTGCACTGCTATACTTGGCGTCCGTTTGGCAATATCAAAGAACGCTTTGTGCAGTACTTTCTCGGTGGAGGACCTCAACTGAAATATCCAGATTTAATTTTTTCTACAAATGATCGGTATAAATTGAACACCGAAGCGATGGGCGTAGTGACTTTCGATTTGAACGTAGTCTTCAGAAATTTTCACAAGTTTGGGATTGAATACAAGTGACGCATCTACATTTATCGTATTAACTGATAATCGTAGATGAACATGAAAGCGTTGATATTGCTCGTTTGTCTTGGGTGGTTGAGCGCACCCATATGTAGCAGTGTTGTTAGTACAATTGCAACAACTTCTAGTCCGAAAGTCACGACGCTTGCGACGGTTTTAAGCAATTCCACTGCGACCACTTTACTGCCAACTGGGACAACCACTACCGAGGCGAGTTGTACAGCGAATAATGGAACTTGTGGAAATGTTACAACGTCTGCACCGAATGTTAAAGGGTCAAGTCGTAAAGAAAAGTGGAAGAACGAACCTATGCAACCCAGCTATTATAAGTTTAAAATGAGCAACAGAAGTGACTGCGACTGCGATTTACGTGTAAGTGAAAACAATATGAATAGCAATTTTCAACCCAACAACTATTGCAAATACACTCAACTGATTTCTTTTTACAAGACTTATTATAGTTTTCCAACTTGATTTGGTAGTTAAGTCACAAAATTATTTTTGATAGATTGCAACAGAAAAGCAAGCTAATATTTTAAATAGATAGATTAGTTTAAACTAAACAGTATTTTTGTTTTATGTTTATTAGTCATATTTGTTTGAGTTCTTTGATCCCTTGGACTTGTTAGCTTCCAAAATGTCACCAGGTGATGGATATGGTCTCTGTTGAAATAATGCCCCTGATGCAGTTGAATCAGCCTTACTCTTGTTACTCTCCAAACCATCACTCCATGATCCCCTAGGAATGTCTGAATATGCTGCAGGATCCATTGGATCCAACTTTTCTGAGAGCTTGAACCGTTTTTTCTTTCCTTCACTTCTATCATCATGTTTGGACCTTCTGTCATCATCTCTGCTCCTGTCTTTTATACGATCTCTATTTATGTCATCGCGACGTTCACGATCCCTATTTCTCTCTCTGCTTTCTTTATCAAATGCCTCTTCTTCCTTTAATCTTGAACGAAGTTTAGATGCAGACTCTGTGAGGACAGCCTTGGGATGAGTTGGTGGCAGCCATGAGACTAGATTCTTTTCCATGTTCCAATAGTAATACCTTCCTATACCTGTGTCAAACTGCTCAGTGCAGTTTTTTGGAAGTGGATATTTCTCCAGTAGTTTTCTAATATTTTTTAAGTATCTTGGTTCAGGTGACGATTGTACTTTCCAGTGCACTTGACACCATGTTGTGCAGTCATGATATATATTATATTTGTTTGGGCAGCATGATGCTACTTTCGTTTCTTTAGTTTCACGTTCGCGTTTTTCTGGGTGTTGAGCTACAAGGCCTCGTTTAGCTAGCTTTGCAGCTAGAGCCGGAGGTAGAGGCATTGTAGGTTACTTGCTTTTAAATAGCACTAAAATTATTGTAAATAACTTAAATTGTCTTTGATAAATTCAATAATTTTCTTCATGCACCTAAGAACGTTGTTTTGAACTGAGGTCTTAACGCTATGTGCTATGAATTTGATGGGAAACAAACAAAACTCGAAACACAATCACTCACAACTACTGCTACTCACAACAAATGAGGCAATACACACCAGCGCCACCTACCGCGCCTATTTTGAATTGAATTCAAGTTTTGTTTTAATACATTCCCTTGTTCCTTGTTTTAAATTACAACGGCGACACATGTATAACTTAAAGAAAATAGGACATGTTTCGCGCAACTGTGATAGTAGAAAATGCGTAGTACGCAGTTTGGCAATAATGATTATCATTACTTTTGATTAATTTTCAGAATCGGTTTTGCGATATAAACTGCTGTTGTGACAAAGATTGTTCCTTGGAAAATAAGCAAGTATTTAGTTTCTGCCAAGATTCAATTAACTTACCTCGCCCAAATTCAAGATATTGTAATTATATGCAGTACATTTACAACAATCGCACTTTATATGAAGAAGAAGTACATCAAAATAGTTTGTTCTGCATTGCTAAAACTAACTTACCGGCCCATTATTACAAACAAAAGAAAAAGGTATTTTAAAACTATATTTTTTAAAGAAAATTTCAACTGAGCATGTTTTAGATAATTCTACAACCATTGCATGCAAATATTGTGATAAAAGAAAGTTCTTCTTATCAGTGGTCTAATGCCCAAAATTATGAAGAAAACTTTTTAGAAAAGAATGGAAATTTAACAAATCATACAGCCGTGTTTGGGGATTCAATTTACGTGTTAAAGAATTATTCAAATCCACAAAACCTGGGTAAAACATTTATAAAAAATTTAATTGAAAATTAAATAATTGAAACCATTTATTTGGACTTTTAGAATTGGTGGCCAACTTTATAACTCCCGATTGTACAACTACTAAGCCAGTACATTACGTACAAAATTTAAAAACAACTTGCAGGCAAACTCTAACCGAACACAACTCTCAATTGTTTCTCCGTTATTTCAAATCAAACTGGACAACAATTGCATCGTTACGATTCCTAAACATTTCTCTTCAGAACTACGAGGTAATAGAATTTTAACTTAAACATGTATTTGTAAATCGTCTGTTACTAATCAATGTTTTCTTACAGGGCTGTCCCAAAAATGTGTGCATACCATTCAACCTGAAGCAATGCAATTTGTACACCTGTTGGAATCTCTCCAATACCACAACTTCAGCATGCACGACAAAGATGTGCACCAATATAGTGACCAAAGTGAAATACACGTTTGTTCATAATGGCACTCACGGCATCCAGGGAGCAGATTTAAGCCTAACACTAGAAAATATTACGCTTCCCACATCATCTATTGACCAAGAATATGAAGTTAAATTTCTGTGGATTAACCAAACAGAATTTAACTACACTAATTATCGTAGCGGAAATCCAGGTTACCAGATTAACAAACCCATACTATTCGCTAAACTGATTACGGTTATAAATGCGACAACAAACTCTACCACCAACAAGACGATTTACCAGAAAACGCAGTATTTAAAACGCCCTGCACTGAATTACATTGAAAACTTTTTAGTATTGCCTAAAAACGTTCAGGGTAAATGTTTACTTTCCCCTTTTCTCTATGAAAATCTTAATTTTGGTTACAACATGTTAACAAAATGCATCCACGGTCAAGGGTTTGTTAAGGTAGCAAACACCACTGCAAATGACACTTGCTGGTTATTACAGAACAATATTCTAGCGTATTGGTCTTTAGATGTGGATCAGAAGCAACACAAAAATACCACCAGTAATACAACCTTTGGTTATTTTGGAAATGCGCAAAACGAGAATTTGAAGGACTGGGGCCATTTTCTTTTCGACATGTTTCCTGAAGAATTGCTTAACAAAACTTACGGCCAGGATATTGACAACAATAGCATTGCGTGCCAAAATATAAGCACTGGAATTAAATATAATGTATTTTACGAGCGAGTTGAGCACGAACAGAACCGAATTTCAGCTATTTACGTTGAGTTTGTTCACTTACACCGCGTAGATTTGCATGTTATAAATGGTAATGTGTTTACCGATGTCGCATTGCATAGTGAAGTAATGTTTTATGATGTTACTGGTGTTCGGAATAGGAAATATGTTGATCCACCTTCATTAGATATCAAATTGCCCCATGATTTCTTTTATCCGTTTATAAAAGTTGAAAATCGAGCTTTGAGTATATCAAGTTGTTCTGTGAACATTATTTTTGTATTGAGCGTGCTGGTTAAAGCGTATTATACAAACTTCATGTTTTAAACATTATTTAGGGTTTCACAAACTGTAACTGTTTATTTAGCTTAATGGTTTTCAAATAAAGCATGTGTGTGAAAATATTTTTCTTCTAATAAACCAAAATATCTTATTAATCGAACAAGAATAAACGTTATTTGGGCGGTCCATGCGGCGCTTCAAAGCTGATCTGAAAACTGCATCTAATATTAAAGAGAACAAAATCGTACTTCATTCAAATAAATTACAGATATATTCATACTTTATACAATAGTGGATTATATCGTTATATTAAATGATAAAACAATATTTATTCATTCTCAATCATCTTTGTTTCAAATTGCGCATGTTTTCATTTCACTTCTTTTGTAATTTATATTGACATTACAAAATCAACATTTGAAATGAGCTTATAACACACAAAACATTTTGGACGACATACGTGCTCGTCAATCACTAAACGTTACGCGATACTGTTAAATTATGAAAATAAATGTGTCATTACGTGTGTATGTTAGCATCTTAAATCATTTAAACCGTTATTTAAGTATGTTGCAACATTTAAAAAATCGTAGAAAAAGAAAACGGTTGTCTTCATATAGTGTTGTTAATGGGTGATTGTGTGTATTCGATTCGTATTTGACGATATATTCCTGATATTAATATCGCATAACAATGAAGATATTATATAAAATCTAAGAATTTTGCTTGAAATGCTAGTTGAGTTCTAATCGCAACATGGTATTATTAATAATGTTTAGTTTACAATATTGTCTCACTTTCAATTTTCGATAATGATAGGATTAAATCGATTCATTTGCATTTATCCTATAATGACTTTTCCTAATACGAGTATGCAGTTTTAACTAACACTTTGCTTGCTTGCTTGCTTTTCTTTAATCTACTTGGTTGGTTTACTCTAAGGTTTACATTTGTTAAATCGCATAACCCAATTGTACTAACCGCCTCGTTCACAAAATACACAATATACAAATTGTTAACACAATAATAAATAAAATACAAAATAATACAGTACATAGTTATACAAATTAATAAAATTGTTCAGATTTTACTTCGTTTCTCTCATTTATAAATAAACGTCTATAAAAACAATATATATTTATATATTTATTTATATGAATAAAATTTCATAAGTGACTAACTGCTATTTCAATTGTAAAATAAAATTATTAAAAACATATATCTGAAGTGTTTGTTCAGGCGCTAACTTATAATTGTCTCGTTCGTCAGTGATTTATTTTGATTTGTAAAATATTGCTCCAAACTATTAATTGACTTGTTCCACCCACAAAATCAATATGTAGACACACAACTATATCGCGATAATCTCGTGATAATAAATTAATAGTAAATATACACAATGAATAAAAAAATTAAGTACAAGAGGCTCCAAAGCTGTCGTTTTTTAGGTGTAAACTAAGTAGTAATCTCATGAAAATGCTTACTCGAGGCAGCGGAATTCTTTGCCGAGGTAACTGAAGTAACGTTAGGAATCGAACGATACAATTAACTGACGACGCAAGAAAGGAGAATAAGAAAGCAGAAGATGTTGAATGCTGAGCGTCAAACGCATTCTGCGCCCACTGCCAGTTCTTTGTTGTTATCTAGCCTGTGACCATCGAGTGGTGCTTTTAGCTATCATAACTCGAGCTATGATGATGATCCGCCTGCGGTGAGGGCGGTGTCGAGAGATTGGAACTGTTGTTGCTGGCAATCGAGTGCCGAGGGCTGCTGTTCCTTTCCGTACCCTGGAAATGAGTAGCGGTTATTTCGGGTGAGGAAAAGTAGGCGTCGCACGTTACTTTAATCATATCGTGTAACGAGGACATGCTGCCTAGGCTGGCGGGATCCGGCGATGGTGACGTGTCGGAGGGTCGTGGTAATGCCGGCGGCAGTTCTCTAGGTCGAGGCGGCGCCGCTCGACGAGCTCCGTTGTATGCTGGAAACGCGCCGGGGCGTAACGGTTGCGGGTTGGATATTTCTGGGCGCCTGCGTTCACCGTGTTTCGGTGGCAAAGGTGCTACTTTAGTTGGCTGTAAACGATAGCTCACGTTAATACCATTCAATTATTTTCACACATATAATAGACTTATTATTTGTAGAACTTACTCGAGGTTGCACAGGAGGTGGCAATGGAGTTTCCGGAGTAGCTACAAGCCCCGGAGGGGTCGCTGTAAGATCGATGAGTCGCTGTTTTTCGATGCCTTCGCCTGGTCCCATGTGCGAAACGTGGTTAAAGTTCGTTGGTGCTGAAATTAGTTTAGAGCGGCGATCGGTGCTTCTGAAATGCAACAATTTAAATTATGTTATGAGTTTAACAATAAAATCTGAAAGAAGTCAGAAAGTGTAAATAATCATAAACAACTTACATTCTTTGAGATTTGTTGCCTTCTCTCAAGGAAAACCGTCGTCTAGGCCTGGTCACTGTCCTGCCATCACGATCCACAGCAAAAAGATTCTCCAAATTCAATACTTCCGGCTGATGTATATTAGATAAGTAAAGCATACTAATTAAGTCATGTAAGACACAAAGTGTTAAACTCCCAGTCTCAAGTAATGGTCGTGAACGCTTCACGTTCAACGTCTGGACCCATTCGCCAGTCACGCAATTAAAAATGTCAATATGTGTTTCGCTGTAAATAATTAAGTGCCCATCCCGGACGCCAATCGCCGTCGGCACGGCCGGATACATTATTTCCCTGTCCCGAGACTTGCGTCCGTGGCGATCAACATACACAGCTAGTGTGCCAAACACTAGCAAATATTCAAACTTGGGTAATTCGACCACGCGATGTGCATCCACGGCACTGCAAGCGAGTGTTTGTTGGAGTGGATTTTCTGGATGGAGTAGTGCTATAAAACATAAGTCAACAGTCGTATACAATTACATTTAGCCAATATAAAATATAATATGCCAAACAAGATTATACTTACAAATAGGCGGATAATCTCCTGCAATGGTGTAAATCGTAAAGGCAGATGGCGAACCGACACACAATCTACCGTCGGACAGCAATTGTAAAGACTGAACACAGACCGGTAACTGTATTTCACGTAATCTGTTATGTCGTGCACGAGTCCGTGTAATCTCGTACAAGATGATGGAAGTATTCTGCTGTTTACGCACGGCCACGCAAATGATGTACACCGGGCCGGGATTCACCGGAACTGCACCCACGGTGAATAACGAACAACCTTTGCTTTCTGTTACCTTTATCCATTCGGTCTCATCGCCGTCCAAAGCTCTTACGGGTACAAGCCTTACATAACGCTGCTTGCCACTCAATACTACTAATAGCTGCTCAGCGGCGATGTATTCTAGTTGATATATCTTCTTGCCTTCGCCGGCCCGAGCAATCTCCTTATGATCCAAGTCAACGCAGAACAAACCTTCTTCTGTCCCCAAAGCAATTCTATCAGGATCAATAACCACCGCACTGTGGGCGTTCCGCAGAAGCGTCAAGGAATTATCAATCAATTCCCTAGCTATCAACACGGTGGTATTGGGTAGGTTGTTTCTCTTCATAATTCTATGCAGTTCTGATAATGCCACAACCCACTTATTCTTTTCGCCTTCCGTGTCAGCTAACATTAGCATTGAATTTCTGGGCCCGGGGGGTTCCATAAAGGACGTTGTAATCTATTAGAGTTTATGAAATTAATTTCAATATGTTACTTTAAAACAATATTACTTACCCTAAATATACAAGGAATGTCCTTTTTGTTCGCATGAATAACATCCGAATCTTTAACACAACTAACGCTAAACTGGGGATCGCGCATGTCGAGGACTTGAGCAACGTGAACACTCGGTAAGGCATTGCGATCAGTAGATATGTCGTACAGAAATAATTTGAAGTCGCACACAACCACAAATTGCCGCACCCAGCCCTTCTTCACGCCGCCGGGCTTGGGTACTTTCACGTATCCCTCGTACGCCGTGCCAATGCCACGGGTGGGATCTATGCCCAATGGACGCTTAGCTGAAACGCAAATACTGTATTTCCCGTAATCATATGACCATGTGCTGACTTACTTTGATCTGGTGGCACTGGGCAAGCGCTAGGTACATGCTGACAGCAAGCTGTGTGACATGTAAACCCGCATATTTCACAAACCATACCTTGACGCATCAATCCAACCATTAAAGATGTGCAATGACTGCACTTTGTCGGACTGGAAAATGTGCGCACCAAAAATTGATGCAGTTTTAGCTTCATTGGGGATGCCTGAGTGTGCTGGTAACAAACACGTAGTATAGAAATAGGTAAATAAAATCATTTTAAAAACTTACGATACTCATCTCAGACAAGTTGCTCTTCGAGCTATTAATACTAAGTGCTCTGTTATCTTCAATATCACCTTCCTCGGACTCTATTGAAGTTCCCAAATAATGCAACTGTTGAGCTGATCCCGTCTCAAATGCGAACGCTGCATGCATATGTTGTTGTTGCTGCTGTTGCTGTTGTTGATGATGCTGCTGACTTGAATTTGTTTCCTTCAGAAATTGATCCAAGTAGCTCATTTGGGACGAAGGCCTCTCGAGTACTAAAAACAATCCAAACAATAAACCACCGCTCTACGCCTATGTGTAAAATGATAATGATGTTTTACTGTCATTAACGATGTCATTGTATGAATATTAATAACACTTCAATCAGTTCCAACTGAAAATCACAAAATTTCCACACGCCGAAACCAACAAGAAATCAATCCAAATCAAAGACTTTCAGTTAAAACAAACAACACGGTCCTCAACTCAATGCGCATTTGAATAATTGAGCCGAATTGTTCAGTGAGTGCTGTTAACAGCCGGTGGAAACAAAACAGAGCACAAATTTGGTTTAGAACAGGTAACTGTCGCCGATGTCCAGTAAAAATATAAAAGTAACACAAACAAAATATTAGCACTCCAAGCCGTCAATGTACAAATATGAAAAAAAAACAATATAAAAGCTTAATTTGTCAAGCTCTAGCTTTTATTAAACGTATGAGTATTATTTGTGGGCTGTGTAAACAAAATTAAACAACTTGAAACTAGTCAACAAACCCTTAATATGGCGTCGCAGAAACGATGATATTCCAATTGTTGCTGCATGTAACAAGTTTAACGAAAACATTCTTATTATGCACACTTACTGCGCTACTACATTTAGGTCCATCGATAAAAGTGCATTCAAACTATTTGCACTACTCTGTCGCGCTTTCACAAATCGCTCTAGGCACAAGCGCCCATGGCGTGCGATGGAATTGATTATTAAAGAAATCTACACTTTTAAATTTAAATGACAATGAGTAGCAAGAATTACCTACGTTCGCAGTGATGTTGTATTGAGTAGGTGTTTCGAAAGTATATATTACAAAAGGCAAATTGAATAGAAAAAGCAAGACACAACAAAATTGAATGTTCACTTTTTTTTTTATCAAACTGATACACGACTTTATAAAACATAACAATTTTAATAACCATAAACTCAAGCAGCATTCTCCAACAGAACAAACTAATAATAATAATAATATTGTATAACAACAAAAGATATGTATTTACGAAAAGTAAATATTAACTTTTCCACGTTTCAAATTTAAAACAATTGATAATAATAAGAATGAAACATAAACGAAAAAAAAAAAACAGGACCATCATGTAGTAAATCCATCAAAAATCTCATAACCAGAGCAATTAAATTATGTAGAATATAAATATCTACGAACGTCAATAAAAAAAGTAAAGTGAGTATGACATCGCACATATTACACGCGTGTTCAATCAGCTAAAAATGACTAGATTTCTGAGATTTTCGACTGTATGGTGTTGTCATAAGTGTGTATGATAATAAATGTACTTCATGTACTCATAGTTTTCGTTTGTGACCAAATCATTTAACTGATTTGTTTCGTTTAACCGTACAATCGGAGAAATAACAAAAGGATTCCCCAGAAGCAGGACGTGATGCCGATGACTAGTGGCAGCTGCCTCAACCACCAACCCACTGAACACATCACATCACATATAAGAAAGCAATGTTATCAACCTCGCCTAAATACACAAATACCTTGGGAGTGCTAATATGGAATCACTGCACCCACTCATCGAGTTTGTATCTACACATTTCGTGGCTGAATTAATCTTTTAAAAACAATTATCACGTACGTAATAAATTCGACTTAAGAAAATCATACTTGGATGTGTATTGATGATTTCATTTCATAATAAAGTAATGTGTAATACTATGAGAATAAAACTAAAACTTCGAGTGGTTGCAACGTTCATATCTAGACTAGAAAACAATGATTCATAAATTGGCACTTACATCCTTCTCCAGAGTCTAGACGCTGCTGCAAATCCTTAATTTGCTTCTCTTTGCGCTTCAGGTCGGTGCATATTGAATCATTGCGTTGCTTGCATGCCAGGATTTCTCTGAAAAGGTTAAAATTTATATTTAGAGCAATGTGAACAAAGCTGCCGGCATGAATCTGTCATACTTTTGAGCGGCCAACAACTCTGCGCGTGTTTTACTCAAATCTTCACTTATCGACTGTTTTGCTTGGATTTCGGATTGCAGCGAACTTTGAAGGTTGAGCAGTTCCATTTTTTCAAGCTTTTGAGATCGCCTATTCTTCCAGTTCTTATCGGCCCCGACTGAATTCGTTACACCTGTGCAGAAAATATAGTATGCATTTTTCTTACTTCTTGTATTTTAGTTTTGCAAAGAGGGTTACGTACCTGTATGTTTCAGGTATTCCAACTCTTCGGTCATCTTGGTAGCTAACGCTTGTAAATATGATCTGGCGTCCTTCTCATCGCTCACCCACTGAATGATTTCAGATAATTGCGATTCCCATTGGCCCAAACTCTCTTGCTTGCCGCGCAGCTGTTCGTACTCGACTTCCAAAGCGTTCCGTTCTGTCTGCAGCCGACCCAAGGACTCCGTCAACTAAAAATAGGCATGTTATAATCGCGTCCGGGCGATGACATTCATCCAGAAATGTTAGCATCTTCAGTCACATGACAGTTAGGGGTTCTTTGGATCGAGTTAAACATTGCCATAAACTAAATTAGCACAAGAAGAAGTAAAAACCAAGTACCAACAAATACAAACGAAAAAAAAAAACTCAACAAACTTACAAAATGCACATTGGATTGCAATTTGTTATTATCCTCGAGCATCATTTGTTTTTCCATATCGCGCCGGTGGTTTAGCTCGGAAATTGTTTGTTCATTATCGACTAGAGCCTCAAGGCGAGCCTTCTCCTGTTTCTCTTTTAACGATTGCACCTAATGTCGATAACGAAAACAAAACCGTAACAACAGAATATCAAGCACAACAAATATTACAAGAAAAGCATGCGGGTGGTAAATAATTTATTGGATTATCTGCTATTTGCACGTGTTGATACGATCTCAAGGAATACGCATAAAATTATGAAGAAAATAATTACCTCGCGTTCCAATAAATCGCGATGCGTTTCGGTCTCATGTAACTGTTCCCTAAGCGATGAGAGTTCCATATTGTATCGAGTTTGTTGTTGAGTCAGGCTTTCATTATATTGAACCTAGGACAAAAAACAGTTTACGTGTTTACAAATCGATTTTTTATTCAAGAAAAATGAAACTAACCTCAAGTTTTTCCAATTCGGCTTTTAATCTATGGTTATCCTGCTGGTCTCGCGGATCCATAGCACTACGCACCCGCAATCTATCAGATTCAGCCTGCATCTGCCGACAGTATTCCTCGGACCGCTCTCTTAATTTTCTCTCCTTTCCGGTCTCGGCAATCGCATCCTCTACACGCGACTCCAACTCCCTTCGCAACTTTTCCGCTTTGCGAATGTCATTACGTAGCGAGTCCACTTTCTGCATAGCCGTTTCGAGTTCCTCCTCTTTATCTCGAACTTGCCGTGACAGCCGTTGTTTTTGCTGTCGCAGTTCGGACAATTTGTCTGACACCTCCGTGTATTCCGCCATTGCAAGTTTGCGTTGCGCCAGCGCATCTTTCAGTTCCTTGTCTTGTAATTTCAGCTTTTCGTGCAGGTCGGTCTTCTCTTTTAGTTGTTCGTCCTTTTCCTGTCGCAGTATACGCACGATCTTTTCCATATCCTTCAGCTTGCCGTCAATGACATCCTGGGATTCGTTGGATTGAGTGCCGGTACTCTCAAAACTTCGTAACTGTGATTCTAATTCGCAATTGCGCTTGGTAAGGACGTTAATTTCGTCCTGTAGTTTACGTGTGCCGTCGGGAGACATCCGTTTTTCAACTGGATGTTCTTGAGAGAGTCCTAACGACATTATATCGCCGCCTTGGTTCTTCTTGTTTTGTTTATCTATGTTATTCACGGGAGACGAACTCAGGTCAGACATCGCGCAACCTCCTGTGAACGTGAAGCCCACAAAAGGTAAATGCAAGCCAGTGAAGGCGGAGTTCGCTGCGGTTGGCGGCACTACGTCGGAGGTGCGAATATCGGCATCATCAACGTCAAAGTTCGACGTATCCGTTGGACTAGATACTTCTGGTATGTAAGGTGCATTGCTGTCTCTAATACCGTCCCAATCAACACCCTCAAACCACGAATGATTCTGCAATTTAAAAATCACACAATCACGTAATATCTCTTCAAATGTTAACTAGATACGGTGGAAGTATTGACACGGTTCAGATTACTAAAGAATAATCACATCGTCATCGGCATAAATACTCATCGCTAACACAAAGATAAAAAAGCAATCGCACTTCGAAATTGTCGCTGGTATTTCATCAAATCGACCTCAAACCCTCCATTTAACGTTACGTCAAATGCAACGCGTGCGAGGCATTTGTCGAACGCAATGAAGTTGAATGGTCGTGGCGACTCAAGTGAAATAAATATTGATGTTAAACATGGTTAATAACAATATTCACGAAAATCGCGAACCGCTCATGCTTTAAATGTATCACGAAGTATTCGCATGACGGCTTTACACTACACGCCACCAGCTTTGTAATATCCGCGAACATTTATATTGTACCTTTGTCTTTACGAAGTGTGCTTTTGAATCGGCACACAACAAGATTCCAAAGGCGTGCGAGATGGGTTGAGTCCTACCAACGACCAGGTCATTCAATTTTGTCATCATTGTATGTATAGCAATAGCTTTTCGAGGGCGAATTTGCGCAGAACGCAACCGCAATGAACAAAAGTTAAACTCACCTTAAAGTCTAGTATACCATTGTGACCTAATCTGAACTCTTGACTACATATCAATTGCCTAATCAAGTCTTTAGCGGCATCAGACACTTCGACGTCGGTGGGGAAATCGAAGCAGTTCTTATGATTCATGATCTTGCCGTACGTCTCCACCAGACTTTCGGCGTAAAAGGGCGTCTCACCAAATAGCATTTCATACATGCAAACGCCCAGCGACCACCAATCACACTCCGGCCCGTATCTGCCCTGATCGTCTTCCATTGCACGCAATATTTCCGGCGATATATAATCGGGGGTTCCGACGGCAACGTTCGACTGAACCGTGCCGTCCTCGTTCAATTTTAAGCAACTGCCGAAATCGGCCAGGCGAATGTGTCCGTTTGCGTCCAACAGAACATTGTCCGGTTTAATATCACTGCGAAGCAAATAACACGTTGCATTATTAACATTTACAAACTGACGAACCGAAACAGAAATGTTGCAGATTAGAAACTTACCGGTGCACGTATCGGAGTTTGTGTATTGAATCAATAGCCAGCACCATTTCTGCAATATAGAATCTGGCCATATCCTCTGGAAGACGATCCTCGAATTTCGTTATTAATGTCAACAAGTCCCCACCGCAGTAATAATCCATAACAAGATAAAGGTTCGATTCATCCTGTCAACAAAAAAAAAAAACGATTCGATTCTGACTAATCCATTATCAAAAAATAACAACATACTTGAAAGGCATAGTGCAAATGAGTTATCCATCGGCGATCTCCGTATACTAAAACATCACGTTCTTCTTTAAAACACGCCGTTTCTGCGCGCTTCAACATTTCCCATTTGTTAAGTAGTTTCATGGCAAACACCTAGAGAAAAATTAAATAATTCTTTTTTTCTCTACCATAGCACTAAGCAAGCATTATTATATAGATGCTTAAATACTTGCCTTGTCCGAACCTCGCATCTTCACAACACAAACTTCTCCAAATGCTCCTCTACCGATAACTTTAATAATTTCAAAATCATCTCTAGTCAATCGCATAGACTTTATGTTCGTAGCCACAGGTTTTACTGTAAACAATAAAATGTATTACAATGGAAAAAGTATTCATTTGAATGAATACAACACTTACCAAATTCTATAAAAGCAGAAACAGTCTTCTCCCGCCGTAAACTGGAATTGCAGCATTCATCATATAAAATCAAGAGCACGTCCACTAAAGTTTCGATGCTGAAGGTCTGCCCCTGCACTGGGCCCCCCAAAAAGAGGGACTCCAGCTGGCGCAGCCTTCGCTCGCCGGCTACTTCGGGCATGGCTCCACCACCAGCCTGCAGCTCACTCATAGTTACAAGTCGTCACATTCATATGTAAAGGGCTGGAATGCAAACAAAAACACACAATTGCACAAAACATGATTCACGAATTTGATTAGAAGTGATTTGTGTTCATCATTCTAAATATGGCACTTTCATTTAGGAGCGCGCGCACACACACACATTGACGGTTTCTGGTTCACAATGTTCACAATGCTGTATTCATAATGGATATGCTTGATGAATCTGAATCAAAATAAACTTTCATACTCGGAACCACACATAATATGCACACAGGCTCACATACACGTCCAAACCGTACCCAACGTTAGTATTGTTGTGATGATGAATTATGAAATCGTTTCTCGGCGCTGCTTTTTTTTATACCTTTCACGAGCGGCACGACATCGAAGTGATATATTTCCAATTTGCAATCGAAAACGAAGCAAGAAGCTGCCCGCACTGGCCCAGACGGATTTAGTTCACGCAGTCGAGGCTTGCACTTGTCATTAGGAGCGATGCGAACGATATAAACCCGATTGTCATTGTTGCAATCGCGGCATTAGAACACCAGCGACAACGTATAAGCGAGCGGAGTTAAATCCGGCGCAAGAATTAATTAACGCGCAGGCAGGAGCAGACAATGCCATCAATTTGAATTCGGAGCGAATGCACGCAATGAGTAATCGAACGCTCAAAACTACCGCAACATTACTGCGAGCAAGACGATGCCGATTCGCACACATCCACTAATTAATTGCAACAAGCGGGCTACATCCTCGAATAATGAATGAATCGGTATGAACGAAAGGCTTATGAATAACCTAAATATAAACATGATAGAACTTTTGAGGTGGGACTGCTACTGCTAGGTGAGCATCGCGCATAGCACATAGAATGCGGGCACACACATACTGTAGGTGCACACGGACGCGGCGACGTGATTGCGACCGCAACTGCTCTCTGCCGAACACATGCAGCGTTTTGCAATGCCTACTATAATTACCTTGAGCGGCGCGGCGACGGCAATCCGGAGAGGAGCTGACTAAATCTTCAACGACATTTACACGCACTGGCACGACGGCACTTCTTCTACGTTTTAATCGTAGCCATTGTCAGTCGCGGACCGAACCACCACCCCCACTAGCGAAGCACGGTGTGTGGTGTGCAGCGACAGGCGCTTCGAATGCTTCGAATCGTTCGCGTTGTGTAGCCGACACGCACTGTCCGCGCTGCCGATCCCATCACCGACACGTAGTGCAATCTAGTGGGTAAGAGAGGTACTAGAACTAACATACCAACATAAAGTGAAAATTACCAGATTAACTAAACTGACGGTCAATGTTTGATGGATCGTTGGTTGCCATTGGCAACGTATGTAAAAGTACAACTCAACGCATCCAAAAAGCATAATAAACGAAAGTTTTTGGCATAAGATTGATTGAGAGCGACTGTAGCGACCGAATTTAGTCACGTAGTGTGGACTAAAGTACTTTAGTCACGGGGTGGTGCTTGCGCCTGCGCATTTACCTGCGGTGCAGCACAAGACCATATGAAATGATTAAACGCTCGCTCTCAATCAATCTCGTGCCAAAAACTCCCGTTTTGCCCATTTTATACTTAATATACTGTTACTTATTCAGTAACATCTATGATGCATGAAAATATCAGGTGGCTATGAAGTAAAACACAGATTTATAGCTGATATATTCATTGATTTCATTATTATATTCATTTACAAAACAGAATACAGAAATTGCTGCGAGTTCTGTTACAATGTTTTTGTCACAATTTGATTTCATTCTTGCGCATGCAACATTAATTTCCGTGTTGTTACACGTTCTTCAATAAATACAATAATATCAGTTATACATTTTTAAATATACTTTAGTAGTAGAACTATATATTAATACTGTATTACATACAAGAAATGCACTTGTTGGAAACTTACAGAAGAGATTTTTTTTGTATTAAATATTTATTTCGATTTCACGTTACTCGCTTACTTCAATAATTCATTTCTAATCGGTAATAATTCGCATCTTTTCGTAGTAATCTTTGATGGATATATCTCAATAAATAAAACTAACTGTTGGATATTAGATAGAGAGAGAGTTTTGATAATAAGGGCCATGTATTAACTACGGTACCACATTTCCAATGAACTAAACTATGTAATATATAAAACGAAAAACGCGACGAATACGCAGTGAAAACCTAAACAGATACCTGTACACAACGCACAGAATCCATGATCACAATAATTAAAGAGAAAACAAAAACCTATATAGATAATAAAAATATAACAAAACAAAGCAATTACTAAACATTATTGTTGTACTCTAAATGGATTCTTTTGTTTATTCGTTTTAAGAGTGTTAGTAGTATAGTCTGTAACTAGAAAACGTTTCGTGTTTTTGTTAGAGCTTTAAAAATTTCTTATCTCAGTCCGTACTAATTAAATATGCAAACAATTTTTCGTTTCGTTTAATATTTCTCATATTTCCTCGGTATCACGATTCTTCTTTGACTGCAATTGTTTGTGAGCACAGCCAAACCAAACTACGTCGAGATTTGGTTGCAATAGTTTTAGCATTGTCTCTATGTGTAAAGAAATATTCTTTGTTGCGATTCATTACTCCCTCGTAACTCGCGATTTGGATATATTAAATATTAATATAAAAATCCGTTCATCGTATATGCCAAATTTCACCTCCAACGATCAAAAGCAATGGCGCGACCGAGAAATGGCTCTTGGGCTTCTCGAGACCATGGGTTCGTCCTGCCACTCGCGAAGCAGTGTTTCAAACTTCACTCGGCGATATCGTTTCCTAATAACTTATTAGATTTTAAACGTATTAATGTAATATTTGCTGGTTGTCGAGAGGACGCTCATTTCAAAAATAGTAATATAAGATAAGTCATAGGGATATGACCAACAACACAAAACGCAGCTTCTTTTAAAGTGAAAGAAACGCGCACTGCAAAACCTATGCTCTATGAGAGAGTACGGCGAGGTCATTTTGCATGCACTTGGTCAACAATATGTTTGCTTTATCCTCATCAGATCCCCATCAATAAAAATATAGCATATTGTTAATATGGTAGAGAATAGTGTTTCTTTGCTTTAAAATTTAATTTTATATTCATGTGGTTTCAGTCTTTTTGAGAAAATTAGTTTATGTTTAGTATCACATTATGTCAAAAAATGCACAAGTCTTTTCTTTAATAATAGTCAGGCACATGTAAAAATTCCCCTAGCAATTTAAAGACTGGATACAACGTTCCTAAACGATTGATTAGCTCATCGTCTTTTCTATCACTTGGTGATATACGCGCGATTACATCTAATTAGTGGTTTGGTTGCTTGGCTTTTTGGCTTCGTCTTTTGAATGTGCTGACTATAAATTCGGCTTGGGCATTCTCCTTAAACGCGATTCTGATAAATTGCATTAAATTTCCACATGGTCGCTTCTTTGTTATCTTCAATATTAATAAATAATGCGTCTCTCGTTTCACTTGGAACATATCAGTATGCAAGATTATGTCTTCAATTCATATTCTCATTATTTTCACATTACTGAATAACGAACAATAATAAGATAAAAACGAATTAGGAAATTGTAATAAATAATTCCGTTTGCTACCGTTACTTGCTAAATATCACAGATATTCAAATTTATGAATGTAACACGCACCGGCGGCATACGACAAAACACTTTTTTCTTTATATATTATAGGTTTTTGTACGACCACGGCTTCCGTCCTCACGCTCACAATCGATCCAGATCGACCTGACTCAAACCTCACTGACTCTGACTGCGTATTGCTTCTTTCCACCATCTAGCATTCGAATATGTTAATAGTTCATCACGCTTAGTTTATGTTTATGTTCAACGAACGACGAACAAACGAGTTTTTTTAATACTTAATACTAAGGTTGGTAGCTTCGTTTGTTTTCAAGTTTATCATAATTGTTGTAGCATATTTCTTTGTTTCATATTTCAATATTTAAACGTTTTCCTTCGACGAATTGTTTTCATTCAGTTAAATGATATATTGCAATACGGGGCTCGTATTGATGTGTGTTGTAATGTATATAAATATTAGTAAGTAATCAAGCATATATTCATAAACACATCTCTTGTCTCGAATAGTTGCGGTAGGTAGATGTAGATAGTCACTTATTACTTATACGAATATATACGACAGGTACACCGTTAAAACATGATTAAAACTCTCACGCGCCTTAGCGAATCAACTCCCCGTAACGGTTGTGATTTATTTTCACGTTCGTGCATTGTTTTCACCAAAAAGTACACAAAATTTAAAGTTCCACGACACGCCATGAGAATATGAAGCAATCCGCGCCTACATTGGGACCGCGATACGTGTTTCATTATTGTTATTGTTTAGCGAATTCTCGTAAGTAGCGCGTATGGTTCGTTCGAATTATCTGGGAAATAACTAAACTTGACTAATAGATTACGGCTGACTGACTCGAAGTGTTTCGTTAGACGAAATAAATCAAAATTGTTTCAACTAGCACAGAAAATCTCGTATTTCATCTCATCGCGCGGAGGTGAGCGTGTCTGCTCAACCCTCCTCGCATGTTTATGTAATTATAGTTAAATATAAATCTCTATAAAGCCTGATCTCCCCTTCTATTAGTTTCGTGCATTTCAACAGCATACAGATAGACAACTTGAAACTATGCTATTATAGAATAATCGCGTCCGGTCGCAGCATCGGGTGACATACTACAATCCTGCGACCGTCGCACATAAAATACACACTAAGAAGAAGTTTTCTCTTGCGATTTTGTTTCGATTACAAACATTGCTCGCGCCTGTTTCGTAGCTTCTCTTCGTTTGTCACGTTTGCAGTTGAGTCTGTTCGGGGAGAGGCAAATAGTTTATGCTGTTTTTGTTCAATCGTTCTGTCTTCTTATCTCATACAATGTTTTTTCTCAATATGAAAAAGATTTCAACGCGCAGAGGGTTGTAAAACTGCTGCGATGTAGTATTCACCACAAACAAACATCACCGAAAACTGATCTTCGTCGCAAAGTCGGTAATACAATTAGATTAATGCAGTTACACGTATTACGTTGATTACAAGCTAGTAAGCACATCGGTTAATAGTTTTCTACAGCGAGAAACAGAAATAGTATATAGTTTTTTTTTTTGTAAATATAACCCTACACCAATGGTGAAACTAAATAAAATTACATGCTACACGTCACAGAAACTACTGACCACGGACACATCTCCAAGCATACCCTGTTCGCGCCTTCAACCGACACTAAGGTAGGAAAAAATCAAAATGTGATATTCTTGCTTTGTTTCGTTTTGAGTTGATAATTGCGTTTGAGTTAAGTGGAAAAAGTCAAAATAAATAAATGCACACATGATAACGTGCTGATTTGATAATCAATTCGGTCGTACCCGAAAATGAATGGAGCGTGTGTCAATGTGAATTCAGTAGCGTCGTGCATGCGATGGGTTACCTTGTCGACGTTCACTGCTGAACGGCGGCGGTTGGCGGTTGGGTGTATGGTGTGTAGGTGTAAGACAACGGCGCCGTGTACTGGTTGTACGCGGTTTGTGCGCCACCCATGGACTGATATGCGCACGGATTGGTTGTATTGGGCAAGCCGCGAGTCTGGAAGAACTTGCTGTTCAAGATCGATTGCATGCCTTCGGCGCTGTTGGCGGGCATCACATTCATGTATTGCGGCATCGGCTGGTACATGTTGGGGCTGTTGGTAGGCGGTGGCCCGGAAAACGTTTGCTGCTGCTGCTGTTGTTGTTGCTGTCTCTGCTGGCCATAGCGGTTGCTGCCATTGAAGGTGCGCGGCGCATTACCTAGGGGATCAATATAAATCGATAAAATCAATGGCTCTTAACTAAACTTAGCTTTACTTGGAGTGTTCCAGGAAAACTTTAAACAAAGAGAAACGCATAATTATACAGGTGAACTAACTGATGACACAAATACCCATCGTTCACATTTTATAATTCGTGTTCGTGTTAGTTGGACATAAACTATTTACGGGCATACAATGCAAAGAAACATTGCCAACAAAATAAAACTGAACTATGCATTGCAAGTGGAAACAATAAACGCAATGTGCAAAAATAATACGGCAGCGAGCTAAGCAATTAAAACTCCCTGGGTCATAAAAAAGCATACCAATAATAAATAAATGTCGTGTGCGTTTAGTTTTGTTTTCCTGGAACACGAAGCTAACTGCTAATACACTTACCATAATTGTTCCTGGGCTGTTGATTGTTATACTGTTGGCCGGCGTTGGGCTGTCCGTACCCGTTAGAGTAGTGTGAGCTACCCTGATAACCGTTCTGCTGATAGCCGTTTTGATTGCCCTGGTGGTAGTTACTCTTGGGGCGGAAACCACCGTTGTTAGCGTCCATGCTGCGCATGTTTCCATTATGCATGCGCATGTTGGAGTGCATGCGCGGCTCGCCATTACTGTGTACATGATTCTTGTTCACCCAGGTCTTGTTGCGATTGTGCATCATGTTCGGGGACATACTGTCCTTGTTATTTCGCTGGTTCCAGCGATTGCGTGCGCTCGGATTTCCACGTGACTGCATGACCATTTCGTGCAATGCCGGGTTGATTACCTGCGCTGCCTCTTCGAGCACGCCGATCAAGTCCTTCGCTTGCCTCTGATTGGCGGACGTGAAGAACGCATATGCTGTGCCAATCTGCTGACAGCGTCCAGTGCGCCCGATGCGATGGACGTAATCCTCGCTGGAATTTGGGTAGTCATAGTTAATGACGTACTTGACGTCTTCAACATCCAAACCACGGGCAGCTACATCGGTAGCCACTAAAATGGACGATTTCCCATTGCGGAACTCGGAGAGAACGTAATCACGCTCCTGTTGTGACTTGTCGCCGTGAATTGAGATCGCCGAGTATCCATCACGTCGGATCACCTTTGTGATATCGTCGACCTTCTTCTTGGTCTCAACAAAAATGATAATTTTATTGTTGCGATCAGAACAGATCTCCTTAAGCAGCTGACAGATCTTTGCTTCTTTTTCGTGCTCCTCGCAAACATCAACAATTTGACGAATGTTATGATTGGCCTGTAGTGCGAGTCCACCGATGTTAATCTGAATGTAGTTATCTAGGAACTCCTCGGCGAGAGCCTGTACTTGCTTCGGCCATGTAGCTGACCACATGAGAACCTGTCGGTCTGGACGAATCTGCTCAATAATTTTACGGATTTGTGGCTCGAAACCCATGTCCAGCATGCGGTCGGCTTCATCCAAAACCAAATACGTGCAGCGCTTCAAGTTAGTGGTTCCCTTTTCAAGGAAATCAATAAGGCGTCCAGGAGTAGCAATGACAATCTCGACACCGCGTTCCAAATCCCTCGCCTGCGGCCCTTTGGGCGACCCGCCAAAGATGCAAGTGTTACGGATCATCGTGGTTTGACCCAGCTCGCGCGCTACCTTCTGAATCTGCTGAGCAAGCTCGCGAGTTGGCGCAAGCACAAGCGCAATAGGACCTTCGCCGCGCTGTGGGCGCTGCTGGTTGTTGATGTGGACGGTCGCAGGAACCATGTAGGCCAGAGTCTTGCCAGAGCCAGTCTGTGCAATTCCAACAAGATCGCGCCCGGACAGAGCAATGGGCCATCCTTGCGCTTGAATTGCAGTCGGCTCGGAAAAGCCCTGCTTCATAATGATATCCATTACGTAATCTGGGAAATTGCCGTCTTCAAAGTTTTCATTTGGATGAGGAATGTTTGCTCCCCTAACAATTATTTCTTTGCCCTCCCTGTAACTCTTTACATGACTTTCAGATCTGGTTTGTACATTCATGTGTGGCTTATAGAAGTTCTTTACAATGGGCACCAAGTTATGCATCTCCCAGTTTGGCTTAACCAGTGTTGAGTTCTGTGCTTGCATGTTCTTGTTGTTCATCATGTTAGGCTTGTGGTTGTTGGGGCCACCAAAGTCTTGTACAGGTGCCATCTGGTGCTGAGGAGGACCTACCCAATAATTTGATTGCTTACCGAATTGTTCACCGCGGTCAGATCGGGGACGATACCTGTATTAAATTCACAAAGAAATTAAATTAAATATTTGCAACTGTTAAAAGAAGAAAAATATTGTTATCAAAATAATTCCACTCTCTAAACAGCTCACTGAACGCGTCAAATTAAACTGCAAACAGTGCGTCTAACACCGCTGCTGACAAATGTTAAACTTATCACTTAGATTGAAATTGCAGTGGGAGTCAAAAAGCAAATGGCAGGCCAACACTGCTACACTGGCAGCAGATTGGAATCAAAATTTCAAACTGATTTAATCATAGCGAAATGCTCAACAAGAAATTGAATATGAATCATCATGTTCGTCACTTACGTGTTGGTGTGCTGATAACCGTTTTGCTGATGGTACTGCATTTTGCAGCAATTATGTCACCAATACTTTTTACAAACTACTACCAATGGCTTCCAATTATTCTACTCTGCAAACGAAAGAACAGATGTAATGCTATCCGTTTCACTTGTCATCGATATGAACAGCTCAGCAATTTTGCGATTTGTGAACTGATTAACATTACCGGCGAGCGTAATTGCGAAGTTCAGGTACGCGATCAATAAATTAAATGGATTTTAACACGTACCTTCCAATCCAACCCGACCGGCGAACAAAACGATAATGGTGGACCGTGCTTGCGGATCGTTGGCTGACATGCGCCGCAAAATGAGTGCGTCACGCGCACGCGCGATGCATGCGGTAGTATGTCGAACTTGTTTCCTACTTCCTGTTCGTTTGAATTGAATCAAGAAAGGTTGTTAATTCCTGAGGGAAATTGCAACTCCATCGATTTCATTGCATGTCACCGATTGCACAATAAAATATGACAATTGATAAAAATGAAAGTCACAACATGAAAATTTCACGCCACATTTAGGCCCAAATAACTGCTATTTATGCTTATTTTTCGGCTCAATTACTTCCTTCACCGTAAGAAAATTATGTTCGTATGTGAGCGATGAATAATTCACAACACATTCCACAAATAATTTTTCAATTATCGCTAAAGGTAGAATTTGTGTATAACATTCCGTATTAGAATTATCATTTGTTTATTCAACAAATAAAATTACATTTACTAATGCGTCAACTAATGGCCTACAAATTGACCTAAAAGTAATGTTTTTCATTTTCATTGCAATTCAATAGCATATGTACTTGAAAATTTCAATAAATAAAAACGCACATACTCGCATATTTGTACTAGAGGCAACAGCAATTCCCAATAAGTAAACAGAGATACTATAAATTAATATGACTTCAGATCAATACAATGCGGGAGTGTTTGACATAAACTAGTGTTCCTAGATAAGCAAATTGTTGCACTCTATGTACCCGAACACTCTTATATCGTCAATATATTAAAATTTGCATCAAAATAACACAACGTCACCCAAAAAATATTGCCGAAGCTATTAAACCAAATATGTAAGAATAGAGGAAACTAATAATTAAAATCGCCGTATTAACATTTTAGCAATTGTGGCACGTTAAAATATACAAACACTTATTTGGAACAAAATTTCCAATTCTGATTTTTATAATTATTGCAGTCTCTCCCATTTAAAACAACTTTACACTTAAACAAGTTAATAAGGTTTCGACAATTTTGTTCGTCGTTCAGTACGATATTGACGTTTTTTTGGTTAAACTTCTTAAATGTTCAACGCGGCTGTGGAGGCGGTTGAGCATACGTATAGCCGGTGGGTTGCGCATAGTATCCCGCAGGTTGCGCTGCTGGCGGTGGATGGGAGTAATAAATGCCGTTGGTCATTGCATAGCCGCTGTACGGAGGCGGGATACTTTGATGATACATCATAGCTTGCTGTGGTTGCGACGCCGCTTGCGGCAGAGGAGGCGCCGGCTGCGATGGCTGTGGCAGCGGCGCAGACAACTGATGCTGCATGGTTGCTGGTGCGCCCTGATGATGCAGTAACGCGCGCGAATCTTTATTCACGCTGGGCGCTGAACTGTTGGATAACGAGACAGCCGTGCGATAGTTACTGTTGGACTTGGTGGAGCGCACCGGTGATGGAGGGCTGCGATCTCGGCTATCAGATGGAGATCTGCGCCGGCGACTAGTTCGGTTGCGAGACCGTGATCGCGAACGATCATATCGTGTTGGACGTTTTGGTGATCGAGATCGTGAACGTGTTGGAGAGCGTTGAGTTTGAGCTCGGCCTCGTGTCCATCGATTTCGTCCTGAAACAATCGAAACTTTGAATTAATAATTTATTAAATCATAGTTATAGCATTAGTGTACCTCGACCGGATGAATTTCCATTTCCCCAATTCCGATCAGCCATTTCTTGCAGTTTTGGATTGATCACTTGCTTAGCTTCTTTGAGAACCGCCAACAAATCGCTTGCCTTATTCGCATTGTTGGGTGTGAAGAAAGTATATGCGGTGCCTGTGCGCGACGAACGCCCGGTGCGACCGATTCGATGCACGTAATCTTCCGAATTTGATGGATAATCAAAATTGATTACAAACTTAACATCTTCAACATCTGCAAAATTACACAAAACAAATATTAACACTTTTGATCGCATCGAAAACTGCCTCCGTTGTAGAGGCATACAATTACAATCATTTACAGTAAATCAGTATTATAACTAGGCTGCAAAAAGCAATATCAGTGAATTGTAGTCATATCAAGTTTATAAACAAAAAACAATTAACATATCATAGTTAAAATTGTGAACACTTTGAATGTCTGATATATCCACGCAATTGTCCAGTATTGAAAGTTGATTATGATGATAACGCTAATAAATTATTTTACAAAATCAGTCCTATTATAGATAGAATGTATACAAGAACACATTTATTTATTGATGAATTTCGTTTTGCTTTTCTAAACAAATTAGATCGCTTCAATGAAAGTTGGTTGTACTTGGTGATAAAAGCTTTGATGCATACCACCTTCGGGTGCATCGGGCTCGGAAAGGTGGATGGCGTGAGCGGCGGCAAGCTCCGTCGCCGGCACGCGAACGAGACAGAGTCCGGACCCGGCCTGGGCCACGCCAAAACGACCGCGCACGGCCTGCGCGAGGTAGGCGGTGTGAGTGTGTCCAGGAGGCTGTCAGGTACCCGCCTCCCAGCCACATCGGTTAGAACGCGGCGGCGAGCCGAAAGCCCGGCCAGCCGGCAGAGTTCCACGCATTGCAAACGGGCAGACGTGTCCACTCCGCCATAGAGAGGCACAACCACACAATGACTACATTGAGTGTGTCATTATCATCGCTTGTGCCTCTGAAAAGAGAGTAGTGCCCAGTTTATTACAACACGCCTTTGGTCTTATTTTAAGCTTCGATTTAACACGACTTTACTATCACCGTTCCAAATACAATTCAAACATAATACAGCAATACAACAAAACACACTAGTCTTGCGCTGGACGACATATGTCGAATTGGATTTGAAATTGTGCACATTACATTTCATGCAATCTAGAAAGTATAATAAACAAAAAGCACGTAAATTTATGATATCCTCTTATTACCAATTAGAGCAGATCAGATTAATTGGCTGCAGATGTGACTTACCTAAACCCCGCGCAGCTACGTCGGTAGCTACCAGAATAGGAGCTTTACCAGATCGGAAGTCTGAAAACGAAACATGCCATTAACGGAAACAGTATATGAGGGGAAGGCAAAAATAATACCTTGTAAGACCCAATCGCGTTCTTGTTGAGACTTATCTCCATGAATACACACAGCAGGCCAACTAAACCAACAAGAAAAGAAAATATTAATAAAAGTCATTCAATATTATTTTTCCTACAGTAAATAATGTAAATAATGTACAAATTGTTTAATCAAACCGATGCTCGATTTATCGGAGTTAGAGTCAGAGAAATTTAAAAATCGATAAAATGGAAAAACGACAAAGATGACAAACACGTAAATCTATAAGAATAAACCTACGCAAAATGATAGAATTCATTAATAATTAGGAAATGCGTACCAAAAGCATAATTATCCTGCAAAATCAACAAAATTCGACAGATTGACTTTCAAAGTCCAAATCATTTCTTGAAATAGCAGGATTCATAAAAGCGCAACTAATATGATTATTGGATTACTGATGAAATCATCAGTTACGCTTTCAGTAAACAAAATCGTATTAAAATAATTAAATTAGTGTGTACCGAACGCATTAACTGAGAAAAAAGACTGAATATTTATCAATACATACCCATCCCGTTTCATTTTCCGTGTAATATCATCCACCCTCCTTTTCGTCTCAATAAAAATGATAGTTTTGTTCTCCTTTTCAGCCATAATTTCCTTCAAAAGAGTACTCAACTTGGTTTCCTTCTCATACTCCTGACACACATCAATAATCTGCAGAATATTATGGTTCGCCGAAAGCGACAACGATCCGACATTAATCTGAATATAGTCCTTCAGGAATTCCGATGCTAACGCCTGCACCTCCTTCGGCCAAGTCGCAGACCACATGAGTGTCTGCCTATCGGGTCGGATCTGTTCAATAATCTTACGTATCTGCGGCTCGAATCCCATATCAAGCATTCGATCGGCCTCATCTAGAACCAGATACGTGCATCGCTTCAAGTCGGTGCGATTCGACTCCAGGAAATCAATGAGTCTTCCCGGCGTCGCAATGACGATTTCAACACCGTCAGCAAGATCAGTTACTTGCGGACCTTTCGGCGCACCACCGAAAACACAAGTGTTACGTATCCGTGATGTCGAACCGAAATCAGTGGCCACTTGCTGAATCTGTTGTGCTAGTTCCCTAGTTGGTGCAAGAACTAGAACTATTGGCCCATCACCTCTCATCAATCTTGACTGATGATTGATATGAACAATTGCAGGCAGTATGTAAGACAATGTTTTACCAGAGCCTGTTGATGCAATTCCAACCATATCTCTTCCTGATAATGCAATTGGCCATCCTTGAGCTTGAATGGGCGTTGGTGCTTTGAAACCGGCATTCCTGACCTCTATGTTGACATAGTCAGGAAATCCAGCTTCTTCAAAGGAGAAAACTGGTTCGGGGATTTGTTTACCTTTGAGTGAAATCTCTTTTGATCTACGCCACTCATCCACTTCATATGCAGAACGCTGCATCACTCTTAGATGTGGTATATAAAAGTCTTTCTTGAATGGTTCAAGGCGACTCAGATCCCATCTCGGTTTGCGCAGACCCGCGCCAGCGGCGTTCCTTCTGCTGGAATTATATCCATTGCTAGAATAGTTTCTATCACGACTTCTAGATCGGCGTCGCTCTCGGCTACGAGATCTATAATAAATAATGTAAAGCAGGTTTGTTTTGTTAGTTTAAATTTATTCATTACCGTCTTCCCGATCGTCCACGCATTTTGGTTATTTTATTGATTTACACTAGAGGCAGATTCGATAACGTAGGCGACCGTTGTTTCGTGACTATACCTGCTCACACCTATTAACGTATAAAGTTGCGACTAAATTGCGTCGAAGCACATCTTGATGTTTATATAAACAATTTATTTATATTGCACTAAGTGCATTAGGAATATGAGCTGCATATGAGCTGTTGTTAAACAGAGGGGAAACAAATATGGACGTTACGATGTGAGCCGGCATTCATCGATCGGCTGTGACGGATGCACTTGGCGCACTTGGTGCACGGCGGGAGAGGAGCGGAAACGGAACTACAACAGACCTCAAGATTGAATGTGGCGCCGATTTTAAGAAAGTTGGAGAAATTCCAATTAACTTAACTTTTGTTTTTTGCATTTGATTCATTCTAATATCAGTGAATCTACGGACTTTGTAATGCTTTTATTTCAGGAACTTATAACCTCAATAAAATTAACTAACTTTATTAAGCAACTTACAAGTTACTTACAATGAAGTTAATTTTGAGAAACTATTGTAATATATGCAATTTTTTCAACATGAAATTGTATATATTATAATAGAATAATATCTATTCACTTCAGAAAGTGAACAAGAACTAAACTGAGTGATGAGGATAAATATTTTTTAAAATTGCCAAAAACATAGATAAACCATTTATTTAATCATTGTTTTTTTAAAGCTGGTATTTTAGCAAACACAACAACCAGCGGTTTGTCCTTTACAATAAAACCATTTGTTTCTTTAACAGCTTGTTGGCCCAACTCAACAGAATCCAATGTAACAAAAGCTTGACCCTTCATCCTGCCCTCTGTCATCAATCTAATATCAAACAAACTCCTCGGTTCACTCTCTGACCTCTTTGGATAATAACGTTTATAAATCCATTGCAAGTCATCTAAACCAACAGTTTTTGCAATGTTTTTAATATACAACTTGTTATTTGGAGTTCCAGGATGATAATCTTTAAAAATGGGCAAAACGTAAAGATCTTTAAGTGGTACTCTATTGGCGGCAAGCTGTTCGGCTGTTATTATATCTGTTTTTAGGTCGATTGGTTTGCTTTCAGGAACCTCTATACTTGTGTTCAGCTCCTTCTTAACATTTATTTGATCCAAGCAAGTTGGATTAACAATCAATTCAATCTTATCACTTTTCTTTAGTTCACTTTGTTCAAACACTTCAGCCACTTTTTCAGTTGCTCCACTTTGTGATGATTTTACATTAGCTGGATTACCTTGTGTAGGCTTAATGAATTTTGGTCTTTTAATTGGCTTAGGCTGGCTGATTTGCCTCTTAGCAGGAATGATTTGCTTCTGTTTGTCATTGCTATCATCCTCACTTTCCATTTCTGATTCAGAATCAGACTTCAGTTGTGGAACTGGCTTGGGAGGATGAACAGTTTTTATTGGTATTGGGGTATCTGGAGCATTACTAAATGGAGGTGGCAAATTCATTCTATTCATCAAGTGTAATACTTGAACATAAAATTGTGGAACTGTTTCAAGTGCAAAAGATATATTGTGAATGGTTGCTCTGTTAGCTCTAGGATATGTATACCTTAAATGAGCAGGGGGTGGCTGATCATATCCAACTGCACTGTTCAATGCATTGATTTTTGTCACATAATTTATGAAATGCTTATGACTTTGCACTTCAGTGGTTTGTAATAGTAAAGGTGCAGGAAATGAATCTGCAATTTTTTTCTCAGCATATTCCACACAAATGATTGCATCAAGTACCCTTAGTTGATGTGTTCTGTGCAGAACTGCTTTTGCTTGTTGCTTTGAATCAAACTTTCCATATACAATGCTCTTCTGCTTTGAGAGAGATGTTATTACTTTCACTTGTTGGGAACCAAAGTGTTTCATGAAGTCTTCTTTTTCAGCATCAGTTAAACAACTGGGGAGATGTTTGATTTTTAGTGTATACTCACAAATGTTTACCATTTCGAAGTGTTTCTTAATAACCTACACCTGAAATAAAAGAATTAAATTATAATATAATACGGTTCAATTGAGTTTTACAACACGTTGACAACAGCAATTAAAGATTCAAATAAATGAAAATGTACAAATATAATAATAAAATAGAATATAGTCCAGTATCCACAAAACAAAAAAATATGAAAACGAAAGATCTTAATATTTATAATTCATACATTTCAGAATAAATAAAACCAAATGACACAAGACTTACAGGTAAACGAAGATTTATTTAATGTTTTTACTCCAAGAATTTATATTTCAAATTGCAAGTCGTACTAATCGAACTTTCCACATAACAACATAACAGCATAACCTACACAAACCTCAAATAGTTTGATTCTAATCAGACTCGTCAGTAGAGTTCACTGCTGGTAAACGAAAGATGACCCGGCCACGATTAATTATTCGAAACTGGACCCGAAATGTACTCTATTGATCTATGCCAGACGCCTGTGCTCATATGCTATAGATTAGGATAATTAACTAATAATTATCACATTGGAATACCCAACATTTGATTTGTCGGCTACATATCAGTAAAATCATTTTATTTTGTGTTATTGCAGATCATTGATCTCGGCAAAGTGATTATAGAGAAAACTTGTCAGAGTTTTTATCTTTTTGGTATGACCCGTGTATATTTCAGTAATATGGTTTTCGTTCCTTTGTGGCGGAAGTCAATAGGTACAATACTGTGGTTGATTTTGAATGACCTTTGTTGTTGCCAAACTAATTAGAGAATAAGATTCGTTCTTACGAACTGTTCATATATGTAGTTGGTGACCCCCGAAAGCAGTATATTATCAAGAAATTATATCTTACAACAAGTCCGTGCTCCGTGGCCGCCATAATGGCCGACAGTGAAAGTTTCTGAAAGATTTATCCTGTCACTTACGCTATGGCAATTCAACAACACCAGCTGAAAGCGTCACATGGTGAACTAGAACCCGGCGTGCAAACGTCTTCATTCTTTCAATTAGGTTGTCCTTACTATATTGTTGGTTTCCTTTCTAACAAATTTGTAGTTTTCGTGTGCAGTTTGGATTCTCTCTGGTTTGTAATTTGTACAATGACGACAAAGAATTGCATGTTCCCATGATAATCTGAATATTTTTATCTACCTCATCAATAGGGCGAATAATATAAATAATATATCACAATAATTTTGTTAAAATAATACTAACACCGGCGCATCATAATCAATTTGGGACGCGGGGCGTAACGATATTCATAAATATTATATCAACATATAAGACTCAAATATGGATATTCAAACTCATAAATACATTGCGATTCGACTAGAGAAGGTATTAAAAGTGTCCCTCGACGTTCGGACGCGCCTGCTTGTGCGGCACACTCGTCTTCTTCGTTTTCGTTTTCTTTGGTTCGTTCGGGTTCCAGCGTGTCGCCTCGCACCGACAGAACGGGCACGTCGTCTCCTCTGTTGATATGCAATTGAAATGGAACGCGTGCCCGCATCCCCACACCGAGACCTTCTGCTCGTCTGCATTCGGTACGAACGGCAGGTACAATGGCGATTGACAGGTACTGCACTGTAGCTTTTGTATACTTAAACCTTTTCCACTCAGTGAAATTGATTTGGCTAAACCTGGTAAAATAAGCGACAATTGTATAACTTGCCTGTAAAAAAAATTGATAAAATGTACTTACTTTGATGATAATCTCGTCCTAACAACTTTAAAGTTGTATTGTATACTTCAATGTCATGCCGACAATCAGCAAGCATGCCTTGGAGCAGTCCTTTGATATCCCCAAAATTGGCATCCGACACCAATTCAAAGAGTTGCGTTGGTGGGACGTGTGGAGCTGCCGAATGTATCAGTTCTCTCAGAGATAATTTTTTACTGCTCTGCGGATGCTTCAGCAACGACAGCCATAGCTTTTGGCTTTCTTCTGCGCTTAAATGGTCTGCTCCTCTAACACACAAATCTACCGCTGATTCAGTCAATCCATGCTCAAGCAACAAGTCCAATGCCACCTTAAATTCGCCCATTTGTTCCAAGAGTAGACTAGTCGCTTCATGTTTGTCATATTTTTTTGTGATTTCCAAAGCTTGCTCAATGCGACATAAACCCATTCGTAAATAATTTTTCACAACTTTGATATCTTCAGGTATTTTACACAAAAGTTCCAGGTGCCATTCAGCCATTTCCGGGATCATCTTAATGTCGCTCACTACTAACTCACTTAAAAACAAAAACGATACATCGTCATCGGATTTGATTAATGCGAAATATTCTTCCACAGAGTTGGGAAAGTGTTCGATAATGATGTCGACGCATTTGCGCACGTCTATAGCAACGAGTTCTTTGAAGTGGGCGAGAAATTGTTGGCGAATTTTACGGTGCGAAACCCGAATATGTGTGAGAATATAGTTGAACACATCACCTTTGCGAAGTTGGTCATTAAGGTAGCAGCTTAAAATGTTACTGTAGTCTTTCTGACTTTCGTATACAAACTCCGCCACTTTGTAGCATCGCGATTCCAGTGCAATTTTCAAAAGCTCGTCGTTGGTTAAATGCCCCAATTTGTTTTCATGCAAGAGGTCCAAACATGCCTGCTCTCTTTCCGAATGATCTCGATTAGATAATTCATGCTTAGTTTCAGTAAGTGATTTGATAACTGAGTTTAAAGTAGGTTCATCTACTTTTAAGTTGTTTGATGTTACTAGCTTGGCAATGAAGCATGCCAATATTGTAATTTGGCACTCCTGTAATAAATATACTATGAAATATATCAATCTCCAAAACTTAACAGAATGTACGTACGTTAAATTCTGGTGGTCCCACAATTTGTATCAGAATCTCCACTAATCGCTGTCGTTGTAAAAGACCCATCTCACCCGAGAATTCATTTTCAGTAAATGCTAACTTGATCACATTCAAACATTCTCGTATGTTATACTTGAGCAACGCTCGCAAATATGGATAAGACTGTTCGTTCTCCTTGGCATTCACAGAATGCACGGCTTGCAAACACCGCAGGATATCAAACTTAACGCGTGAAACTTCCTCATGTGGAATAATGCCCTTCGGATACCCCAAACCGCCCAAGCAAGCGCTAACATAAACAATAATCGTGTTGCCAAGTGAATGATTCTCCGGAGTTAACTCGTGTAAAAATTCAGTCAGCGGACAGGTGTAATCCCCAATCGTTTTGGTCGTAATGTGAATCCACGCATCGTACAACTTGCGTTTCTTGCAAATACTCAACACTTGATGCAGATCAAGGCAAATCAAATCCAGCGATAGCAAAACTGCCGACAATAGTTCAATATCCTTTTGTTCAAGATATGCCACAAGCGATTGTGTCACACTGGGCTGCAGAAAAGTCAATGATCCCCCGATGATACATTCAGTTATGAGTAGATAATACACATCCTTTTCGTAAGGATCCGTTGATATTCTGTCCCATAACTCGGTGCATAAAATGTCAATTTTGTTCAACTTGATGCAACAGTTAATCGCAGCAGTGAGACTCTCGCGATCGGCGACGTAGGAATGTTTCAGACTGTTTATATATTTATCTAAAAGCAAAACAGTGCTTTTTTCGCGATTGGAGCCCTCTTCGGCAGCGAGATTCAGCGCCTCAGCCCATCGTCCTTGATCGCTCAAATATAAAAGTCGTTCGTGCCATGTGCGAAGTTTCACGAGATGGACCGCTTTCGTTCCAAGAATAAGCAGTTGATCACCTCTGCAAGAAAGACTGTTGTAGCATGCGCGTTCACCTGCTAGTGCAAACGCCTCAGATACACCTCCACCGACTGCTAAAGCTTTAAAATGCGCCGAATTGTAGACAAGTCCTGCGTTTGCAAGTTCAAGCATTTCCAACTCTTTCTGTGAACGCACTTCAATCAGTCTTAGGTTTTCGCTCGTATCCATAATAGCGAGGTGTCGGTTGCCCACCCAGTGGATGGCAATCATCGTGAACGGTAGTTGAACATGGCGTAATAGAGTTAGGCGTAGTTTGTTGCGATTGATGCCGGTGCGGATGATTCTAGTGTAGTTTAAATCGCTGCCTCGGCCCCAAGCAAGAACTGGTTGATGCGTCTTACCGACCAGAACCATTTGCCATGAAAGCAGAGGTAGGCAGGACGGCAAGCGAGGTAGTTGTTGACTGAATAGAACTTTAAGTCGTGGTTTTATGGTTATTATGATCACCTAAAAAATATACATCGCAGAATTGTATCAACATATTTTTTTTATAAAATACCTTAGATAAGGTAGCTAATGCAACTATATAATGTTGTCCCAACATTTCCTGCGCCAGCACCAGCGGTTCAAAGCAACACACTTCGCCCCTGGCGCCCGAGAACAAGCATTTGGAGTCCCAGCTGCGTACACCCAAGCGGCGTACAAAGTTTAACGAGAAAACGCAACCCGACGAGTCGCCCACGAGTGCCAAATTATTCGAAGCCGTGAATCTTAATTGTAGAACGGCTGTTTGAGGAGCGTGTGCATCTGGCAAACGTCTTAAAACGTCACCGTTTATCGCATCCAGCATTAAGATGTATCCTCGTTCAAACCTTAAAATATTAGTTATAAGTTAATACATTAAATTAATATATTAAGTCAAACAAACAAACTATAAGTCAATGTAATACAAAATATGGAAAATATTCTTACCCAATTAGTAGCCTGGTAGAATCACCATTGAAAGCCATTGCTGATATGGCACCCTGATCAACACTAATTTCATCATGAGAACACCAACATAGCTTCTGTTCAGAATCAAATGCTAATGCATAGCCATGAGAAGTGCCAATGGCAACATATTTAGAACTGTTTGTAATCACAGTTGGTAAACCAGCACCAACTCTTTCCTGAAAGCATAATTTTAAACAATCTTACAAATAACAAGACTTCCCATTGATTTATAGAAACAACAAATTCATTACTTACAGCTGCAGATGTCACTTGAGTTGATATTCCATTCAAAATGCAATGATAAAGCATTGACTTCAGCTTCATAGTCAAACTTTGCAAGGAATGTATGGATTGATTATCACTTCCTTCTTCAGACTCCATGTCCCAAAGAATACTCTCCAGCGATGGTAAGGTTGTTGAGGGTAAATCAAACTCAGCATCATTCAACTAAACAAAATAAAAGTAACCATGAGTCATTTTGTAAATATTGTAAGATAAGCATGATTTACTTAATTTTTAGAGCAAATATTATGTTTATAAATCTGCAAAACAACTGAACAATATAAAGAAAATAATAAAACCACAAATACCTCTTTAATATCCAGTAAAGAATCATCGGAATCTTCTATTGAAGTAAATGGTAAATCCTCAACTTCAGAACCCATGGCTTTACAGTAATCACTTTTATTTTACAAAACAAAATTCAACTCCAATCAAACAGTCACTAATCAGTGAATTTGTAGTGATAATAAACGCATTGCACTGCTTTACAAATTCGTACTTGATTTCGTACGTTTCGAACATAAATTATATATAAACAAATTTGTGGTTGGCAATTATTTGTTGTATTTTCCGATTTTACAATGATTACATATGCAATAACTAAGTTTAACCGACCAAACTTATTAGGTGTAGTAATATATTATTATATGTTTTGAAAGCCGAGATCAGGCGTTAAAATTAGTACAGATAATTGTGGGTAATTTAATATTGAGTTAATTGTCACTATCGGGAAGTTTGCAGAGTTGAGATAACTTTAGGTTATGATTGGTACGTGAAAAATTTATAAGAATGTAGATGCGGTTGCCTACGTTAGGGTGCCAATATAAATAAAATAAGAACATGTTTAGGAGCAGATAAACAATTCAATATCAATCAAATTAACTATTTATTTTTAATTAAATTAAATTATTTGAATTGATTTAAATATTACAATAAAATTGTATTAGATTATAAAATCTGTAAATTTTGTTTTAAATGATTCTAAGTATTTAATAATTTGATTGATGATATTTTAAATATTCACCACGAAGTATTTATATTTCCTGATTTTCACGCTCCAAACGTTATATTTAAACGTTAAATTGTGACTATTTTCAATATTTCTATACACTTCGTATCTATAGTTCGTACCTATTTTGTTTAGAAATGAAATTATTGTTTCTAAGATATATGCAACCCAATATACATATGCGCTAAATTAGTGTATAAGTGCAGTCCTAATTTTCCAAAAATGTTCATCCTCCGCAAGTATTAACTGCACTGAACAGGCTTTCGCCGAGAGTAGGTTAGATGTTCTTGTACGTTTAGTGATGGTAAACCTCGCGTACGTAATGTGGGTAGTAAAGAGATACCACGCACGTCCCATCTTTTAATCACACTTCGCGAGTAGAGGAATGACAGAGTGCGATTGCGGAACGAACGCTGAAGCCGGTGCTGTCGGAGTCGAGTCTCGCAAGCCCACAAACAGTGCTTACGAGTCTCAGTCCGAGTCGGCTCACACTCGCAATATCTTGCAGTGTGTTTCGTCGATTGGAGTACGGTGGGTCGTAGCCACACAACACATAAACGCGATCATCGCTTCGTAATCGTTAAAAATACAAACCACGGTCGTGTGCATTTCATTTACGTGGATTGTACTTACGCAGGCAGTGTATATTCGTACGCACGTAAACCCGAGTCCTTCATTTTTGTGTTCACTTCAAACAGTGTCTTTGGTTTTAGTGCATTGTGACTACGAACGTAATTAACAACAATTAGCGTAACTGGTAATGTGACTTGACGATGGGGACAACCGACAACCATCTAGTTGAGTTCCTTTTGTTTTAATCGTTCGCGATCGTTCGAATGGAAATGTTTCATTGAACACAGTTACTTACATTTTACATTTTTGTATTGTTGGTGTGATTAGTGATTGACTATTCTTTGTGGTTAATTATGTAAGGAGGTTTTTGTGTGCGGTGCAATGACGGAGCTGATCATCTCGAGGGGTGATACCTTCCCGCGCTCCTACCTGGATACCTATCGCAACAGTCGTGCGTGCGAATACTACAATGACTTGAAAACGAGCAAAAGCGACGAGTTGGTGCTGCAGAACTCCGAGGACATTCCGATCACCGCGGAGATACAGCACGGGCATTCGGAGAATTTATTGGATACCGGATGTATGTCGCCGACCGAGGGTGACTTTCTCGATAAGCCGGAGCTGCTGCCCCCGATGCCGGCACGAAGTCATCGGCGGCGAGTGCAGGTGTACGATAAAGTTGACCCGGAAGATAGCATTCGTGATATTGTGACTGAAAATGACTTTTACAAGTAAGTCTTTTGCGGATTCAATTGTATTAGACCTGTATATCCTTACAATGTTTATTATTTGATTTATAAAATGAATTATTAATTTGGAGAATTCTCTTGTGATAAATATATTTGTGTCACGATATATGTAATTTGCATATAACCGTACAACTTTTTGAATGATAAACTATCTACTTCAGAATGCTTTTAATTGAATTATTTTAGCATTTGAGGTAAAGTTTGTATTGTATGTTAAAAGGTCGTGACTAATGCACTGTAGTCACGGACATTTTAGTAGAAGCGACTCGTGAATACATGCATATATTTTTGTAAATGAAGATTGATCAGAGTTAATTTTAATTGATGATTTTTAATTTAACGCCGCTAGACCAGAAGTTTTAGTTTGAATTTAAAATTTGTGGATAGTTGCTGTTTTTATAATACTAGAATGGTATTTGTTTTCGTTGTGACTTTTTATGTATCAAATAGATAGTAATTACAATTTGACAAGGCAAAAGAAAGTTTTGGAAATTTATTTCTTAATAATTTCTTAGTTTTAATGTTTTCATTCAATTTAAATTGGGCAATATTATTGATTTTTTTCTATTTATATTGTCTTAAAATTGATTTTTCTGAAATTGCTGGAAGTAATGTCTCTTTGCTTAGACAATTAGACTAGGTGTAATTGTAGTTCTTTGCAATTTGAGTTGTCAGGCAACTGGAGTTGTTATGAAATGCGTAGATGTAAACTTTATCATGCTCAGATTACTATGATATTTTAATATCTTTTGTGCGTAATATTTGGCAGTATAAAACATGCAACGTTTATTGGTTGAAAGTGTGGCAAGGACAGTCTTGAATAGTATCAGTCTAGGTATTTCTAATTAGTGTTCTTGACCCTTCTTCAAGGTCAGTTTGAAACCTTCAATTTATGTAGTATGCATAATTTTATTAAGAACACAACACATTAGTCCAATGGCCAGTTGTTATAAAGCAGTGTTAAAATTACAGGAAGAAAGTATTATCTTTGTATTTTTTCATATGGGTTGTTGCCCTGGGTGTGTTGCCATGGGTGTGACGAAGCAATGGTCTTTTTGCTAAACTTTTATTTGTAGGTATATAAAATTAGTTATGTGACAGTTATATTTTGTTTAATGTAAGTAAATGATGAATAAAGAAATTATACCATTACAATATCATGACTCAAAAATATGAGTATTGAATTGTTGAGGCACAATATGGAAAGTTTCACCACACTGCGGCATTATCAGCCAGAAATAGGATATTTAAAATACAAGTACAAAATTTTACTATTTATAGATATAAAAAAAACAATTAAGACAAAAAAGGGTTGAGAAGTGATAGGGGTACTATTTTAAAGTGTGTATATTGAGCAATGGGGACTTGTTAACTTTTACCTGATCGTTTAGCGATTCAAGTAGGTTTAATTTCATTTTCTTTTTACATCTATGCAAGATTTTAAAATTAGGATCAAATTTATGTTTATTTAGTAATAGATACGTAATTCAGCGTAAGATAATTGGGGAGAATTGATTTTGAAACTATGGATGTGCTCTTTAATGCGGGCGTTGAAGGACCTACCTAATATGCAATTGAGTAAAATCATCATTCAGCATTATTTCGTGGTATTTTGAAGCTGATTTGTCATACTATCTCAGTATACAGATACAGATCTGTGGCCGTAACTATATAATAAGAAATAAAAATATTTGGTACTCCTGAAAAATTATTTCTCTTACTTACTTAAAGGGCTGCAATGCCCAAAAAGCATTTTTGGAGCGTCACTTTGAAATAGGTTTTATCTACCTATTCGCTGATAACTAGCATCCATGTTGCATCATTTTATCTTGACATTTAGCCGCCTAAAGTGGCTACAAAGTTGTATTTTTGTCGCTTTAAATTTAAATGGGAAATTTGCGAGCTCAAAACATATTTGCTCTTTGCATTTATGACATGCATAGTAAACATCGCACAACGTAGATAGGTGGTACGCTTGCATAATCATTTTACACTTTGATAACGTAAATATTATTAAAGGAAAGTTATACAATGGCTAGTATTTTAAAACCCGTACCTATCTTCTACGTTTTGCATTGCTTGTTATGCGGAAAGCGGATTTATATACCTGCAGTTCTATAATTTTAAAATATGCAGGTAGGTACTTATATATCTAAGTAATTAGTTTCAAAATTTCGATAATATCTCCTGATGCAACATTTCGTTTACATGTATTATTTATGATTTGTTTCCTGCTTTTGGTAATCCCAAACACTTTTTAATGATAAAAGATTCGTTTACCATAAATTCAATAACATATAAACCGCCCTTTTTGGTACGAGGTTGATTAAGAGAGCGTTGCGAGCGTTTCATCAATCGAGTATTTAACAATGTTTAGCCACGTGATGCTTACGCTCATTTTTGCTTCTTCTACTCGATTTCCATGTTGAGATTTTTGTAGTACAACTTTTGTATTGTACAACGAACTTTGTTTGCATATATTTATACTTATATACGGCCATACTTTTAAAAATAATATCAATATTTGACCAATCTATAAATTTACAGTAAATACTGTTTTTCGCATAAAATTTCTTTCACAAGGTGACTCGGCAAACATTGTTGTGCCTTATGAATTATTTCTAGTTTTATCAGTTATCGATCACTGAGCGTTGCAATATCGATTGGACGGCAATCGATTATAACAATCACACTTTCTGTTTCCACTAGGTTAAATATATACAAATTATAGTTCGACAATGACTAATCAATTGCCATATTGCAATCCTAATGCGCATCTGGGAATGAAAGTAAAAATTTAGGACCAGACGTATTTTTTGACGTTTTAAAGTGTCATTTTCCACGGTTTTTCAACACAAAAAGTGGTACTTTAAACACGGACGGCCAAGGCCCTGAATAAAAGTACTTTACTCACTGCTGTTGCTGCAGTTGCTTATGAACTTTCTGAAAGTATTCTAATAATTACTAATAGCAACTCATTTCTTGAATAATAACTTCTCTAAACGAACTTTGTTATTTAACAATTGGTTATGAGTTACTGGAAACTACTTTTTTATATATTTTTTTATTTTTATTATTTGTAGTTAATAATACTTCCTTATTTCTATTCATAATTAGAATTCTGTTTTTCTTTTCGACTATCGTTCAGTGAAGTCGCGATGTTTTGGAATATTACAGGGTCGTCTTTATTTGTTTTATTCCCGTTTTCAACAGCAGAAACGAGAAGGTGTTATTCTCAGTAACCACGTTAAATTGAACTTCAAAATTTGATGGAAAGATACATCAGTCTATGATCTAGTGCAGTATCTAGTTTGAATCATGTTGGTGTGGTATATTGGGAGAAAAAATGACTTGTATTACCTATAACAGTTATTAACAAGTTTCTAAAAAAATCTCATCAGATTTTTCTCTGAAAGTAGGTGGTATGATTGTGGAAATTGTTGTATGTCACAGGAATATTCTAAGCATTTTTTTTGTAAAAAAAGCTGAGCATAATTAATGATTTCCCGCGATTTTCACCTTTATTTGAATTTTGAAAAATACAGTAGCCGTTTTCTAAAAGAATAAACTGGCATATAACATGTATGAGAGAGAAAGTTGGTTGAGAAGCGCCTCTGTCTTATCTCTCCAAGTCTCCAAGTACACTTTGAAACCCTCTTTTAAGAAGTGTTTTTCCTTCGCATAAATCGCAAGCGTTTGAACTGAAGTTTTGGTCACTGTTTTGAAGAATTAGAGATTTTCAACTTGGAAACGGATGAAACTTTAATGACTGAAATTATATTTCAAAATGGGATTTTATTAGTTATCAAACATTTATGTTTCTTTTACTGTCGGCATACTTACTTGCATATTTATTAATAGCTAAATTAGTATTCATGGTATTAAATTTGGATAAACATGGAATGTTTCACTGCTGAGATTAACTTGAGTTAAAAATGTTAATGTATTTTCGCCTTTAATAACGACTGCAATATATAAAATACGACAATAATATTCTGAAATGACTGCGATTTGTTCCAGGTTCGTATTATTTAAGAAGCACTACGATAAGTACTTACATCTCTCGCAGAAGTACGAAGAAGCGCGGAATATCGCGTACTACTTGGAGGAGAAATATCATGAAGTTAAGGTAGGAGCGCGTGCTCAATTTAATTGCCTTTCTAAAGTGATTTTCATTCAAAACACAGGGCTCTTTTAAGTGCAAATTTAATGAAGTTTTTGGTGATGTTTCCAGAGTGAACGTGACGGTTTAATACAGGAACGTGACCGATTGTCGAAACGATTAGAGTCGAATGAGTGCCTGCTCAAAGAGAAAGAAGACGAGGTTTTCACGCAATTCGAAAAGGTCGTATTGCTGGAGGAACAATGCGAAAAGGTATGTTGTTTCTTTTATTGTGTTATTGTCTACATACAGCATGCATTCGCTAACAATCCCGTTGCAAATTGATAAAATTCGCGCGCTCCCAAAGCAAAGACAAACGTATCGATCTGAATTTTAAATTTTTTGCGAAACGAGATAAAATTTCGACCAACAATCCTCGACTATTTGACTAATTGCAATAATTCTCAAACTTTGAAACCGCTTGAATATTAATATGAGCATATTTCAAGGCGCTTTTGTTATGCGCACGTCGCGATGCTCGCAATGACAACATTTGGGTCACTATGAAGTACAAAGCTATTTATTAACGATTACATAAAGCGACCTATTGCGCGCACGTCGACTTCGGCTTACTGCTTATGCATTCTGGTATTTTTGAAATCGACAGTTTGGTTCGTTTAGCCGCTTCAATACACATAGCAAAGTGTGAACGTTTTATGACGCCCCGCGGCTTTGTCGGCTACGTGTGTATATACACATAGTTTTCGGTTTGTTTATACTGGAGGGCAACATTTGCATAAATTTGTTGCTATAATGTTAGACGTGTAATTTGCTATATTATTTTGGTCAATGACGCAGAAAATTAATTACGTACTTGGCAGACAACTTTTTATTTTGTTATTATACCTACGACCTGCTATGTGTTATTTTATTGATCAATAAGCGGGAGATTTAGTAGCAAGTGTAATAATTTATAATTCATAAATATCGATGGTTTAATTAATTGCATTTCAACAAGAAATTAGTTTTTTTTTTCTTTTATGAAATTAATTAAAATTTGAGTGTGTGATAAACACTCTCAACCTTTCAATATCGAGACTAAATTTAATCCTTGAAATAGCTCTTCCACCCGATTACTCAATAATTAGCAAATTGAAAAAATAAATGACCTTGCTTACCTCTTTCATTTTATTGAGTTTTTTTTTTGTCGAAAAAATATCATTAACCCACAGTTATCCTTACAACATTTTGAAACTTAATTTATTAGAACTTACAATTGATTCCAAATAGAATATTTATAAATTATTGTACTGACGTCATAAGTTATGTGTTAAACGAAGGAATAAATAAAATAAATGAACAAATACGTGACGCGTTCTTTTATCTGATTTAAAACATAACGTTTACACACCTCTAATTTGATAAGGCAATAAGCTAAAGTTGTTTTTTATGTAGTGCTTATTTAATATTGTATTCAAGCCGGATTTTACATGAATATGCATTTTGAGCGTTTCATAAATAGAATAGCACCGTTTTAATATTTATGGTCTACACGGTAAAAATGCATAAGCGGCGAATTAACGACGCCGCATTAATTAGCCATACGGTTTTTGCTCAATTTGTTCAATTTGCATTTTCACCCAGAATGTCACCTCTCGCGCGTCGAGCGCTGGGGCCGTAATTTCTAAGCGCGCGCGTACGCGAGTAGAAACTTAATTTATATTCGTAATTGTTGTTGCACCATGTCGGGGCCGTTACTCGTTCAATTATGCTGCGCGCAGAAAATTTAAAAGAAGAAAGTTAAAGGTGACTTCTTTGCTGGGTGAGACGAGCACCGACGCTGTTTTAGTTTAGTGTTTGTACTTGGTTTGGAATGCTAACAAGCTGGGAGATTTGCGACACAGAGAAAACACGTTTTTCTTAGATATCATATGGGAAGTAATTTTTTCTGGTTGTTTATTTATTTAGTATGTAGTTTTACAGTGCTCAAATTGCGCAGAATTGGAACAACAATGCGGTAGTTTGTTGTTTAAAGTTAGTGTTTACAGTAGGTACCGGGAATTAGAAAAGGTTACATTTTATGTTGCTCAGAAAATTCTTCAGTTGCCAGGGAATGTTGATTAAAAAATATGAACTTACCTCTTTGACAGTTTAGAATGTGTAGGAACTTTTAAAATTACAATTAATATACTTGACATTTCTATTCTATTTTGATATGCATTTAACATATTTCAGACTTAGTTTTAATTTTAAGTTTAATATTGAAAAATTCATTGAAAATTTTATTGTAGTTTCATATTGTTTTTCTACTTCCACTTTTAAAGCGCCAGTTTTTCCACGGTTTATAGACACAAAAGTTGTACTTTAAACACGGACGGCCAAGACCGTGAGTAAAATACTTTATATACCACTTGATACTTATTTTCATTCAACATTAAATGAAAATGAGCTTTACGCACTCGTATACACTAATGTTTACGTAAAAATATCTTAGTGACAACATGATGATACTTTTTTATAAAACTAGTGACGGAAAACGATAATGATTATTTATTCCGGCTTTATAATGTTTTCCGGCCAAGGTCGGCGATAGGTAAATTCAATTGTCATGTTATATCCACGTTACTCCTTGATACTCCTGCGTATCAAATCGTGTGCGTGTTCACGCACTGTGTCCGTATAAAGAAACAACATCAAATTCCTTTGTAAAGGCCGCAATTATCTCCGACTTAGTCCCACATTTTTCGGCTCCTTTCTATTCCGATTCGATTTCGGGCTTTGTGAGTGTTTGATTACCTTTGATAGCAGACGCAGCCGCTAGAAAATGCAAATATTTATCGGAGGCTGAAGACTTGGAAAACGTCGGAATAAATTACCGTCGCTGGTGATGCGTTGCAAACTAATTTTGTTTTTGTATTTTTCGCCGTAATGTTGTAATTACTTTCAAACGCATGGATGAACCGCTCAACGCTGCACGCATAGATTCAAGACATCAAGAGGTAACCACGTCGTATGTATGTATTCGTGACGGCAATTATGCGTGTATGGTGTAATATTTTTCACTTCTTTCTTTTTATCATCTCGTCTTGCCGACGATTTGTGCGTTGCGCATTCGGCACTTAATCACCGCACTTGCGGACGTGAACGTTAAGCACACTCCAAACGACGTGCAGCAGTTCTTGGGCTGGGCGCCTCGATCGCGATGGAATGCAGGAATGATAATCTCGATACGTTTGTTTATTTTTTGATCGCATAGTTTATAAGCTCATTCGCTTGAGCATCGCATCTCATCGGCCGCCTCTCTCGCCTTTCGCGGCGTAGACATATCGCTGCGTTATTGTCTAACTGTACATTAGAAAATAAAATATAATGTCTGTGTGTGGTGGTGATGCTGATGTGCGGTTTTGGTGTGTTTCAGCTCCGGGCCGAGAAGGAAAAGTACGTGCTGCAGAGGATTCAAATAGAAAAAGAAAGGGACGAGGCGCTGCGACTGGTGAGTGCACGATACGAGGTTATTATCGCGCAATTGGTCGCTTCTTGTGCGTTGCGCCGAGTTGATTCCGGTTTTATTTCGTTTGTTTTGCATACTCGAATGACTTTGTTTATGGTCTAATGATTTGGCGCGCGGCGGATGAGAGCTTGGGCGCGTCGCCGACTGCCTCCATGCCCTGTGTATCCTGCATTCTCTCTTTGCATTGCGAAAAATTGCAATCTGCACAAAGAACGGCAGCGATGAAGCATCCAGACCGAAAAAGTCACACGGTTAACATACAAATCAACAGTAGCGCTTCCCAACTGGTACTTTTAGTTCTTTTTTTAATATAAATTTAACTAGCCAAATGTCCTTCTGGGTATTTTATTTTAGCATTTAGCGTTGAGTTTTCTTTGTTCTTTGTTTCACATTTAACAAGAATAGCAACTGAAAATAATATTTCCTGCTTGGGTGCGCTACTGAACCGAGTAAAATGATCCGGCGATCTCGCCGTTGCGCCTCTTTGCGCGCTGCAACATAATATCTGCTCTGTGGATACAAAAAAGACCTTTACGCCAGCATTGAATTGATTTTATGTTGTTGTTCTAGTTGAAGGAGCAGGCGAGAGAATCGGAATCCAACCGTAGAAAGCTGGAGCGGGCGAGGCAGGAAGTGTTCCGACACATGACGAAAATCAAGAACGAAAAAGACATTCTGGAGCGTGAGGTAAAGCACTCCATATTGCTGGTATCAGGACGATGCGTTGCTTTATAATTTATTTCTTCAACAATACAATTCGACACACAAACAAATTGCCTCGCTCATCATCATTGCACGTTAAACCAGTTTTTTTCTTCTTTTTTCTCGCGCATCCGTCTTCTTCGGTTGTGTAACGCAACCCATTCTTAGAATGATTTCTAGTTACTTATTATTGTTTCGCCGTTCGTTCCAATTTGCTCCGTGTGCGCGTGTGAGCGGCGCATTTTTCACATTCGATTGAATCCCTAATTCGTACATGCGTACACCGACACAACATACGCGCGCATACTCGACGCCTTGTGTGCAATGTGCGCGCACACCGTTTGTAATACAAACGCACTTGAAAGGCGAGCGCAAGACGCTGGTGTTGTTGTGGTGGTTTCGGTGCGGTTGCAGTCACTGACATTGCCTTTTTCAATTCGGCTTTTGAGTTCATTTTGATGCGTAGTCGACGCACGGCTCTGTTTATTCACGTATACTCAGCCGACAGGCCGACATACTGCCATCGTTCGCACAGCGAATAAAAAAAAAACAAGTTTCACTTGATTTACCGCCGATGAGAATTAGTACAGCGTGATGAAAGAGGTGTCGGTGTAGATGTTGCATGTTGCAATCCAATTGTTGCTTGTTACATGGCGATGGCTACGACCTACCACCTCATACATAGAAAATTGAAATGCTTCTTAGTCACTCAACCGACACATCAATAATTACGTGTGGACACATTTAACAGAAATGCATCCGCACACATTGCTCATTACCAAGCCGCCAACAGTGTTGTTGTTATATGAACGTAGATGAGCTGAGTTGTGAACAGTTATAAACTTATATAGACAGACCCACTAATTATGTAAATGCTTCTCTGTTTGCAACTCGTATCATGCACGTGATTTAATACAATTTGCGTTCTGCATATGATTTGTATAAATTTAAGTCTTTGGCGTTGAGGTGAGGATTACGTGAACGCATGACGTTCGATGACTAATACGCTATTTATACCTAGCGTTTTTTTTTTTCGCGGCACACATTTGAATATTTGCGTTTTCGTTTCATGTCTCGTGCTTATTGTTTGTCTACAAAACATAAAATTTACATTTACAAATTGACAGCCACACATAAATGATAATTGGGATTTGTAAAATAGTAAAACAATGCGACATTACAAAAAACGTCGATTAGAGTGTTTAGTAAGTGCGCATTGTGATTTCTAGCGAAATTAATCGAAGTGTAAATTGAATTTGGTTAGCATGATAGCACGATGACTTTCTCCACCTGAAAACCAACCGTATGCAAATTGCACAAATCGATAATTACGAGAAGACAATTTCGAATGATATGAACTGTCGTGTAGATATTTTTGTTCATTCATTTTTTGGCAAATTTAAAACTTTGATGGTTGAATTCTCTAGAATTATTTCGCATGGCAGAGAATACAGCATGGAATTAACTTTCCATTGCAATTCATTGAGTGAAAATTATTTTCACGTGCACGTTTCGAGTGCACTCAATCCGTAGAGGAAATGAAGACATTAATTTATAATTTTAATTAGTTCCGAATGTTTTATTACTGAGTATATTCCTACATATTTACCTTGATTTGCCTTGACTTTGTTATTCTGACATCACGGATATATTTTTATTTCAATCTCTGACAAGAGGCCTGATCTAACGTCTCAATGAATCAATCTAACTGGTTGGCATTTATGACTAGCAAATAGATACTCAAAACAAAATTCCAAAATAATTTCAATAATCCAACAAACTTATATTATAACTAACATATTTCGTTCGGTATGACAATTGAGCGCGATGAGATCATAAGCGTCAATTTTACATTTACTTTGATGTTTATATAACTGCGAACTTTGCATACATAAATACAGCTTCTAGTACCTCAAAGCATATTCTCAATTTAAATATTAGATTATATTCTGCGGCAATGCTGATAATACACTTAAAGACGTTAAATATTTGTTTAGAATGGGCAGCTGAAAGAGGCCTTGGAGGCTGAACGGAAGGGCTTTGGCCGATTGAAGCGTGAACCGTCCGCTGAACCGGAGCGCGAGCCCACCAGCGAGGAGCAAGTGCTGACGCTGAAGTCGCAATTTCAGAAAGCCTTCGAGCATCTGGCCACCTGCAAGCGGAAGAAGTGCTCCGTCTGCACTTATACGAAAGCAGTGTTTGGGAATAAGAATCGCCATAAATACGAGTACGTATTATTTTTTGCGTCCATTTATCTTATCTTATTGAAAGAAACTGCATCAGTTTGAATTACGTATTTGTTTTGTTGCAGTAAAAAATTGTTTTCCTGTTTGCAAACGCCGTTTCTCGAAGTGCGCAACATGTTGAAACCACCGCCATCGCCGATTAAGGGTGCGCTACTGGAAGGAGAGAGTTTATCAGAGTGGTTCTGTCCTTTGGAGGACCCATCTGAATGTTCCTCATTTAGTTTGCCCTTCGCCGAGCTTGCCATATCGTACATGGACGAGACGTCGGACGCCTCGGGTTCACAGTGCTTCGACGTGAATCAATTCAGCCATGACAACCTCAGTCACATTACTAATAATCGTGGTAAGCAAATCGTGATCAATAATTTCAAACCTTGAATGTTGGTTTCACGTCGTATTTGGTTTTAGGGTATGGGAGCGATTCGGGTTTCTCATCGGACGTATGCGGCGATTGCAAAAGCGACGTGACAACGCCGAAGGAGAAATTCAGCCCGAAGGGAACGCTGGATGACGCCGAATGTGCCAAACTGACGCGAACCAAGTGGACTGCATCATTCAGGAAGCTAATTAATAGAATTAGGAAGTAGTCGGCGTTCGTTCGCATTCATTATATCCACCAAGCATCGCGCACGTACGCGCATTCATTATCGCCCTCGAAATAATTCAGCAATCGACCATCGCTATAACATCGGTTTGACCATCGCGCTCACGTGTACTGTTAGCTGCTTACTCGCGTAAGCAATTAACAGTGCTTCATTATACATTCCATCGCATTATCATACGACGACTCCTTAAAAATATCCATTTTTTAACTTATATTTTAATTGCCGCAATTAATCTTGTAGTTAATTACGTTACGCGTTCTATCGTGGTAATGGACGAATGTATACGACCAACGAAGGCGGATTTTTTGCAATTCATTTTCTGTGTTGTATTTACGTCGAAATTACTCAAATGTGTTCAAAATTGCAATAATCAGATGGAAATGATAATATCATGCAAAATGACTCAATTTTACGTAGATGCGTACATTAATTTATATGTGACTGAGAAACTAGCGATGATGATATGTACTGTGTACTTATGATTGACATTATTTATTATTAATTATTGTTGGTAGTTATTCATTGTTAGGTGTCACGCATTGATCGTACATAATCATTTACCAACAAGATTCTGATGATATCAGGTATTGACAACCTTATAAAATTTAGAAAAAACTTAAAATCCTATTAGATTTTAAGCAGTGATTGCAAGTTTTTTCCAACTTTGCCAATTAAAAGTTTATAGCCATCATTATACAACAGATGGTTCATAGGACAATATTGATATCGATAAGCAGTAGCTAGAAACCCTTGAAGTCGTTAGAAGTAGAAAATGTGTCAAAGTTTGATTAACTTTACAATCCAGGCAAATTAAAGAAGGCTGGTTTTCTGATGGGCTTTAATAGCTACGAGCTTAAACATTACTCAGTACAATTTCGTAAAAGTAAATTAAATTTAGATCAATCAAATCCTATTGTGTGTGAATTCTTCGAAATTCGCCGAAATAAGACGTAATTAAACATCGAGTGTCTTTTGTAGACATGTACATGTTCATTTTGAGAGGAACGTACATTTAACATTACAAAATTCGTGTCAAAATAGATTGCCGATTGTCGGGAAAGGCATAGGAGAAATGTATGTTTGTATAAATGTTATAAGATATATTTCGCGCTTCTCAGAATGTGAATGAGTTAACTCGTCTGATAAACGCATAATTATTTGCTCGCATCTCCTTTGTGCAGTCTATTTTAGTAATTCGGTGGCAGCGTACATATTTATTTGTTTAGTTTTTTACGATGTAAGACTCGCAGTATTATTTCTCTTTTTTTGTTATGATTACTATTGTTAGCAAAGATGAATGCATAAACTCAAATACATTCCGGACAAAATGCTTAATTAATAAAATATGATATAAATTATTAATTATGGCATATTTATCTTCCTTAATGGTTTGGGACTTAATATGAACCAAGCTTTGTTCTTTGGTTCAGATTTAATTAAGTTTATCTGTTCTTTGGGTGGCCTATATAAGATTCTCCTTCCTTGGTCGTCCATAGTAACATAAAATCAGTGTGCCAACCAATTCTCGCATCAAAATCCCCAGTTAAATTTGGTTACTGTCAGTAACAATCTCAATCTGTCATATCGAGGGACGTTTTCTTTTATTTGCTTTATTTGCAATAAATAACGCAGAGCAAAGCACAAAATTGTGATCGCTAATTACCTCCATCGCTGTGGGGGCGCATTTCGTGCGGTATAACATTTACGTCAGTGCAGCGTTTGTCTGGCGCTCATCTAGGCGTTTGTCACAGGTGACAGACAGAATTACCGCCATAAGTTGTATAATTATCAACGTTAATTATGCATTAAAAACAAGGAGACACCACGTATCAAGAGATTTAATTGTGGAATTTCACGGACTTTTATTGAGGTATGTTGTCGTTTGCATCATACGTGCGTTCCTGCCGTTCCAGAAAAATAATTGATTAGTCATACAGTCATTCAGCATGATATGTGTACTTGCAATTATTTTTAGATTTTTTCGTCCTGTGCATTGAAAATTGCAGTTGGCTAAATTTGGAGCTGGGCTACTTCAGTTTTTATTGTTCTCAATTGTTTTTCGTTTTGTGTACAGTGACATTTGATTCCAACCAAAAATTTATAATTCATTTGTTTACATATTGTCTTGCAACCAGATATTGTTTAATAGAAGTGATTTGTGGTGTAGTATGTCATATTTATAATAGGTCTAGGTTTTAATGCGCAAATTCTCTGACTTTTTGTTTTTGACTGTCACTGTTATTTATTGCAAATTAATGTCAAATGTCATGTTTTTATAGTGTCTTCACAAGTCAGCTATTTACTCAAGATATTCACACCTTCATTTATAGAAAATAATGTTTTGGCTATAATGACAGTCCCTGCATCTAAAGTATTTTCTATCACGACGTACATTTCAGTTTAAATAATGTTTGGTAAAATGTTTACAGAATCGGGATTCGCCATGGCCGTCAAACATGGTTGTCGTGATTCGGCGGATGAGTCGAGGTTGAACAATATAAAACGCGTGCTGGAAACCATCGAGCAACAAAAACAATGCTCCGGCGCGCAGGAGCGCCTGGCTCTGTGCGGCAAGATCGTCGTCAACCTCGGCATGGTGGCGGTGCCGAACAACCCCGTCGAGTACAAGACTTACATGGAGCACATCGACAAGCTGAAGGACATACTCATCAGCACCATCGTCAGCCAGGAGATGATTTTTGCGACATTGCATGCGTTTTACACCGAGATTTCCAACCCGGACAAGCATCCATCGCCCACCATGTCTATTGTGCTGTTCCTGATCGATCGCCAGCACATTCCCAAAGCCGTGCAGGTTATCTTGCATCCCGGTTATCACCAGGAGGCGCGTCTAGAACAGGCGTTGCACACTCTGTGCACTTGGTTATCCAAATGGACGCTGACGCCCAATTTAGGTCCGTTGGTGTCCGAACTAATGCGCGGCTTGGAAACAGAACAGCATCATGATATCCTCGTCAACATCACATTGCAGCACATGGTGCGCTTATTTCCGCTGCCCATCCTTAAGGAATCACGTGAGTCTATTGGTCCGGTGGTGTTACAGATGCTCGGTTGTATGCAGCCGAGCCCCGAGGCGTTTCACAAGATCATACCACTTGTACCGACAGTACTAGAACAACTGGCCAAAGAAAATAGCATCTCAAGCCTGGAATATCAGCAGAAGCTAATGAATTTATGCAAAGCGCTGGCAGGATACTTTCGTGATTACCCGATCAACGAGGAACTGAAACAGACGCTTGAGAAATACGACAATTCGATGAGCAGTACATCGATTTTATACAAGTCTTGGCCAGAAAGTGCCAACACCACTGTACTGTCCAATTATCTTCCCGGAAAGGTTGGGTTGAATAATTTAGGCAATACTTGTTACATGAACAGCGTACTGCAGGCGCTCTTTATGACGAAAACATTTCGCAACGATGTGCTGCAGAGCGTGGTCGCGGGAATGCCAGTTTATCAAAAACTGCAATCGCTTTTTGCATTGCTGCAGTTTTCCGAACGTCTTTCATTGTCGCCAAGTGATATTGCTAATATTGCCCGGCCGCCCGGTTTTCAACCAGGTCATCAGCACGATAGTTCGGAATTTTTGGGGTACCTGCTAGATATTTTACACGAGCAGGAAAGTTCGGTTATGGGAAGTCACAGCAAGCACGATGAAGGTTAGATTTGATCTATTTAACAAGTACAATTCTTTAACATTTGGTTTTCTCTGCAGGTCCTTCAACACCAGGTGCTTCTACAGTAGTAAAGTGTTCATTTGGCGGTAAAAGCCTCACGCTGTCCGTATGCAACCAATGTAGCGGGAAGAGCGAACGTATTGATACGTTCCGCGACTTGCAACTTTCTTTTCCCAGCACAACCGACAACCAGTCGGTGCAGAGATTGGTCGATTACTACCTCCAGCCCGAGAGGCTCAGCGGCGACAACCAGTACCATTGCGACCAATGCAAAGGCCTTACGGACGGTGAGCGCGTTACGCGTATTATCGAACCCCCACAGCGGCTGCTGCTTACCCTCAAGCACTTCCGGTACGACCCCGCCACGCAGCTTCGCACCAAGATACTACAACGCGTGCAACTTGACAACAACATTCAACTGGAGAATCACCAGTATCAATTATACGCTGCAGTTGTGCACGCCGGTTCCAGTGTCGATTCGGGTCATTATTACACCTACGCCAGGGAGGACGACGAGTGGTACCAGTTCAACGACTGCTTTGTTAACAAAAGCAGTGCCGTAGAGCTCTGCGGGCTGCGACCTCCTGAAGCGCCTTACATCTTATTTTACCGTCGTGCAGATTGCACTGACCCAGAGACTCTAGAAAGGCACGACCTATCGCAGGAACTGCTTGCCGTTATAATGCGCGACGCCGTCGAATTTGATTCGGAGAAACTGCGCTCACAGCAGGCTGTCGGCAAGTTAGGTGTGGATCGTAATCGGCAGAATCGGAATGACGATCCACCGCCTCCCGGCTGCGGTGGCGGAGGGTTTATGGACACGTCTATCAATCGATTTGTATGTTAAGCAAATTCTAATTATTGCACTGCGTGCCGCGCGCGGTGCACAATATAGGAATGGTTGATTCACATTTTGTTGCTTTGAATATAAATTATTTAATATGATAATATTGTTATTATACATTAAAAATAATTGTATATTGTAAATATATTCAACTAACGTTCTACTTGATTTCGAGACAGTCTGATTGTCGAGATTTGCCGGAGCGACTATCATGTGATGTGTTGGAAGACTTGTTAAACTCTGAGATGCCAAGTGAACGTTATTGACTGATTGCAATCATTTATTTGTAAAGACCTTCAAGTGTCGAGCGAAACAGTTATGTAAGAAGAATGAAAGATTGTACTTAACTACTAGCGCACTAAGAAATCGTGAGGGAGAATGGATTATTTTATTGACATAGATATAATTTAGTTTTCAATCTGGATCGTTTACCTTTCAATACAAACATTTTATTAATGCGACATATTTGTATACAAACCGGATAGCAGCGCTTACAATGGTACAGTTGTGGCGTCCCCGGCGTCTCATAGCAGAACAAACAAAAACGAAATCTAATTGTACATAGTGTATTTGTACATGTTTTGTTGTCATTTATTTTTATATCGTCATGCAGGAAGGGCAGAAATAGAAAATAATCTATTTGTTTCTGAGTTATACATCTATTTGCCATTCGAAGGATTGATTCGAAAGAAGTGTAAAAATAAATTAATACCACATTTTGTTCGGCTGATCCTTGCATCGTCGGACTATAAGGTGGATAAAAACGAGTAAAAAATCACATTGTATTCTGATTGATTTATTTCTTTTGTTACAATAGTATTACGTAATTTTCATGGTTACGTAAGTATATACTATATATATATTTATGTATATGTACAATTTGTTTTATTTTTGTATTATGATCTTTGCTTCTCGCAACAACAACCCTAAACGCAGGCGTATAAAAAAAGTTTTGTGTATTTCATTTTCTTTTTTGGGGGGCTCTAAGGCACTTGTCCATTTGTGTAAAACAAATTGTTTGGTTTACAGCCGCAACATCCGGTGCACCTATCAGTGTTGGGGGCGTAAATCCGTGTGGAATGCACAAAACATTTTTCATTTTACTTGGTTTGCGTGTGTCAATACCTTCCTGGTATACACACAAGGAATAACACCAAAGGACAGCCCCCATTAGGAACGGTGTCCATTAGCTTATTCGCATGGTTGTGCGGATGAACGGTATTATTTTTACATTGTAGATATTACTTGTAAATACTAAATATTTCGACTATCTATGCAAGTGAAACATAGAAATATTGACGTTCAGTGTAAGATTATTGTTTACGTTTCATTTAACATTCATATTCATTTGCATATCGTGTACATATTCCGTGGTGACACCGCAATATGATATATTTGATTTAGTTTACATTATGTTAGTTAATTTTCCTTAAGATTGGTCAAAATATTTAAATTCATATGTGTGCTTGTCCAAGAGTGGTTTTGTGCCACTTTATATTTGTCGATTTATGCCTTTCAGCGGGGATTTATTCTTAATACTGTTGTCGGTGTGTAATTTGTTGTGCGTTACTATACCGGTGGCGTTGTTGTTACCACGACGGGCGGTTCGATCAGCGGCGTGGTGTCCGGGTGTTTGTACGGTGGTGCTTTGACGATGTCGATACTCCACGGTTCGAGCAGCGTGCGGCCGTTGTTATGCGGTGGACTGTCCTGATCTGGGAATTTCACCGATTTGCGATGTCCACGGTTGGCGTTGTTCGGGGACGGTTCTTCCGTGCCCATGGAAGTATGGGGTCCCGTACCGGTGGGACTCTGGGTGGGTGACGCGTGCGTTTCGTTGTAGGTGGCGGCGCGCCGCAGGAAACTCGTCGCTGTTGGCTGAGTGCTGTAATGGATGCTGGGGATCTGCAAAAGTACTTGCAAAGTGAGTTAATAAATAACTTGCTGAAAAGTTGCCTTTTTAAAACAACTTTTAAATAATAAGCGTTTGTGAAATTAAATTTGTTCAAAAATTTTGGAAAATGCTTTACATTAAAAAATTTTTTGGTGATGTAACGTGGACCCGAATATACGAGTTGATAAAATGCCTGCCAGCATATGAGTTTACATATTTTAGGCATTTTGATAATGGCAAAGCATAAAAGCGGAATTTTACAGCCTTTTTATATTTCGCACCGCATTTTAAAACATGGCAGCGTCGACAATTCGTTTAAAGCTTATTGAATTTTATAGGTAATACGCTTTTTAATGGAGACGTATAATACTCGCTGTTTACATCAAATTGGACACATATTGCAGTCCCTCATATTTGCTTTGCTGACGTTAACTATTACTTTGGACAGGAATGTTCATTCTTATTACCCCTTATAGACAATAACTAATTTAATTCCTTAGTAACAGCTTTGTTGACGCCACATTATTATATTCCCGCAAACGCATACGATGGACGCATTCCATATTACGAGTATATCGTGGCAATGAATTTATTATAATGTGGCGTATATATCTTCCTTGCAGTGTGACATTACAATTAGGTAAACCGTTTGCAAGTGGCCGAGGCTAACGCTGTTGACAAGGGAGGCATCACGGCAGTAATCCGATTTAAACTTGTGTTCATTGATCGCATTCACATTACCCTGTTTATGTCGCCGTCAGGACGTCCTCGTCCTTCCTTTAGTTCCTGGTATTGCGATATTACACACAGCAAGGCATAAATCTAAAAAGACCAAAAAGTGTAAGTGCTTTATATATTTTATCTAACACAGAAAATCTATTTTAAGTTGGTCATTTGTTATAATATGGTTCAGGATTAAAATATAAATGTAAATTAATGGACGATATTTTTTAACCGTCACATACGAGTAAGTGTGATTTATTTTCTTTCTGGGCGCTCAGGTAAAACTGAATATTGTCATTTCCTCGAGAAAGATATAATATAATTTCAATTTAGTTGCTCTGCTCTGCATGGCAAAGCCGCGCATTTGTTTCCCACCGCGCGTTTTATTTGTACTCGAAAGCACTAACATTTTATTGCGTTTTAAAATTCAATTCGGATTTCGTCGTTTGGAAAATATCCACATGCACAAATGCACCAGGAAAGATATAAACACGCCAAGCAAAAAATGCAAATGTATAATCATATTGTACAACTCTGCAAAAAAACGTGACAATCTAGAATATTAACGAACAGAATTCAGTTCAGTATTTTTGTTGGACTAAAGTGTATCTAACTACAATTCATCAAAATGTTGTGTGGTTGATTGATCACGGATCAGATTCAAGAACAGCCCGAACAGAATCTCGAAACAAATCTTAATCACATGAGTTCCGATCTAGAGTTAGAAACGCTTTGCTGAACCTGCTTATTTACAGTTACAAATTATTCTAAAAATAATTTTAGTTAAGGAATTTATTAGCAATCTGAGAGTTTACGTAGAAACTATTAAAATAAAAATATTGCAATCTGACACCTAGCAACTTACATTTATAATTAGCAGGAAGAAGTCGAGCGTGAAAAGTATCGAGTTCAAAGGGTTGAATTTCAGCTGCAAACAGAACGGAACGTTGAATTTATCACAGTAAACAATCTGACGGCACAAATGGAAGTGTTCCGGTTGCTTCCTTTAGGTCCAAATATCAGTGCATCTCTGAATTAGTGTTTCAGTTTATTTCGAAGTTAATTACTCACCGTGTGCTCGAAGAACACATATAGGCAATGCGTCAGATCCACAATAATCAAGGGAATGACGGTTCCTACCCATGGAATAAACATCCACCTTTTATTCTGAAGCAAGAGAAAATTTACAATAAAACATTTATCTAGTTTATCAATTAATTATACTCTACAAAGCAAATTTTTGAATAAGAAATTTGGTTGGTTTGCAAATTGAATTTCAGACCCTCTACTTTGCATTTAAGATATTAAATTAGAAGTTGTGTCTATATAGTTGAAGGAGTTAATTAATAATTGTAATATGAGACAAATTGTCTCCTCTTCCATGAATGTTGTTTCGCTTGGCATGCTTAAGATAAACACATTTTCGAGATTTGGGCGTCATATAAACTCATGAGACTAATACTACTAAAATTTACAAGCAAATTATAACTTCACAACGTTCATTATGTTTGTTGTATGAATTTATTACATAAAGCTTATCAAATGTCTGGTTGAAATATATTTGTTTTTGAAACGTACCAAGTGCAAGCCGAGCAAAAGAAATAACGACGTTAGGATGCCAACGGAGGATATGCCCAACAGCATCACGGTGAAGACCATCGACGCTGTAAAAGATATTGTAAGACAAAATTGCATGTAATAAAGAAAATTGCTCGCCAACGTGTCATTCATTCTTGCATCGGGATGCATCGCGATGCAGCGAGCGATAGCCGAAAGAATGGATGATTTTGCAGGACGAGATCGCCTGGGCACGGTTAACCTACTCAGTGAGGTGGTGTTCGGTTCCAATATGCTGCTGTGGCGCGTCGTTGTGTTTGGGTTCCGCAACGCTAGCAGGTCTTCGTGCAGTAGCGTCGACATTGTCGCAGAGTTCAGCGTGAAATATACCTATAACAAATAACGCCCCCGCAGGGTTGAGTGGCCGCATCTCTCTGACGTACTCTTAATTTCGTTCAGTTACACTGAATATATATACATAAAGCTGAGTGTGAACAATGCTGTAAGGGAGAAGACTTCCCGTCGTGTAAAGTACGAGTATACACCGGAAGGAAAGCGTATTAGTGACAAGTAAATTAATTTATTTCGCACCGTCTGTGCTCGAGTGTAATCAACTTCTACTGTTTAGCCGTGCGGTGTTGTTTAAAATGTTTCTATTGCCTACAACGCATTAAGAGGTGTTTTTTAATCATTGCTGTTTTGTTTGATATCCTTACATTCTTATACTTCAATAAAATAAAATTTGTTTATTGATATAATCTACTTATTGACACCAGACGCGTTATAATTGATATGAGGTAAATGTTATATCAAATATTTATTTAAAAAAAAAAAAGATTCCTCAAACATATTCTGATAGCAGCTAGATATACATCAAAATCGGACTAATATCAGACTTTCAACCACATTGTTAATTAGTACAGCCACAACTCACGTTTGCAATGATAATGTGAGCAATATTGATTGCGGTCGTGGATTGGTCGCGATTATTACAGTTTCCAGATTATTTTGTACAGGCTGGTACGCTCCAATGGACAAGTTAACATGTTAATCTTTGTTGAAGGCTTCTGATTGTTATGCCCTTTCGATTGGATGAAAAGTGAGGTGCTTAATCGAGTTTCCATGCGCAACAACGAGCACGTGCTTGAACTTGCTTATTATTATTACCTAGATGATGATACTGCACTTTACGACTATCATAAACTCGTAAACTGTAAACATTTGCGAAGAAGATGCAGACGTAGCAAACATGGTTCACTTCCGTTGTCCTGCACCGATCGACGAGGCAATTTTCATGAGGGAGATAGATGGAGATGTCGTAATACGTGTGCAGACGTGAGACGTGACGCCTGCATGATAAAACCTTCGCCACGTGCGCTTATTGCGTTGCGTTATTCCAAGTTTTTGTCCGCTTCACGAATCGATTAGGCGCGTTGAGTGAATTACGTAAAATGTTAACGTTTAAACCAACAACAGCAGCAACATGGCTGCAAATGATTTGTGTACAACATGGAGTGACATGAAATTGTGTATTGTCATAAACGCTACGGGTACGATTTTGCGTTAATTCAAATGTCAACTAAGTGAACACAAGTAGATAAAACGTGGAATTTGTAAGTGCGTACATGTGGCAAGTTATCTTGCAAAATTAATTTTTTCGTAATTAACGAGAAAATAGAAATTAGGCTTATTGTGTCAGAAAAGGCTCCCCAAATTGTACATAATTCGTCAATTTTCAAATTAAATGCTTCTACTTTATAGAAAATAATTGCTTATATAAGCCAAAAAAATATGAAAAGCCAAAAAAAATTCAGCCAACTCACAGATATATTATGTCATTGTCCCATTTACGCATTTATCCCACTTCTCTCTAACTAACAATTGGCACATGAATAATACTGTTACATCACTCATTCTCGCATTGGTTGCATTTGATTAATAGTTCAAAATTTAGACTAGGGAACTTACTTGAATTTCAAATACTGGAACGGAAAATCGTTTGATCAGCATGCGCTCGTTAAATTGTAAATTAATTATGTTCTGCAATGCTCCAAATCATCGTATTGAAGCAGCGCGAATTAATATGGCCATTACTCTTAGGTTGCCAACTGAATGGATTCGGTAAATGCCATTAATTATTCGTAAACTTTGAAAAATAAACACATTTGTATTAGAAATTTTAATGTAAACTACTTTTTTATTAATGTGTTTTTGCTCATTTACTAAACGTGTACAGCGATCAATATTTCTGTACCAACGTGCGAGTACAATTTTTCAATGTTTCCTATAGGAGTTCATACTAATTTTCGCAATTTAAATTTTCTGCACGGGCGATCATAGTGAATAAATTTATGCAATGAACAATTTACATTTGTTTGGGGGCTCTTTGTAGCAGCGTTGCTATGGCTTAATTGAACCTTAATTAATCTTTTTTCTATTCGCCCGGATGTACACTGTAACGAAGGAATTAATCTACTTTTTTGTAAAACGTTTTGTTTTTTAGATTTTTAAGTAAAAAAGAGGCATCGTCACGAACGATTTATTTGCTCTTAGTGCTTGCGTTTCACCAGTGTTGCCAAATTTATTCGATCGGAATAAATTGGTAGACTCCTCGCAATGTTGAAACGTGTTTTTCTCCTGCTTTTTTTGCTCCGCTTGGCCGTTCAAAACATAATAGGCCTTCTGTGGAAAACGGGTTTTAGAGTTGAGAGTTCAGGGGAGGCCACTTATCCTTTTCGAGAGTATTGCCTCGAACATCCTCCCAGACGCAGGAAACTAGTGCAGGATTTTTACCCCCGCGTTGTTGAATACTGTTTGACCTCTTGTTTAGTTAGGTAAGGACGAAGGAAAAAACTGTTAGTAAACACAACATTTTACATTGTTACACAGGTAGAAAAATATAAACTTCGTATTTATTTTATTATTATTATTATATGTTTATGTTAATAGTTTAAGAGCCCGTGACGGCCAGACTTTCGTCATTTTAAAAAAGATGAAAATGTTTCTATGTGTGTACCCAACACAGCAAAGAACGATCCCTAATTATAAAAACTGGATCGTGGATCCTTGGGCAGTTAACAGCCAACAAAGATGTACCAATTATGCTGTCAAATTGAAGACGCATTGAAAGCGTATAATAGTTGCACTATAACTACAAAAATTCTGTTATGATGTTTATAGGTCAATGAATGTTTAAAGGATTCTCAACACGATCCTTATTTTTCAATCGTCCTAAACCCTTAAAAAATGCCTTAAAATGTAGTATTAATAATCAAATTATTAATTAACGTTATTGCAGTTTCTCAGCCTCTAAAGATCCATCAAGAGACTCTCTCCAAGATGCATATACATAAAACCCTCAAAACCCTTTGGAAGTGCCCTAAAATAACTTTCTAAAGTAAGCATTTCTCAAAAAAATTTAAAAGCATGCTGTACAGGATGGCAGAATCATCCTGTATCATATCAAAATTATTGTGTCTTTGATTTAAATGTATTTCAGAATCTCTTATTTGTGTTAGACAGCGTTAGACTGAAGATCTAAAGGTCCCTGGTTCAATCCCTGGTTTCGGCACGTTGTTTTTGACAAAGATTTATCGTAATACTGGAATATTTTGTTTTTATTGTGGTCTGCAATATAACACCCAGTATCTCCCGAACTATATGACATTTTTATAGTTTCTTCCCGCAATATTAGAGTGAGGGAGTTTCCCTACACGATGTATACAATTGCAACCTGTATCTCGCGAACCAATTGACTTTTTGAAAGTTTGTCTCCGCTATTTTAAAGCTCGAAAGTCTCCCTACACAATGCATACCCTCTTGATTTTCTCACCCTTCTGGAAGTGCCCTAAAATGCCATTCAAAAATTGGAATTCTTCAAGAAAATTGAAAACATGGTTTCCAAAACACTCTGTATCTCGTGAACTATTTGACTTTTTTGAAGTTCTTTATTGCGATCTCGAAGTTCGAGAGTCTCTCTACGCGGTCCATATTTTTCTAACCCCCTAACCTTTCCAAAAGTAGGGAAGACTGGGTACGGTTGTGACAATTTGTGTTTGATTACCAATAGTTTTGTTAATTTACCAGTTAGATCGTAGAAAAGTAACTTTTATGATAATTTGTACATTTGTCTATACAAGAATACTAAAATGTTGGCCCTAAATACGACGTATAACTAATAAGATACATTTAAAAAATAAAGTCAAATTGTCACAACCGGCCACACACCAAAAACATACACTAAAATGGCCATTCTCTTGGCAAAAATCTAGTGCATTAATATGAATGTGAGAGGAATGATTATCCAGCAATAGAAAAACTTGATGTGTTTCTTAAAATGTTCGAGAAATGTTAAGAATGAGGCATCCTGCATCCAACCTGAAGGATTTACAGTTCCAATTGATCCCACCGGTCCATCTCTAACAAGATGATTATGATAACGTACTCACGGGAATACAAAAAAAGGAGGAATTGCGTTACCTAAGGCATTGACTGCAAAAAAGCATCTAGAAGCAAAAAGAACGACTATAGTAATGTCACAACCGTACCCACAAAATTTGTCACAACCGTACCCGAACCTCTTTTTCGAAAACAAAAATTCGCCATGACTTTGTCAAATAATCTACGTAAAAAGCAAATGCTTATAAATAACTACCAATGTTCAATTTAAAAGAAACAAAAAACAGAAGTAATCTATCTGTATACAAACAACAATAATTATTAAGTGAAGCCGTACAAAAATATTTACTTTTGACTGTCAAAAAGCAATGTGGGCTCCTAGTTACGTTAACGTCGCGCAATGACTGATGCAATACTAGGGAAAGGGTTCAAATTTGCACCCCGCTTCTTTATCCTCTTGCACCCTCCCCCGTATGACGTATAGTTTCGTTATTATGACGACTGTCACTACCGTACCCTGGCACAACCGTACCCAGTCTCCCCTACCCTAAAAAGCACTTTGAAATTAGCCATTTTTGTCCCAAAAATATCATTTTATGGTCGAATAACAGGATCGAATTTATTTTCTTAAATATATTTTTGGTCGAACAACAGGGTCAAACTTTTTTGTTCAAATATTTTTGGTCAAAGAACAGAGTCGAACTTTTTAGTTTAAAATTTTTTCGGTCGAAGAACAGGGCGAACTTACTTTCTTAAAATATTTATGCTCGAACAACAGGGTCGAACTTTTTGGTTTAAAATTTTTTCGGTCAAAGAACAGGGCGAACCTTCTTTCTTAAAATATTTTTGGTCGAACAACCGGGTCAAACTATAAAAAAAATTTTATCGGTCAAAGAACAGAGTCGATTTTATTTTCTTAAAAAACAATTCGGCTGAACAACAGGGTCGGACTTTTTTTTTAAATTTTCCCGTGAAAGCGGCGAGATTAATTGCGATTATCTCGAGAACTAAAAGGATTACGGAAAAAAGGACTTATTATTCTTGATCCTTTAAAAATTCTCTTCAAGATGGCATCTTTTTAAAAAAACAACCATAAATGCATAAAAAATGAAAGAAAACATTTTTTTATAAAAAAGGCGAAAGATTTCTCTTTTTTATGTTCGAAATTAAAAGTTGGAATTTTTAAATTCTGTTTTCGGATTCTTATGGATCATTTAATTCTATATCGATTACTATAGTAACATTTTTGAGTAGCATTTACCATTTAGGCCCTATTTGCAATTTTAATAATTTTATTATTAAATACGTTATTATTATCAAAAAGCTTTAATTTAAAACAAAATTTTATTAAAATAAAGTATATAGAATCACATGTTCTTCTATATTTGATAATAAAAAATTGTAATTTCCTATTTTTATTTTTTGCTTAGGAAATGATAGAGAAAACGAATAAACCCGTTTTTCGCACTTATCTTGAAAACCATTAGAGATAGAGAAAAACGATTTTCATATTTGTACGTAGAATTACATTTTACATTATATAACATGTTAAAATTTCTGTGATCAACACTTACGTATTAATTAAAAATGGTCAATAACATGAAAACTAATTAAGATAAGGCAACCAAACCTGGATTAATGGAATCATGGTGATATCTTACTTCAATTACAAACAATTGGGGAAAATCGGAGAGGTGGTTTTATTTGGTCAGTTTAGAATTTACCACCTATTTTTCGAAATAATGATGTTATTGGAAAACTGACTTGATATCTTTCATCCCCTTGGAAAACTCAATCGATTAGCGTTTTCCATTTTCTTGTAGCTTAAAAAAATTTTTTTGAGTCCAAAAAGAGTCAAGTGTAACCTCTTGATCTTTTTGAGAGGTCTTCGGTCAACTTTGGAAAATGGAAAAACTAAATCTGCCATTTTGTAGATCCTTATCACGGCATGAACAAAATGAAGTAAGTTCTTTTCTATCCTTATTATTTTCCGAGAAAATCGCAGCGGAAATTTTTTTAGGCACATGTTATATTTCAAATTTTTTAAATGTTATCTTATCTAGGATTTGATGCTGAACATCGGGGTGTTTTTGTTTTTTGTTTATCTCTATTAGTTCCTGAGATAATTGATTCTTAAGGTTCAATGAGAGTGCACATTTCACTTAATGAGATATACTGGAAAATTCTTTACTGCTATTAGGTGAAAAGTTGTTTAAATTGTATCATTAACAGCCCCTCTTCACAATGAGGTAGTTTTCATTATTTAATTAAACAACTCTTTTAAATGTAAGGTACCTCCGCCTTTTTTCATAATTAATGACTTTTATTAAATTTTTTAAAAAATACTGTTTTATCATTCAGGAATTCAAAATTCCAACTTTTTAATTTAATGTTTCGACGGGAAAAGTTTAAGAAAAACCAAAAAACCGACCAAAAAATGAATTTTTTGGCACAAAAATGGCTATTTTCAAAGTGCTTTTTAGGGCATTTCAGGAAATGTTAGCGCTTAGAAAAATATAGATCTCGTAGAGAGACTCTTGAACTTCAAGATGCCAGTAAAAAACTTTAATAAAGTCAAATAGAACTATTTGATGCAGGGTGTTTTTCACACCATGTTTTCAGTTTTTTTGAAAAATGTAAATTTTTAATGAAAGTTTTGGGGCACTTCTAAAAGGGCTAGAAGATTGACAAGATATGCATCGTGTAGAGAAACTCTCGAACTTTAATATGACGGTAACAAGTTCTAAAAACTCAACTTGAGTAAAATAATATTAGACATGCAATAACATACAATAATTCATTTGTGATTAAAATTATATTGGCAATACAGAGAAACATATATACGAGTATTATAACAATAGCAGCTGCTATTCGACGTAAACGATATAAGAGTTTTTTATAGTTATTGTTCTTATGCAATTAACTATAATTACAAGTAAGTCTATTGTCAGATCCGTGCAAAATTATCGATATTACATCCTTAAACGGCACAGTTGAAATTATTACAATAAAATAAAACAGAATTTTGATGTATTTTTAATTAAATTGGCAAATATATTCTATTATTTTATTAAAATTCATTATATTTCCGCTTCAGATTGTTATCGTACAGTTTTCTATAAGTTATTCAAATTGCAAACGATTTACTAAAATTTAAAAATGTGAACGCTTTTTATTGCAGTAGAACGCCTTGGCACTCGACCTCGTCGACAAAAAATGCGCCATTACCTTGTCCGATCACAATCTGAGCGATCCGAAAGCTTCAGCATCAAGCGAAATTCAACAGATGCAGTGCGTCGAAAAGCAGGTCATTTCCTGAGTGCATTTAGCAAATGAAATAAAAATACGAACGAAAAATTGCGCTCGAATTACAATCGAGCCTTGGAGCATTGCACTATTCGCTCACTCATTCGTGGAAGGACGAGATTCTTGTGAAGGAAACACAACGATTTGCGTTTGCACGCTGCTGCTCGTCAAACTCTGCAAAACTCTTTTGCTTTTTCGGTGTTCCATTCCACTCGAACGCATCCGACAACAAAGCAAGCAAACCATTATCCTCAGAAGACGTCAGACCTGAGTGCGGAAAAGCATGCGGGTGCAACACATATTTGCTGAAGTGCAAACAAATGCAATCCAAGGATAAATATAAAGTTTTTATGTCGTGCTCGCACCACGAGAATATCACTGAAAACATGTGAATAAGTAAAGGCATTTAGCATTGCGCTAAAGCAGAGCACAAGTTACAACTCGTCGGTTGTAAAATTGCGCTTGCAATCTTCATTAATTTATTGCACAATGCACTCGCGCCATACACGCCGGATATTACAAACAAGAAGTAGAACTTTGATAGCCAATAGCAGCTTTGCTTGAAAACTGTCTGTACATATTCTACGAAGCATTAATTAAACTTGAATTTTTTATTAAAGTATTTAAAATTAAAATTTTTCATTTATTACACTACCTATTAAATTTACAACTTTCACCTTTAGCCAATTTTTCCACAATTTTGAGACACAAAAAATACTTTAAACAGGGAGGGCCAAAACCGTGACTAAAGTATGAGATTTGTAACCTTACATTTTCCAGTAGTGTGCAAGCAAATTTCGAAGATTTAAAATACAAAAACCTTCAAGTGGAAATAGAGGGGCGCTTGGCATTTTATATGGACTAGTGATGCACCGTACGCAACTGCGCAGGTACAAGCCCCGAGCCGTTGATAAGGCCCGTGAGTAAAGTAATAATTATATTAAATATGTGTTATCTAAAATATATCCCATCTATGAAGTTCCAGTATTTGTAGTACTTAGTATTCAAAGAAAGAAAAAACGTGCATTTTACCTTTTACACAGCAAAAGTTACAATTTGTACACTATTATAGAAAAATATTATAGCAAATGTTGGTTATAAATCGTATGAGTGTGCTGCGTACAATAAGCTTTTATTTTGCAATCTTTACTTATGCGGGAAAATGGATTTTAAGTGGCTTTTCCATGGGAGCATTATGTACGTGCGCGCTTTTGTCGAGTTCTCTATAGCTTTTAATAGCTAAAGTACGGGCGACTTTTAACAACGCTTGGTTTGTACGGTCGATTGGGAAATTTATAACCTAGTTGTGGCGCAAAGGAACGCAGATACCGAGAAAAGCGTGGGAAGTAAGCACGCATATCAACTGAACCTTCCTCAAGCAGAAGTCCATCCATTCGTTTACTTGCCTTGCACTTCAATTCAATGCTCCAAATGATGTGAAACGTAAACAAGTTTTTTTGTTAGATTTGTTACTGTCGTTTGGGACATTTCAAACGCTTTCATCTTGTTTGTTATTCGTTTATAAAAGAAAAAAAAACTAAAAATGGTTCCATGAATACCAAAAATATTTTTACAATGCTTTCGCCGAAGTTCAAAAAAATAAAAATATAATTACTCAAACGCAATGTGTTGGTGAAAGCGCCGGTCGACGTGGCTGCGTTCGAGCCAAATGCATTCAAGCGCTTTTAATTGAAAACGTGTGGCGTAAAAGCTTCGGTTTGGCGCAATCGTTGGGCGGATAGCTGCGGCGGTGAATGTATATTTGGTTCTTGCTGCCGCGGATGCTGAAAGGACCGAACACGGCGTCGACGCACTCGGCCCGGATAATTCAGACAGAACGACGTCGTCAATGTAACTTTGACGACAGCGCCGCAAACTGAGGCCGTGGTTAAGCGTCACGAAAATAAATTGATTCAAAACATACATTCGGGGAAATCGAACTGAATCAATTTTTATTTTATTTTTGTTTAGAAACTGATTTTTAATGAATGAACTTGTATAAACTTGTATTGGTAAATTCAACTGCGATTCTGATAATACAGATCAAGCTTTAGCGTAAGGCGTGTTATTCTGGTTTCCGATGCTGAGACAATGAGAGATGTAGTTGACGGTGCGGGTGTCGATGTGGTTAGATCCCAGCAGGTGGTGCACTCGAAGGCACGGTCGCTCGGGGGGGTCGACCGCCTATAACCTAGTTGGTGTGTGGATGCGAGATGTACCTGAGAGTTGTAAAAACGTTTTAGTTTAAGTGTTTTATGTTCAATGTGCGGGGGTTAGAGAGCAATGTGGACTGTAGTTTAGAAACGTGATCTGGAACTAGAATAATGTAACAAGTAGTTTCCGCGACGCAGACAGTCTGTCCGCGGTGGTGGTACAGGAGGTGGGCCTGAACGTGGACCATTCAGGGTCAGGGTTAAGATGGCAGATACCGAATGAGCTAGGCGTGTTCGGTCTGAGATGATGCAGGTATCGAATGAGCAAAGCGTGTTCGACCTGAGATGGTGATGGCATCGAATGAGCGTGCGTGTTCGATCGGATGAGCATAGCGTGTCCGATCGAATTAGCGTTGCGTATCGAGGATGGCAGATACCGAATGAGCTAGGCGTGTTCGGTCTGAGATGTTGAGGGTGTCGAATGAGCATAGCGTATCGACGATGGCAGATACCGAATGAGCATAGCGTGTTCGGTCTGAGATGATGAGGGTGTCGAATGAGCATAGCGTATCGACGATGGCAGATACCGAATGAGCATAGCGTGTTCGGTCTGAGATGATGAGGGTGTCGAATGAGCATAGCGTATCGACGATTTGATCGAATGAGCATAGCGTGTTCGATCAAATGAGCATAGTGTGTTCGATTGAGGTTAGATCTGTGCCGCATGGCGGCTATTGTTAGCTTATGGGGCTTGTAATGTAAGGGGGTCCACTCGTACCTTGTGTATGGTGTGGTGTGGTGTAGTGTAGTGCAGTGTAGTGTAACGTGGTGTAACGTGGTGTAGCGTGGTGTGGTGTGACGTGGCGTGACGTGGTGTAGCGTGGTGTAGCGTGGTGTGGCGTGGTGTGGTGTGACGTGGCGTAACGTGGTGTAGCGTGGTGCGTCGAGTGGTAGTAGGCTCGCTGCGGTATTCGCTGGAAGCTGGCTTCGAACGGAATGGACGAGTCAGTGACATGTTAGCTGAGGCCTCGATTCTTCCTCGGGTGGTGGGGTGGCTCCCCTCCCAACGGCTTCCTTGTGAGACATTTAGTGGCTGCTGGTGTTGAGAGATGGCGGTGGGTGACCACATTAGGTTTGAATGTAGCAGTGGTGGTGATTCGCTAGATAGCAGTGTGAGTGCTAAGAGAGATCTTTATTAGTTTGGTGTTAAAGTTTTAACATTTTCCCGCCCGCCAATTCGTTACCCTGGTAACGAATTATTACAAGACATCTTGGTTGATGGGCAATCGGCATAGCTTGACAATGGGTCTGTCCAATGTGGAGGCTTGGGTGCGAACGGTCACGGTCCGGATGAGGCCATCTTTCCCGGGGTGGACTTGCGTGACACGACCCAGTGGCCATTTCGCTGGCGGATAACGTTCGTCTATCACGAGCACCATGTCGCCCGACTTGAAATTGGGCGAACGTTGGTTCCACTTGGAGATGGACAGGTAGCGTTGGAGACATGCTGTTGACCAATGCTTCCAGAAGCCGTCGAGAGCTTGGCGAACAAGTTGCCAACGAGACAGTCTGTCCGGTTGTAGATGGGCCAGCGAGGGTTCTGGCAACACGTTGGGGGCCTTGCCTATAAGAAAATGTCCTGGCGTGAGTGCCTCGAGGTCTGCAGGATCCTCAGTCAGCGGACAGAGTGGACGAGAGTTCAGCGTCGCTTCGACTTGGGTCAGGAAGGTGGTCATCTCTTCGAAGGTTAGAGTTCGTTCGCCAACGCTGCGTCGGAGGTGATGCTTGACAGATTTAACCCCGGATTCCCATTTTCCGCCAAAGTGGGGTGCAGAGGGTGGGTTAAGTTTCGACTGGGTACCAAGGGATCCAAGGAGGTTGCCAATCTCCATTGATTCCTTGGTGGCGGCGGTGAACAGTCGTCGGATCTCCTTATCTGCACCTTTGAAATTAGTGCCGCAGTCGCTGTAGAGGGTCGCGCAGATTCCTCGACGTGCGGTGAACCGCTTGTAGGCAGCGATGAAGGCGTCGGATGTATAGTCGCTGACCAGCTCCAGGTGTACAGCTGATGTAGAAAGGCAGACGAACAATGCAAAATAGCCTTTGTAGGTCTTGGTGTTTCTTCCCCTCCAGGTTTTGATGTTGAATGGTCCGGCGTAGTCAACACCGGTGTGGTCGAATGCTCGTGACTGCGTGACTCTGGGAGTTGGAAGCGGTGCCATGAGTTGCTGGGCACGCTCTTGTCGGAAGCGGGCACAACGTACGCAGCGGCGAATATGGGACCGGACTGGTGCTCGACCGCCAAGTACCCAATAGTGATTGCGGATGTAAGCCAGGGTGAGCTGGGTGCCGCCGTGTAGGGTGCTGCGGTGTGCGTCCAGAATGATCAGATCGGTGAAGTGATGGCGTCGTGGTAGAATAATCGGATGTCGGGCTTCAGCATTAAGATTGGAGTTTTGAAGACGTCCCCCAACGCGAAGAACGCCAGCAGGGTCGACCCAGGGCGTTAATCTGGCCAGTGGATTGGTCCTGCCGAGTTGTTCGCCTTTTTTCAGGGTCTGAATTTCCAGCCAGAATACTTGTCCTTGAACATGCCTTGTCCAATAGAGTCGAGCTTCCTCCAGATCGCCAGGTGAGATGGGGTTGATCATCAGTGAGGCTGACGGCTGTTTCTTGAATCTTGCAACGGCTCGATCAAATACCACCGTGGATCGGATGAGTCGTGTGAGTGATGAAGCTCTGTTGAAGAGATGATTAAGCAGCGGCTCCGGTATCGTCGTGACTACGTGGACTTTTGTGGGTCGCTCTTCTAACATCTCATGCGTGAAGTCGGCTTGCACGTCACTCGGCCAGCAATCCGGGGCCTGCAGCAGGTATGAGGGTCCGTTCCACCACAGCGGGTGGCTGATAAGTTCTGCCACCGTTAGGCCGCGGGTGGCACAATCCGCTGGATTTAGTCTTCCAGGAACGAAGCGCCATTGAATTGCCGATGAAACCTCTTGAATGAAGGTCACTCGATTGTGGACGAACTCCTTCCAACGTGAGGGATGATTGTTAACCCAGGTGTATGTGATGGCGGAGTCAGTCCAGCAGTAGGTAGGGTGCGCGCCCCAATTCATCGAGGCAATGACGTGCTTTAGCAGACGAGCGAGGAGCACGGTTGCGCAGAGCTCGAGGCGTGGGATGGTGAGCCGCTTAAGAGGTGCAACCTTGGTCTTCGAGCACATCAATGTGATGGTAGGGGCTCCAGTCACAGTCGCTCGCACATAGATTACAGCTGCCATAGCCTTCTGGGATGCGTCGCAGAATCCATGGATCTCGAAAGTTGAGGTGGCGGGGAGTTGAAGCCACCGCGGAATGGAAAGTTGCTGCAATTCTCGAAGCTGGTTCAGGTACTGGATCCATATCTGAGAGGTGTCGTGGGAAAGCTCGTCGTCCCAGCCCAATTTGAGTGTCCACAATTCTTGAATGAATATTTTTGCAACCATGACCACGGGGGTGAGGAACCCTAATGGATCGAAGACTTGGGCGACGGCAGATAGTATTTTCCTCTTGGTGACAGGAACGTTCACGGCCATATCGATGGTGAAATGGAAGGTGTCAGCCCTTGGCTGCCAGGCCAGGCCAAGCGCGTGGACGGTGTTGTTTTCATGCATCGGCTTGAATAGTCGCTTTGCGGGAGGCACATCGGACAGTACGTCTGGGTGGTTGCTGTTCCACTTTTGGATTGGGAACCCGCCCGCCATGCTGAGGTCGACGATCTGCGCTATCTGGGCTTTTGCTTCATCGTTGAGGGCGCTCACGGCCATGCATATCGCTTGATGGTTGAGCTTGAACTCTTCCCAATGCTCCTTGAGGAACTCGAGGAGAGTCTTGATGCGGATGTCGCGGTGCTCGGCTTTGATGTCGGCGAGCCCGGGTATGAAGTCATGGATAAACTGGCGAGCGTCATACTGCTGCTCGATGCGTCGTTCGATGTGCTCGTATCTCATTTTGTCTCACGGATCCGGTTCGAAGGACCAAAAATGTATAAACTTGTATTAGTAAATTCAGCTGCGATTGTGATAATACAGATCAAGCTTAATAGTAAGGCGTGTTGGGCTGGTTTCCGATGCTGAGACAATGAGAGACGTTGTAATTGACGGTGCGGGTGTCGATGTGGTTAGATCCCAGCAGGTGGCGCACTCGAAGGCACGGTCGCTCGGGTGGTCGACCGCCTATAACCTAGGAGGTGTGTGGATGCGAGATGTACCTGAGAGTTGTAACAAACGTTTTAGTTTAAGTGTTTTATGTTCAATGTTCGGGGGTTAGAGAGCAATGTGGACTGTAGTTTAGAAACGTGATCTGGAACTAGAATAATGTAACAAGTAGTTTCCGCGACGCAGACAGTCTGTCCGCAGTGGTGGTACAGGAGGTGGGCCTGAACGTGGACCATTCAGGGTCAGGGTTAAGATGGCAGATACCGAATGAGCTAGGCGTGTTCGGTCTGAGATGATGCAGGTATCGAATGAGCAAAGCGTGTTCGACCTGAGATGGTGATGGCATCGAATGAGCGTGCGTGTTCGATCGGATGAGCATAGCGTGTCCGATCGAATTAGCGTTGCGTATCGAGGATGGCAGATACCGAATGAGCTAGGCGTGTTCGGTCTGAGATGTTGAGGGTGTCGAATGAGCATAGCGTATCGACGATGGCAGATACCGAATGAGCATAGCGTGTTCGGTCTGAGATGATGAGGGTGTCGAATGAGCATAGCGTATCGACGATGGCAGATACCGAATGAGCATAGCGTGTTCGGTCTGAGATGCGTGTTTGATCGAATGAGCATAGCGTGTTCGATCAAATGAGCATAGTGTGTTGTGAGATGATGAGGGTGTCGAATGAGCATAGCGTATCGACGATGGTTAGATCTGTGCCGCATGGCGGCTATTGTTAGCTTATGGGGCTTGTAATGTAAGGGGGTCCACTCGTACCTTGTGTATAGTGTGGTGTGGTGTAGTGTGGTGTAGTGTAGTAGTGTAACGTGGTGCAACGTGGTGTAGCGTGGTGTGGTGTGACGTGGCGTGACGTGGTGTAGCGTGGTGTAGCGTGGTGTGGCGTGGTGTGGCGTGGTGTGGTGTGACGTGGCGTAACGTGGTGTAGCGTGGTGCGTCGAGTGGTAGTAGGCTCGCTGCGGTATTCGCTGGAAGCTGGCTTCGAACGGAATGGACGAGTCAGTGACATGTTAGCTGAGGCCTCGATTCTTCCTCGGGTGGTGGGGTGGCTCCCCTCCCAACGGCTTCCTTGTGAGACATTTAGTGGCTGCTGGTGTTGAGAGATGGCGGTGGGTGACCACATTAGGTTTGAATGTAGCAGTGGTGGTGATTCGCTAGATAGCAGTGTGAGTGCTAAGAGAGATCTTTATTAGTCTGATGTTAAAAAGTTTTAACTAACTCATATATGAGCGTAAATACGCTTGGTATTTAATAATTTTACATAACTACTCTAAAAACGTACATAAAATGTGAATAAAATAATACAGTAGAATCTTGATAACTCGAACCTTGTTAAGTCGTAATCCTCAGTAACTCGAAAAGATATGCTATTCCCTTCCGCTGAACCCCGAACGACGCACTAACTCGAATTTTTTAGACTCAGTAACTCGAACAATAAGTTATTTCCCTGTGAGGCATTACTCGTACATTTTAATACTCAGTAACTCGAACTGCAAATACTACCTCAGTAAGTCGAAGTTCATAAAATTTTATGATTTCTTACTCGAGATTCCCGGAGCTCAAAACTCAGGAGGAGCTTAAAACTCGTGGCAATAAAATCAAAAAGGAATGTTCGGGGCTCGGGGCCTCTTATCTATTGTTTTTGTTTTGCACACGTGCAAGGAATGAATTCATTCAATAAACTTTCTAATTTCTAAGAAACACAGATGTTATGTTTCTTCATTTTTGGTCACTTTTGGTTACTTGGCTCAGTCAGTACATATTTGTTTGGCTGTTAACAAGCAACAACATGAGTACAATACAGCAATTGATACACTACGAACTTACATTGAAAGATGTAATGATATCGAGTATCATATATTCGGTTCACTATATGAACTAGAAAAAATAATTGATAAAAAATCTGTAAATGGCTTGAATCAAACGAAGATCACAGATTTTTATCAATTATTTAAAACATACAGTGTAAGTTCATTCATTATAATTATGTACTTGACTTTCATTTTATGTTACCTAATGTAATTTGTCGTAATAAATGTTCTATGAAATTGTGCCTTTTTATGTCGAAATTTGATGAGTTAACTCTTCATATCTCGAAATTCTTGTTAAGTCGAACACTTGCTATCTCGAATTTTTTTTGGTTTCCCTTGACATTCGAGTTATCAAGATTCTACTGTATATTTGGTTTATTTATTACATGTCTAATAATCATTATTAATTTTTAAGTAAAAATTTACTTAAAAAATATTTACACCTTTACCTACCAACAATCTTATTGGCCACTACATTTCGAAGATAGCAAATATCCCAAATTTAATAACTACCAGCTGGAAACAAGCATCAAGCGTAAATGCCAAGCGAAAGCTTTATTTAGCTGTACCTGATGCGGTTGCCTGGGATCTGAACTTTGGTAATTAGTGCGAACTTGATTGAAACAATATTAATCAATTTGGCATCGCGTCACACGTTCTCTCTAAGACCACTGGCAGCTAAATGCATCTCGCAGTGACAATTTTGCGGCAACCTGCTCCTTGTCTCTATCGGGTTCTTCATATTTAGCGGAGGGCGTAATCTGAGGATATAGTAATTTTGACTCCCGACTCTTGTCGAAACGCTGGCTCGATGTGTACATCAAGATACCGCTTTTATGTTTAGAGAGAAGGTAGGAGAGAGAGGAAAATACTGATAACAACCATGTGATTGTATAACATTCAATTCTAACTCAATTTACAATTATAAACCTCAATCAAACGATGCAAATTAAAGTCATTTCTGTAAACTGTACACGTTTGGATTCAATTTGGCGAGTAATATTAGAACATTGATAGCTATACCTGTTGTGATATTGCATTTCGCGGTTTAAATAACATTATAAAAATGCACATATATTAATTAATTTTGTTTTCATATTTCATGTTAAATTATTTAGTGAATATTAATAACAAAATTACATATTACATTAATATGTTTTTCAGTATAGTAAACAACACTGATATTAATTATATATGTAATGGATTTTGCAAAACTTGTATTAATTCCGGGAGTGACTTTTCCGTCAAATTGCATCGAAATATTTAACAGTACAATAGCTATTTCATTATATCAGTATATGTAGCTATAAGCATTAAAATTTAATTTTATTAATACTGTATATTTAAAAAATACTATAATTATTATGTATTCCACATTTATAACTGGGCCATTGTTTTTAAAATCAATTAATATTATTTATAATATTCAATTTAAACTATATTTGTTTCAAGGAATGGCAAATAATAGCTAGTTGCTATATTTCTAAAATTAATTATATTTCTAAATTTTGTAGTTAGTCGGTGTAGTAAGTCTTGCTATATGACTAAGAAATGAACAAGTTCATGAGCTGATAATAACAGAATAAAGTTCATACCACTGTTTAAAAAAAACTATAATACTTAAGAATAATTTAACATCTTTGGAAAATATGATCTATTAAATAACACTTATGTTTCATCATATTTGATCCTTTAAAATACTTCTACTATTATATGAATATATTTTTTGACGCGCTTTGACGCACTTTGAGACGCGCTTTTAATATTCAAGAACGTACAAGAAATATACTAAGAACAGTTTGTCATAACTTTTTAGTGCAAGTTCATGCTCATAAATTTAATATCACTAATTATATCTAACAAACATCATTCTACAACTTTACTAATACGCAATTTTTAAATTAAAGTAAATCTGTGAAATATTAAGCCCAGTATAGTTTTCACTGCACTATTGGATCACAGAAGGGCATGCGCTTCCGGCCGAGAAAATGTACCAGCTAAATGAAATTTCGTTTGCAAGTTTAGCCAGTGCTAAACTTTGGAATTTTAAATTAAAATTAGTTGCTCAAGGCGGCGCTATCGTTGAGCGCAACACGCACGAATAGTTAATGAAATTACTGTATGCACTTGTGAATCGTGTTGCACACGTAATATGCGCGTGGACTTCGTATGTCTGCATTTAGCTGGATGCAAAATTCCATAAAGAACGTGCTGGCTTTATATCATTATAAATTATTCTTTCTTGTTGGTACGTTATAAATCAGAGCAACGAGAACCTTTTGCAACTATCGCAAATTTTAATTAGGAAACCAAACGTTCTCGTAAGCCGTCCTGAAAAGCATGAATAGGAAAGTTTGTTCATTTAGTAGAATTTTCGAATTAGGATAATAACTTAGATATATGTCGGTAATTTCTAAAAGCATAAGAAAAATTAATTCGTTATACTATCAAATAAACATTTGATTCATTTTGTTTTTAGATATATGCTTTAAATATTTGAAATTTTATGGAATAAAATCTTTTTTTATTTAAAACTAATTAGTTTGCAAATTTACTTCAACTGCATACGCCTTCACGTTACCCTGTCAACACCGTAAACTGCTCGCGGAACTAAACCAGAAGAATTTAGTACACTCCACTCGTTTGCAGTAATGGCATTCATGGTGGCGGCGCACAGAATTGACATCATAATAATAAGTAATTGGGTTCCGTCAATCATAATTACCATTTGCGTTCGTTTCGATACTGATTACTCATTGTTCCGGAAATCCAAACACGTAATCTTGTACTCCAAATACGTTGTATTCAAAAAAAACTTGTTGAATAAGTAAATTAACTAAGCACATTTTGTATTGATTTGTAAAATTGCTCTACCGTTGACATCGACCTGATATCAAAATTTCTTGATTTCTACATTATCGACAAGATTTATTGCTGTAACATTATGTTGAATGTGTTACATAATAATTTGCATGCAATGCATAATGGTTTATTTAGTATCAAGTTTAGAAACGTTTATGCATAGGTGCAATCTCCGCCCCGGAGATAATGCCCGTGAGTAAAGTGCTTTACTCACAGCTTGGCCGTCCGTATATAAAGTACCACTTTTTGTGTCTAAAAACCGGGAAAACTGCGGCTTTATAAGTGAATATAGAAAAAATATATCATTATTAATGCACAAACTTTGCTTATAACCACGGGTCGCTAATTACGTTTTACTGGGACTAACGCTGCACCCACCTAAATTCAACATATATGCAACCGCGCTGACCACAATGTCGGAATTGTTATAGGAAGTTAACGGCAGTATTGTGGTTCTGGACTTTTGACTAAACCAAAGGTTGACCCAATTGCAAATATCTCATGTTAATTTAGCGGATACCCTCAGATCTGATGTTTAATACTTCAGCACGTCTTTTTTTCTAATGAGACAGTCAACACAGATTTTTTTAGAGTATGAAACAGACTCACTTATACTCGGTCATAATATTTTCGTGAACTTGTGATTTATAAAGTTGTAATTCTAAAAGTCTCAATTGCACTGATCTAATAATAACTTCAAATTTAATTAGTTGCTTAAACTGATTAGGTTTAACTAAGTAATTCCAATAGGTCACTGGGTCAAGAAACGCAGGTTTCAATTAACTGCCAGACTCTTCCAATTCGACCGAATTGGAATAAAAGCACTCACGTTAGTTTTTATTATTATTTGTAAAACGTTCTGCAGCAATGATGTCAATATTTTCCTTTCTTTCCTCGTTTCGGCGATTTATGTGTTTGTCCAACGTCACGCGAAATTATCAAACAAAATCTACAGTATGTTCGCGGACAAAATATCAATTGGAAAATCTACAGATTAAATTAAATATCAAGCGGAAATATATATTTCTGTCGGCCGCATTAATTTCCTCCGACATATTAATCGATAAACCTTCAAATTGTAAACATCAATGTATTACAAGCTCTTACATGCTCGAAAAAGCCCTTTTCTACAACATCAAAAACATTAATATTTATGTTTATGTAGCATTCGGTGGTTGGCAGCCATACCATTTATCATAAAAAATGTTACGCCCGAGATGTCGAAAACTCGCGACGAACCACATCACAAAAGTGAAATCGTTTTGCGTTATAATGCAATGATACAGTCGTGGTTTTCGCTCGTCGGAGCCTCTTTCCAAAACTGCGATCGATTTCCTGTCGTCGTGTCGCGCCGCGTCGTCGGTGCGCCTATGACGATTTAAGAACATAAACGTGAGTAACTTTCGCAGACTAAATATCAATAATGCACGAAAAACTGCTGACACATAAATGCATTGATTAGATATGGTGACATTTTGCAAGGAAAAAAACAGTTGAATAACTTTTATTGTCTAAG